CCAGTGAGGAGAGATATATGAAGAAGCATGAAGAAAAAAAGAGTAAAATAATTATCGTTTTTTTAGTAAACCGAAAGAAATAGAGTTCTTGATCGATGATAAAGGATTTATTTTGTTTAAGGTAAATAACGAAAAGTATCTTTGTCATTTGAATTTCATTTCGATTAAAATAAATTCTATTTTTCTCATAATAAATCAAACAGTTTTACCTTGATTATATGAAGTTTACATTCAAAACAAAACGGTAATTTCTCAAAGATTTCTTGCATTAATGATGAATATTGTAAATGTGTTTTTTTTGCTTTCATTATGCAAATGATAACAGCCTGAGCAAAGTTTAATATTCTGCTTTGAAAATAATAGTTTATTCTTCCATAAGCTAGCAAGAAACTTAAATAATAATTTAGATTCAATATCCTCACCGATCCAATTGCTTTATTTTTCATTGAATAATAGCAACACATGATTTGATTTATTGGTGCCCTTTGAAATTATTTACTCTTTATCTGAATTTAATAAATAATCAAATCCTCTTTGTAACGTAAAATGTTGCTTAATAAAAAGTATTCGTAATTCACCTTTTTAATATTGATGAAGTAACATCAATTTTCGACCAATATGACAAATAGAATTGAAGCCCTTAAATTTATCAAATGTTTATTTTAACTAAAAAAAATTCGTCATTTAAGAAAAAGAAACCCGAACGAATTATTAGTATGTCAATTTAGTAAGATAACATTTCGTAGAGCTTTTTCCTTGCCACTATCTTGAAGATTTTTACTTTCGTAATAGAATTGATATTTTCCCGTTAAAATTTCACTGAAGCGAATATCTTGAATGATTCGTTCGCATTTCAATGTGTAGTCACAATCACAACCATACATATCTCCTGTCAAAATCAAATAGATAATTAAAAATATTGAGATTAAACTCTTGAATAGCTTTATTCCTAAAAAAAATCAATCTATTATCATTTCTTAATATACTATACATTTATTGCGGTTTCACAAATTTCAGTAGTTAGTTTTTGATTTTCAGAATTTGACTAACTAGTTCAAATAGATGTCTTAAATCTACTGAGTATGCCAACATGAAGTTCATTTATTATTAGGAAGTGTCACAGCAAAATCTTTAGCATGACAATTTTTAATTGATATGATTATTGCTATTTTATCCTTTATTATAATTAGTTAAATAGCAATCCGGAAGAAAATATTTCAAATGCTGTTTTAGATACCGACAAGAAAGATGCAGAAAAATTTATTTCTTGATCGAAATGTTCTGATATGTCTATACAATCAATCAAACAAATAAAAAATGTTAATTTTGATAATCTAATTAAAGGATTCACTTTCACTGATCGAGTTTTATTCAGGCGATGGGGATTTTTTGTTCAAGATAAATACAAGTTTTATTTAAAATAGATATCCATGTAAAATATTCGAAGAATACGAAGTAATCACTAAGTATCAAATCGATTTCTTTAAGGGGTTTTCTAATTTTTTTATTTTTGATAGATAAAATAGGAAAATTGATCGAAATACGGGAATCAATTATATAAAACATAGGACGAATCCGACTCCAGTTTGTAACTCACGCTTGTTTTTCATTTTTTTACCCCTTGTCTTTATAACGCATAGAAACGCGTCTATGATGTATCCCTGTACTTCCCATTCTATATTATACCATATTGGCAATCATTGGCGTGTATAGGTAGCACCATGTTTCAGTTAATTGTGCTCGACAGTCGTGCACAAAGCTGGAATTAAAGGGGGTATAAGAAGAAACCTCGCATTCGCGAAACAAGTGTCTATTGATTTTCTTTTTCAACCAGAAAAAGAAAATAAGTGGTAAGTAAGTTATTTTAGACTAGCTGCTATTAGCTATTTTTGCGTTGAGAACATGAAGTATATCATACTTCTGAATACAATTTTCTCATAATATTACTCACCAATATGGGAGTTAGTCAAAAGCTTGATGAACGCGAAAGTAGCATTTTACGCGAGCAGTTAATCGGAGGCACCAGTGGAGGCTTTGATTTGACAATAGAAATTCAATTTAATTTACTGCATAAAATTCAAACTTGAATATCAATATTTTATTTTCAAGAAAGTAGAAATTCGTTACTGAATTTATATAGGCATTCTATTTTTTACAGTGTATATTTAACTCAATTTTTTTTCTGCCGTAACCTCATTTTTCTTGTTAATTTTTCAAAATTTTTCTTTCTAATAAAATAGATTCAACATCAAAACCATATATGACGAATAATAGAACCCATGAGTTTTCTTTTAAAGTTTCTCAGCTTTATAATTATCTATAACTGATTAAAAATAAACGAAAGAAAAAAGAATTGTTTTAATAATTATTGAACCTTGCAATCTTGAAAACAATACGAACTACTTACTTATCCAATAAGAAATTTTGTTTTTAATCTAATTGATCAATAGAAAAGCAGGGATACAGTTCAATGTTCAAAATAAAGAAGATGCATAAGATACAAAAAAAAAAGAAAGAAGCTGACCAACCGATATCATCGGACCTAAAAATATTACAGTTTAAAAGCAATTCATAGTGATCAACCTACTGGTTGAATAAATAACGAAGTCAATCGATTAGTTTCGGTTCATTGACATGGAACTTACTTTCTCTTGAAAAACAAAACTGAACATCGATGATTAATTTTAATCAATAGGCAGCAATCATTGATACAAGTGAAATATTCTCTACTGGGAGGAGAACGTAATATTTGTTCGAAAATCAAAGCTTGAAACCTTGAACGTATGATAAATTAAAAATTCATATTAGTAAAAGCAAAATCGCCATAAAGGAGCTTCCAATAAATAGAAGATGAGCTTCATTAATCATGTTACTGTATTCGCTGCAAACATCAGAAAGACTCATTATGCAGTACACGAAAAAATATCAGCAAAAGGTAAAATACATTATTTATCTTCAATTATCAAATGTACGCATTCGATCACGCATTGTAACGATCAAAGCGTGTCTTTCCGTATAATCGACCTTCGTGATGAGTACGCGTGTCACCTAGCCTAAGGCACAAACAGAACGTACACTTTCCTGTGACATGTTCTGGCTACATACAACTCATCCAACATTAAAGCCGACACGCGTACTATAAAAAAATATCCAACCGATGAATTAAAATATCAAAATATATGATTTGTTCTTTTGAAGTCTATCATCGATAACATACATAAAAAATTACCTATCGATCAACGAATAGGAAATTGCTGATGGGCGGTCAATATCGAATTTTCGATCTATTCATTTGCTAATCGAAATAAAATAAATAACGTACTATTTCTACTATATACATAAGCCATCTGTTCAGTGAAAATAAAATGATAATCTAGTTTTTCTTCGAATGACTTTTCTTGATTAACTGACACCTCGTGTGCTCTAATTTCATGCATGATGATCATCACGTTGATGTGATGTAATGCGAATAATAAGACGGAACAATACAAAAATTATGAGATATGAATCACACATTGATATATCTGTATACATAGCCACGCTCCGTATCATATCTCATAAGAATTCGTTGCTCAAAGCGAATTTCGAACGACATAATTTCTTTTCCTTTTCTTCTTCTTCTTCTTCGAAATTCATCAAGTGTTACAATAATTTACATTCATTGTTTCGATAATCTATTTCTTATCGAACAATCAGAATTTTGTTTTTTTCGTTTTATTATGGCCACTATGAAAACAAAAATAAAGAAACACAATGTACAATGGAATGTTATTTTCTTCAATTCGAATAAATTATGTTTTCGATACAAGTAAAACAAACTTCAATAATGCGTTGGATAGTAATAAAATGGATTATCAGTAAGCATAAATTGTTGTTCATTCGAATAAAAATGTGTTGCTGGCATTGTTGCTTGAGAATGTTCGGGTAATGTTGTTATTGGACTGATACACTCCGTACTACTATCACCGCAACAGGATGAACCATAGTCGAAACTATTTGAACGATAAATCCCACTATCATCTTCACTTTCATTTGAGGTTTTCTTTAAATTAATAAATTCTAGTGGATTTTTTACACGGGGATGCATAGATGATAATACATAAGTATCATCGTATGTCGTAAGATTAGGTGGAAATGTTTGACAATGATTGTCATTATTATTGTGTTGTAATACTCGTGGATTTATTGAAAGTGTTGCAGCAACAATATTGACGGTATTTGGTGATAAACCACGACAGAGTAATTCAGCAAAACGTTCATTATCAGGTATTTGATTGCTCGATACCATTTGAGTCAAGGCTTCAATATAGTTTTTTGCTAAACGTAATGTTTCAATTTTCGATAATTTTTGTGATAATGCGAAACAAGGAATGGTTTGGCGAAGACATTCTAATTGTTCGTTAAGACCTTTCATACGTTCACGTTCGCGACCATTCGCTTTGATGCGTCGAACCTTGAAACGTGCTACACGTGACGGTGTCATTTGTTTCTTTTTTGGACCACGCTTTTTTGGAAGCTTTGGCTCCACTGTTGGCAACGATTGCTTTTCTATGGGCGATGATTGATGTTGATAAGTTGTATTTTCCATAGTTTCGTGATATTGAATTTCGAATTCAAGTTGTTCTAATTGTTGTTGTTCTTGTTCGCGAGGAATTTTTGTCGGCATTTGATTTGAGTATGTGTTCAATGAGAGATGAACGGAGTATATGTGCTCTTTCTCGTTCTTCAATACGCATATATATATACGAATTTTTTCTCTTCTCGTTCCTCTCTCTCTCTCTTATACATAAAATGACCAATGGGATTTCAGTAGGTGAGAAAATTTTCGATTGGCACGTGTGAGATATGAGTTAATGATTAGACTGATTTTTTAACACTTTTAAATCGAAAGAAAACAAAAATGAGTTTATAGTTATTACATAAAAAAAAAATACAAACAGTTGCAGTATAATTCTACGCTGGATTGTCTCAACCGAGAAAGGGAAGTTTTCATCAAGGAAAAAAAATTGATTTTTCTTCCAAATTCTATATTTTCGGGTGAGACTTTCTTGAAAAATTGGAATATAGAGAACGGGAATGTTTCTATTTTGAAGTCTATATAAATTATAGAGTTAGAGCCTACAAATGAATAACATTCCTAGATTCGACTACTATGATGATAGTTTCATCGTTCGGATGCTTTCCAACGCGAACCGTTTGAAGCGCGTATAGGAGTGTCTATTCTTGATGAGTCAACCATTCAATTGTCTATTAAAGATCAAACAAACTATAAATAGGATGATCAATGTCGCGTGCTGGCCAACTTATCAAATGCATGAAACAAAAAATGGCATGTGTGGCGTGTTCTACCGCCCATGAAAAAGCACGATACTATGAGATGATACTCATTCTCATCTCTATTGTTTTGAGTCTATTCGAATGGAAAAATAATGCCGCTTGTTCATTCTTTCATCATCTCGGAAAAAAGATAAATGCTAATTTTCAATGGCCAACTGTCTTTGAAATAAATTTTATTCAGTTAGGGTCAACATTGACTCTCTTAAGTTCTGTTTCTTCTTAAAGAAATTGATATCTTGTTCTTTGACGAACTCTTGAAACATATCTCAACAATTGAACGTGTTAAAAATCAAAAGAACATCGTTTTTAGTCTTATCTTTGTTCAAGAAAGTGTTTTGTATATTGTTCGTGATCGATTGACTGACACGATGATTATCGTAAAGAAGACGAAAAAATCAACAAGCTGAAACTAAGAAAATGATGTCATGATCTTGCACGCTAAAAATTCATTTCGTGATTACCATGAAGAATAAATCTGATGCAATACGTTTTTATTATGCTTGAACGAAGAAGCAAGTGTCACACGAGAGAAAATAAGACTCATTATTTTTAATTGGACTGGTCGTCGCCAATAAAAATAAAAAAAATAATTATTGCTCTTTTTCTTATGTAAAAGAAATGATAGATTATGTGACCTCGAGATGTTTTGACAAGAATAAGTTTATCTCATGATTGTCATTATGAATAGAAATTATAACGCCTTAGATATTGATCGAGAAAAGATTAGATGTTTATATTAATAAAAAAAAAAAAGAGAGAGGAGACTGAGTCAAAGGTTGCATTTACTTTCAAGAGAAAACTCAATAAGTTTCACATGGAGTTTACACAATAAATCAATTTTTTGATTGATTTATAATTACCTATATATATATTATATCTAGGTGTTAAACAATCATATTGTTATCAGTGAAACTAATCAATGTGTAGAGTTGGTAGCTACAGCAGTAAATAGAACATTGATAAACAGATGGTTTAATCTTTTTTTTTTTTGCATAGTTTTATAACTTACAAAATTCAAGAGGATGTAATAAAAAAAAAGGTTTATTTAGATGTGATCGCCTGTTTTTGTCTTTTGCAAGGCATAGTTCATCAATTACAGGTATCAACGTCATTGCTCATAAATTGTTTTTCTATAGAAGCACAATCATTCGATTGATTTGTCATTTGATACGATTCTTTTCTTTGCAGGTGTAATAGTAATAAATCAAGAGACAAGACAAAAAAAGACGCACATACAAATTTCAATCAATTATTTAACAGTTAACCTGCTGAGTCGATCAAACAGACACTTCTCCCAACAAACTAGTACTTATCCATGACGCAACGGTTTTTTTCTGTTTCTGTTATTTTATGATTCACATGCCGACATGAATTGGTGTTAGTTTGTGTTAGTTCATTCAATTGAGTGAATCGAATGAGTGTCTAATTTCTTTGAATGAACGTACATGACACGTTTCGTTTTTCGTCTTCAAACGGTGCGTACTAAAGTCATACAATGAATATAGACTTTCGTATGTGCGTACACTTGTTTGTGCGTTCAACCATATCTTGTTGTTACTCCCAAGTGAACATCGTAGAAACTGATTTATAAACAATTGAATCGTAAATCTATAGATTTGAACAGCACAACAGGACGTTAATGGCATGAAATTGAAAACACAGAAGATTAATAGTTCTATACGGAAGAAAAGAAGAAATGAAGTGATGTTGTGTTTTGCTTGCCTTTCTTACAGAACTGTACAATACATTTGTCATCGAGTTGAATGAAATTTTCTTTTTCAGCTTTCTAAAATTATACTTAATGACGGTAGGTGAAACTTAAGGCATATTAATGGACATGCTCTAATTGTAGATTGTATGATAGATATTCAACAGGAGAGTTCAACTGAAAATTGATGAATTGGAATATTGTAATTTCCGAAGAAAAACAATGATTATTTATAGATGAGAATTTGTTTTCTTCAGTTAATAGTATCGCACACCTATTTCTGAGTCTAAGCCGTCTAGCTCTTCTATAATTACGCTCCTAGAATACTGATATCCGAGTTTCATGACGAACTCAATACAGAAGTTTAGCCGGATTGTATTATCCGTTTTTTTATAGCTTGAAAAATTGTGTTGTTGCAAACTGAATAAAAACGAACAGTGTTTTCTTTTTATTAGAGGAAAAAGTGCTCCTTAATTCATTCGATAAGAACTCGTCATAAATTAATACTTCAATTTTTCTATATACCCTGATGTGAGAACGTATAAATACAGGAGAACAGCATTTTGAACTTGAAAGTTGTTCATGTTCGTAATTCTTACGTATGATTTTGTAGAGAACAGAGCGATGAATAGTTTTGAAAGAATATTCAGCTCGAATCAATTTAAATTAGAAACGATATTGAAGAGATTTTGACACAATCGTCAGAAAACGAAAGTTATAAATATTCCTTGTAATTCAATTAATTATGATTCCTTGATTTTTATATTAGTGGTATATCAGTATAGAATTTGAAAAACTCTCTTAAGCCATTCTGTATTGTATTTCTTTGTTTTTATAGTTGGAATATATTATTTTTCATTTACTTTACTTATTATTTAGGCAATATATATATATATATATATGATAATTTGACAATCAGCAAAGTATTTTTATTTGCGTGTAACATGATCCAAAATCGTCATTGATACTCGTCGAGTTTGTTTCAAATTAGATGGGTTCGATCCCACACATTACGTTTTTGCCCAAAGGTATGAACTACCTCTTTATTGAATTTCTTGAGAATTAAGTACTTCGATTATGAAGAAATTTTTAACTAACGCCAACATTCTCTAGATTCTATTTCATATTTTAATTCAACATGAATTCTCACTGCACAATGAAGGTAAAGATTGTTGTTAATATTCAGAATATATTACAGTGCAAAAAACCGTAATTCCCGTGCGGTTCGAATTACGCATTTCATTATACCACTGTCCAAAATATTTCTTATAGTAAAATAATTCGATATTTCAATCTTAACAAAATTCAAGATAAATGTTATTGACCTTGAATTAAATTATCTATGTTAACATTGACAGGTCCAAATCAAAGTGCAAGTATTCCGTATCTTGTTACTCAGCTATTATAGTAGAATATTAATAATGGATGATGCCTTGATTTCATAAATATATATTTTGCCAAAAGCTAATTTTTTTCTTTGTAGAAAAACGACACAAAAATAATATAGCAAAGCCATAAGAATGCATATCAAGCACTACAATACGTGTAAAATAACAATAAAAAAAGCTAGTAGTTTTATGAATTATTATATGTTATTGTTATTTCTTTTTACGATGATCGGCCAACTTTAAAAACAAAGACGGTATAAAGAATAAATGAGAAAAATGTAAGGACTAAGGCAATTATATCTAAGCCAGTGGACCAACCGATTCGCACAGTATATATTTGACGAACTTCTTCTAGAAGTTGCTGGAGATTTGAATCTAAAAATACGGATAATTAAATATTAAAACGAGACAATTTCTTTTTTTTATCGAACTATAAAACTCATTCTCATAGAAAAAATAAGTCCTTGTTTCTTTTTTTTTTGTTTTACAACTTTAGGCTTTATGGGTGCTTTTATTGTTCTTTAAAGTATACGTACCAGTTGATGGTCTTCGAAGAATATACATCATGTCTCGTGAGAGATAACTTCCGACGAGTATCAATGTAATAAGTATAAAAATGAATGTCAATAAAAGTAACAATAATGGAAAGAAACTAAGGCATATGCCTACGGAACGAGCTTCTGATGTATTAATTGAATGAATAAATAGAATAACAATTGCCAGGCCAAGAAAGACCGCAGCAATGATTGCACATGATGCAATACCTTTGGTCGATGGTAAAAAATCACATTGAAAATTATCATTGAGAGGTATTTGTACGCACAAGTTCGAATCGAGAAAGTTATTGTTCATTGGAAATTTATTAGGAAAACATGTTTCTGTTGCATTGAAATATGAAGTTACACATCGTGTGAACAATCCAATAGTGGTTTGATTAATGTAATTAATGTTAGTAAAATTATGTTTAACTGCAGTTTTCCAATGATGATGACCCATCGCAGTAACATGGAAAACAAATGCAAAGACAGCAAGAATAAAAACAGTAAAATAAAGTATCTTGGCTTTTTGCATTCTAATGAATAATACCGAAATCAATCGACATGAAATATTGAAAAATAAATATAACAATGGTAGTTACTTGTTGTGTTTTTGATTGCACTGTAGAGTGTTAAATGTGCGTTCGGGAGAACAACAATGGTTTGTAATACTGAGATATGATTATGACAACTGTGTTAATGAAACAAAATGAAGTTAAACTATCCAGTAAAAGCCATAGATTTGATTTCATTCTTACTCGTATTCTATCGTTCTTCGCTTTTGTCGAAAAAAGAGAAGAGGCAAAAGTTCAGATCTAAAATATAAGGACTAGCCGTATTCGTTCGTCTCGGCAAGTGCTTACGTAAAATTGGATTCGTGAGTTCTGTAGAAGAAAATTTTTGTTGAATGTATCAAACAAAAGAAATTTTTTTTTCGTCTCGTTTTTCTTGTTTGACTAAGCACTTTTTTTCGTTCGTTTGCTTGCAAGATTATCTTACATGCATATATATATATATATATATATATATAATATAGCCTATAACCGGCTTATTATACAGTGACAACGATATAATTGAATCTATTGTATATGTAGAAGAAAAAGAAAAGAAATATGACCCATAAATTGAAATACTCGATCTAAATAAAATTCTTGATTAAATATAAGTATAACCGCTATTGCATATTTCTGACATTGGAAACCTACTAAACATGCAATTGTAAAAGCGAAGCTTCAAGTTTCGGTTGAATATTTCAAAATTTCTTTCACATGTAATATGAATATAATTGACCTATACGCGAAAAAGTGCGCTTTATAATTTTTTGATAAGATTAAAATGACGATATTCACGAATGCATTTAACTGATATTCAATTCAGAATTAGGACTGAAGAACTTTTAGTTCTATCTAAAATCGGCACTTCTTGCTAGTCTAGATTAACTATCAACTTTCAAGTCAATAGAATCCTTGATCAATCAGTAGACGATTGAAATAGTTCAGGATATTTATTCAAAATTTTTATTGAAGATGTATAATAAGAAGTTTTACATGCTGAAGGTTTCGTAGTTCTGTCTAGGTATCATATTACAGATTATCGGATGAAGATCATCGTCGATTGTCCAATAAGAAAAGAAAATTTTTCATTGATTTGATTTGCTAATAAATCGTTTGTGTAGATTATTAATTATCGCTTTGAGCGTGTGTATTTTTGTATTGATTAATTTAATAACTTGAACTTTGATCAAGATCTAACAAAAAAAAACGAATGTCAAGTTAATCTAGATGCAAACACGTCATAGAAACGACTGAGCCGACGGAGGATTATAGTTCTATATTAGTGTTTTGCCACACACTTTTTTATTTTTCAACACTATTACTTATTTGATAAGTCTACTTAGCGTGCCATAGACTAATCTATCATCTATACACTAGTTTAATTATGCATCCTGTGTACCTATGCATGCCTAACTGATCAATCATGCAGAAAACGTGCTTTAGAGAACGATGTACGGTAACGTTAAAAGCAGGAAACACACATCAAGGAAGCCACTGTAAGAATAACCTGTATCGAATGCGAAGAAAGAAGGCTAAACAAAAAGCAATTATATTAATGGAAAACTCAAGCAAAAAATGATTACGGCAAAATATAGTGGTCGAAAAATGAGTCATCCTAAGCATACAAAAAGATAATGAAAAACAATATCAAGCGTCATATTCCTCTAGACTTTTTATTTCTAGCTGAGAAAGAATGAGATAGAGATTTTCATGTTAGATCGATCTAGACACTGGCGGATCTACTAGTTCGGCTACCCGGCGCTCGGCACCCCCTGAGAATAGACTGGACAACGAAATATTTTTAAAGGCTTAAATAATATTAGAAGGTCGAAAATAACCGAAGGGAATCGAACAACTATAATTGATTGTCATCGTCTTGAATATTACGTAAGTAGTAGATCAAAAAATATAAATAGCGTTTGTTCGTTTTCAGCTTCATTTCTGTCTTTTTTTAAAGTGCTACCCGAAATGTTTCTGCGATTCTTATATTCACCAAATCGTATCTTTCAATAAGAAAATAAACCACAAGATGTTGGTGTCAAAGGTTCGAAAACGGTTTTAGTTTAATAATAAAAGTTCCACCAAAAAAATCATGAAAAGATGTAATTAGAAAAATCCGGTGAATTGTAACTAATTTGCATGGATGAATGCGCTAAGTTCAGATTTTATTGCGCAAAAATTAAATAAGCAATGGAAAAAAAAACTGTAGTACTCTGATTTGTATATTTTCGAAAAACATTTCTCTGCTCCATCCATATTATATAATTTAGAAAGCGCCGCCCCCTCTAAAAATTCCGGAATCCGCCACTGAATCTAGAAAATATGTTTTTTCTCTTGTTGGCTCCATGCGATGAACTACAATGAACATGAATAGAAGCCGAAAACATAAACCAGATAAGCCGCCGTCATAGCTATGCTGTTGTTCAGAAAAGTTTTCTTTTATTTACGTGGATTTGAGAAAAAACATAAATGACTCAATGATTACATGTAATGAGTTAGTAAAAATTACATAGCCCATATACTTGCTGCGTTTATTATCAAAGTCTTGGGTGTTAATGACCAAACATGAACTATGTTAGTTTTCTTTGTTATAATTGCATCATTTATTATTTAGTTGCACGCCATCTCATCCAACAATGCGATGAGCACATGGTAGGATTTAAGTAAAGAAAAAACTCGAACGTCAAATGATTGTTTATCGCAGAGTCATATTCTATTTTTCATTGTAATATACACATTTTTAATTAATAGAACCCTTGAGGATTGCATATTATTATATATAGCGTTTGAAAAAATTATCGAAAGCTCCCAATTTTGAAATAGAAACTCACTTAGTCAATTCACGCAGACTGTCTCATTGTTGATCATTAAGCAAAGGACATTTTTCGTAACAAGATCCGTAATTATGATGATGAAATCTTTATCGACAAACATGTCAACAATGGATTTGTTTTGTTGAGTAATTATACGATTAGTTGAAAATAAAATCGCTCGTAAAAAAAATCTTCTAAAGGCACACGCAACAAACGAGAACAGTAAATCTGTGCGTGTCGACTCTAGAATCCTAAATGTTTTTAACGTTTATAAAGAAATGGCTTTTCCTTATAGGATCAACTCAAGCATTGGGAAAAGTCTATTGGCGCGCATGCGTGCTTGTGTTCTTTTGTTAACTTAACTGAAAAAAAATCAACCATTGGTCTCGAGAATCTAATGATATGTTAAATTGCACTTGTAATAGAATACTTTCGAGCACATTCAACTGGAAACATCTATAGAGAAAGCATTCGAGTATAGTTTATAGCATAATGTGAATTTCAGTGGAACCAAAAACCGAACTTAGGCAATTTTAAAAGAGTCACCCAATAAAATGAATCGCATGAATTTTTGTTTTAACGAAAGTCCGCTGCTTTTATCCTCAAAATAAACTTGGCGAGAGAAACTAATTCCTTCGCTTATCTGTAACTGAATTATTTTTCTAGTGACATGCATGCTGTTTGGTTCATCCGACAAAAACTATCAATTGAGTTAACGCCCTCAATCTGCACACCAACACTAACAGAATACGTTCACGTGCCTGATAGGCAATATAGGCGTAAAACAAAAGGAACGAAATCTGAATCCTGTGTTTACACCAAAAGACCATTGAATGTTAGTTGAATATTGATCGGATCTTGCACATTCTTGACTACATTCAGAATGTTTCCATTTATTTCTACTTTTCATCATCATAACAAAAGAAAACGACTGAAATTGTCTTATTATATGTCGTGCATGACTCACCGATAATGTAAAGTAGACAGCTAAGAAAGTTGATGTCAGTTATAAAGGAAACACTTACAAGTTATTCGTTAAATGCAAACAAAATAGAGTAGCTACTTGTATTTTTATCACACAAGGAATAATTTTCTAGATCATTTCAACGTCGATATTCGACCTATTATATATTAGTATTCGACTTTTTACTATAATAAATATTGCACGTAAAAAGCTTTTGTATTGCGCACACTGTATTTTATTCAGAAGAAAACTTCGATTACACGCAATATAATTATTTTCTTAAATTACTTAAAAAACAAGAATGCATTGTTCAACAGCTTAAGCATTAGATGCATGTTAACGATAAGATTTTCGGTTATCTAAACAGTAACACAAAGAAAAGGCAGCCAAATATTTAGTTATAAGCATAAATGGTCTACATTCAATAGCAATCCTATAAGTATTTTTCTCTTAAGTTTCTCCTATTTTGTTTTGAACATTACAATAAACAACATTATTGACCAAGAGACCGGAAATATATTTGTATTTAATATGCTTATTTTGTTCAATTTGAACATGTTCGTTATACTAATAAGCACTGTAATTAGTCAACTATTTAGCATGCTTACTCGATGAAGCCGTATTAAGTATGAGCATATACATCCGCAATTGCAGATAGAGAAAGAATAGAGTATGAGGCTTGTAGTAGATTCTTTAGGATTTAAGATCATATTGTATATGATTAAGATTCTCATGTTAATGAAGGATTTACGGGCAAAAAATTCATTTGATTAAGGTACGTGAGTTTTCATCGATGTGGTTTAGTTGAATGGATTTCTATAGGTTGTAAAAAATAAGAAGAAAATAAAATAGCCTTCAGAAAAGAAAGGAAGAAGAAAGTGCCGTTTCTTTTTTTTTGTCATAGTATTTTGTTCCTAATGTCCTGTTTTTATCTTTTGATCTCTAGTCCTGTCGATCATACATACATTAATATGATGCGAGAAATTACTTTGAGTGTCACACTTCGTACTCATATTTATGTTGTAAGTCACAATGAGTTTGTGTCCGTAAAATGACAACACAGATTCATCGTGCATTTAGTATCCATGAAAGGAAAAAAATCGAGTAATAGAAGAAATTCAAGTCTCAAAAATAAAAATATTAACTTTCTTCGAGAGACAATGAGTAAAAACCATCTTTCTATCTATTAGGGTGAAAAAAAGAAGCATGCTGCTGTCTGTCATTAACCGTCAGAAACAGGAGGTATGCTACTTTCTTTAATGTAGTTCGTATCTTAAACATGCAAAACGGATCGACTAGTTTATTCAAGAAATCACACATTTTTTCTTTCTCTAACAAAAGCAAATTCTATGAAGCATATATACATTGTAGATAAAATATATATATATATATATTTTTACATATTGCTCAATTAGGTTATATTAATACATTTGACTGTTATTTTCAGTGGTGTCAAGCTTAAAACTTGAATTCAGTTGAAAATAGAAAATTTCAACTTTCATCTCATAGCGATATATGTGTGAGTCGCAATTCTCAAAATGCAATTGGCTTAAAAGTTGAAACTTGAAATTTTCAATTGAATTCAAGTTTCAAGTTTGACATATATGGTTATTTTAACTTTCAAAATAAGCAATTTTTTTCTTTTTTCTTTACTGTTTTATTTCTATTGTTATTATTCCTGTCGTTGTCTGTGACCAGTATATATATCGCAAGAGAAAAAAAGCAAGTCGAGTGCTTCTTTGCACTAATTTCTTTCTGCTCTTTCTTTTTTACGCCGCAGTTCTCTTGTTTTTTCCAATGCATTTCTCTCATCGTTCACCAAGAGAAGCAAACAATGATGGATCTCGATTACCAAGGCCTGATCATGATGTTGGTCTTTCATTTTTATATCGCCCAAGACGAGACACAGCACGTTTAAGCAATTCAACATTTTCTACTTATTATTCTGTAGAATATATATCGATGCCGTATTTTCCGAAAAATAATCAACGTTCCGTTCGTTCTAATATTCAAATATCATTATACAATTTTCTTGAACGGCCAGTTGGCTTCAAATGTTTTACATATCATTTTTCTGTGTAAGTATAAAATTATTTTCTACTGATAAACAAATAGTATAGACAAGTACTACTATCAAACAGATAAGTTTCTATTGACCTGTAGGTTTCGTTTATCTTATTGAGGAATCGTCATGGACCGCACTTATCTGTCCTCACAGTTTAATCGAATGGTTACAAAAACGGAAAGATGCACTTGAATTATAAATAGAATCAATATCAAGTTCAGGATTATAGACATTTTCCTTGAAAGTTGACATACTGCTATTATTTATATTCAATGAAATAATTAGTTTTCGTCCGATATTTTCTATATGACTACGATTAAAAACAAAGTGTTTTCATTTAGATTTCTTGTAGTGCTTGTTGGTCTTGTTTTGTCTGTTTTAACAACGATTGAAAAGTTTTCTACGAGCCTATCAATATATGTTTATTGGATTGAAATATTTCTTGTTGTCTTTTTTGGTTTTGAATATGCAATAAGATTATGGTCAGCAGGTTGTCGAAGCAAATACATGGGTGTACTAGGCCGAATACGATTTGCTCGAAAACCGATCGCCATTGTCGGTATGAGAAAAAATATAGAACGATGAAAGATAATATGTTTCATTGAGTTATTTATTTCAAATAGATTTATTAGTTGTTATTGGGTCAACACTAATGATTACTTTAGCTGCCGATCGGCAAGCTTTTGCTGCATCGGCTATTCGTGGTGTTCGATTTTTACAAATTTTACGTGTTTTACATGTTGATAGACATGGTGGCACATGGCGTTTATTAGGAAGTGTCGTATATATTCATCGACAAGTAAAACAAAAAAAATGAATAAAAGAGATCATCTTTCTTTTTCAACAATTGAAAATTTTCGTTTTACAGGAATTGATTACAACATTATATATCGGCTTTCTTGCATTAATTTTTTGTAGTTATCTTGTTTACATTGCTGAAAAAGACGAAAAAACCGTAGAATTGAGGGGTGCAAAAGGTAACGATAGCCATTTCGACACTTATGCAGACGCACTATGGTACGTTAAGTTTGGTAAAGCTGATGTTTATTTTATTTTAAAGCGGTTTATTTTTGTATAGGTGGGGTGTCATAACTATAACTACGATAGGGTAAAAGAAATTATTTAATAAATTTTGTTCTTTTGATTTTATTATTTTTTAGTTATGGGGATGTTTTCCCAGTCACTTGGTAAGTAAGGTGCCGGAAATTTAACAATTAAGCAAAAATTTTTTATCATGCTTCGATAGAACCAGTCGAGTTCACGATTAAAATGCTGTTTTTTAACATTATGTTACTTTTTTAGTGAAATTTGAAAAGCGGCTAAAAATATCAGAAGAGTCTGTATAGATAGATTGAGGGAAGAAATGCCACAAGAAATTAATTATGAACGATCTCGACTTGTATGCCAAGTGCCTTCAGACTTTATTTTCAACATAGTTTGACAAAAAAGGATGTATAATTAATAAAAAAAAGCGCCGATTAATTATTTAGCAAGACTCAATTTTTCAATAAAAGAGTAAAACACTGTAAAGAGTTTTGCTGCTAGCAGTTCACTTATCGTATAAAAATGCTTGCATACAAATAAACATGCAAAACTAATTCTAGTCAAATTTCCGGCTTTACACTTCGTCTGTACTTTTTTGGATACTGAGTTTTATTTCTCTCCAAGGCCAAAGTTCGGCGGAAATTATTTTTTAAAATTGCTTCGACTATTCGATGTAGATTTTCTCTCTAATGCTTCTAAAGATGATATTCGCCTTGCTCTTTTTTTAAAATTTAAACTCGAGTAATCACAATATATTTTGTTTTTGGTGAACTGTAGAACAAGAAAGCTGTTAGTGTTTTATATTTTTGGCACACATTTGTTCATCATCCTTTTACTTATTTCTCTAAAAATATAATCAGAAAATAGTTTCTACGTTGTCACGAAACATCAGCTGCCTACGAACACAGCTCATATATCTATAACGTTTTGTCACAGTCTATCGGGAATTCAAATTCGTATCCCTATATTTCAATACTCTTTTGACATAATGTTTCTCATACGTTAAAATAAATAATTAGTCTTCTGAGACTTGATACTTCTGCCATATTTCAAATTAGTGAGACTTGTCTAATTTCACCAGGTGAATTCTCTTTAATTGCAGTGCCAAAAACACTCGCAGGGCTATGTTAAAAATAACATTTGTATAGATAACTCGATGAGCTCTATTTTATCATGATAAAAATACTTTGCTTTACTCAACTGTCCAATGGTCGGCACCTTCAATTATATTTTATCCTTTATATTATTTGTTTACAATTCATATTAAAGGATGGGAAAGATAATCGCTTCATTTTTTGCTATTTTTGCGATATCTTTTTTTGCTCTACCAGCCGTAAGCATTGCGAAGGAAGAACTTGTAGTTAGTTATTTATTTATAAAATTATAGGGAATTCTTGGCTCTGGTTTTGCTTTAAAAGTTCAACAGAAACAACGACAAAAACATTTCTCTAGACAAATTCCAGCTGCAGCAACATTAATTCAAGCTGCATGGCGTGTTTATGCAAGTGCACCTGGCTCATCGTGCGTGGCAACATGGAATATTTATTTACGCGTCGCCGATGTTGGTCTCTCACCAACAGTTAATAAATCTTTTCCCACAAATCATCAAACATTCAGTGGTATGACAATTCAAGATTATAGAAATTTTTAAAAAATGTATTTTAATTTTTTCTCCCTACTCATGACAGAAAGAACAGCAGAAAAACTTCGACATTTACGTTTATCGAGTGCTCAACGAAAACATCGTTTGAAGAGAACAAGTCAAAATCCATCATCACCTAATCTTTTACAATCACCAGGCTTTACGGAACGACGAGGCTCAATATCCTCAACATCGAATACCACAGGTTTAGAAAAGTAATTGAACTATTAATTTCCTGTGGATGCTTATTTGTTAAAGTCTGTTATGTAATATCTAGTACCGATCATGACGATGAAGACTTCGAAGAAGAACCAATGAAACCACATACGTAAGTAATTAGTTTTGAATTTTATTTTCGTAAAATAATACATCAAAAAAATGGAAATGATGTATCCAAGTATTTCAATATCATAGGATAAAGTAGTTTTAGGGTATGTTCACTAGTAGAAAATCGAACGTTTTAGTTTTCACAATGTTGGAAGACATGATAGAAAATGTTATTAAATCGTGTAAATATATATTTTTCTAAAAATGGGCTTGTTGAGATTTGTTTTCAATCGATTTTTATCAGAAAGAAACACTGAAAATCTGATTCGAATAGAATATTTATAACTTGACTACATAACTTTGAAGTTAGTTTTTCACAGGTAAATTTTTTTCCGAAAATCTTTATCTGATTTATGAAATAACTAAATATTCAATTTACCTTAGTCCATGAGAACATTAACTTCAGATTCTCTTCGTTAAAGGAGAAACTTTAGCTTTGAATCTTTTGAAGCGTCATAAACTCTATTGTTTTCTTCTCGATTATGTATGAAATTTCCTGAATCTAATTAGCAGCGGGCAGATTTCCAAAAAAGAAAATTTTCTAGCTAAATATGCATATTTCGGAAACTACACGGATGAAAAATTCAAGTTTTAGAAAATATCAGAAACTTTCGTAATTACCCCAATATTATTCGTCATAAACCAAAATCAAAATTAAGTAATTTCCTGGAAATTTCCTGGAAATTTCTATATTAATATCGTATAGGTTTAAGAATAAATATGTATATAGATTTATTCTTAAACTTATACGAGATTAATATAGAAATTATAGTATTTTCCGAAATTGACGGGAAATTTCTTTTTGTATGTGAAGTTGATTTCAGAAATTCCCAGTATGTTTTGTTGGGTGATATTTGAAATTATGGTATTTTCTGATAATTTTCTTCTGCACGTAATGGCAATTTTGGAAGTTTCAAGGAAATTTCTGTTTGCACGTTTCTGTGTCTTTTAATAGCGTGATAGAAATTTGTTATTTTCGGAAATTTACTTTTTCGGAAATCTGAACATACGTCAATCTAATAGTTAAATTACTTTGCTTTCTTATCTGTTAGTTTAACTGAAGATCATAAGCGAGCAATACGATGTGTACGTAAAATACAATTGATTGTTGCTCGCAATCGATTTCAAGTATGTCGAATCGCTTTTCTTTTCATCCATTTAAATACTTTTTCTTCTAGCAAGCAAGAAAGCCATATGACGTACGTGATGTACTTGAACAATATTCTCATGGGCATATAAATATGATGATGAGAATAAAAGAGTTACAACGAAAGTATAAGAAAGAAAAACAATATATAATTCATCGTGCATGTTAATCATTTGTTTATTTGACTTAGAATTGAACATACGATTGGTAAACAAGAGCCCGGACCAAGTGAAGATCGCGCAAAATCAACTGTTCTCGCACGAATGCAGCGTGTCGAAGGTGCGATAACTGGTATGGGAGAAACGATGGGACACATTTTAGTATTGTTAAGAAGTGTTGACGAAAAACTCAATCGAATTTCACCCAACGATAATCGTGCGGCAAGATCAGTTTTAACTCCAGTTAACGCAAAGTTTTCTCCTACACAAGAAGAAATACTATAAAATTTCATGTTTTATTCTTTTAAAAGAAAAATTAATAATATATTAAAATAATTCAGAGATCAGAAACCAATCGTTTGGATATTTCATATTGATTAGGAATAAAAGATTTTGTTGCTTGTATAAAATTTGGATAGATTGATAGTGAACTTGCTGTTCGTAATGGCACTTGATGTGTTGAACTTATTAATTCTCCATATGAATGCGCACGTATCTTAATTTGAGATTGAATCGGCTGAGTAAGAACAATTGATAAGCGATCATTTAGTAGTTCTGTTGAATGTAATGAGTCTTTCCTTTTATTTTCTTGAGAACAAGAATAACGTTTGAATGAAATAAAATTATAGACTAGATAAAATACAAGAATAAATAGAAGACTAGACAATAATAATATAATGTATAAACCGGTATGATCGCCCACTGGTTCGGATGTTAAGAAAGTAATCTGATGTTTTCCATCAGAAAAAGTTATATTTAATTCGCCCATCGCGAACGAGAGACTATTTCGTTTGCAGTTAGAAATAGTCAAGTCTCTTTTATTTTATTTGTCTCTGTTGACAATGTCAATCTGTATTCAATTAGATATTGAATAGACAGATTGACAACATAACAATGAATAGATCAGCAATATATTGCAATGTAACTATCAATAGTATTACCCGTGAGTGATCATGGTTATACTACGCATCGAAATCGTATAATTTTCTTTCGTTTCAATACACTTATGTTGTGTTCTGACAAGAGACGAGTTCTTTTTTCATTTTTCTATTGTCTCTTTTCTTTATTTTGGATTCATTTCAAGCGGTTATCTTATCTCAGTTATTTCTTCGTTCTTTTTCTTCCTCGATACTGAATAAAATGGATTTGATTTTTTTTGCATGGAAGCACGTAGAGATGAATGTCGAAGTATTGTCGCTTTCGTTTAATAGTCCAATAATGCACATTATCAAAAATTGCTCCTAAAGAACAGAAAATAGTAAGACTAAATAGATAAAAGACAGATGAAAGAACACTAGCCCATGTTTGCTGCGAATATGTCATAGTTGAAACTTGTAATGTATTCCAATAATTGAATTCAAGTTTCCAGTATGACACTACTGAACCTTTATGGCATGAACGGATTCATTTCTATTTCAAACTGTACTTGGGAATGACAGCGTACAAAATATTCTCTAAATTATTCTCAGTTTATTTTTATTGAAAAGATACGAGACGAAAACAAAGACGTAGTACAGGTTCATGTTGTATTTGCTTGAAGTAAATTCCGAAGCCAGAGTTGAATAGGCCTTGGCAAATACAAAAACTAGTTTAAGTCTCTGTGTAATCCGCGTTTCTACACGGCCGTCGAACATTTTTATAATTGCAGTGGAGACAGAGAAGTATGCTACCGAGGACGCAAGTCAAAACCACAAAAACTATCATAACATTTCTGAACAATATTTCGTGGGAATCCTTGGGTTTAGCAGTTGATGTTGTGGTAGTGGGCTGAATTGTAGTAGTTGATATAATTGGTATGAGACGGCCGGGTCTATTGAATGTGAATTGATCAAGATATCGTGCATATGGCTTATTAGCTGTTGTACCTAGTACAAGATCCGTCAGAATATCAGCGAATACTGGTATGTATTTCATTGCCCAACCTCCAGCACCCATGGCCATTCGTTTTCCATTATCATTAACAGGCACATAGTCAAGCAAATATCCTCCGTCGGATAAGATTGAAGCGAGGCACGTGTTAGGCGCTGACTTAATATCATCAGGATCAACGAATTTTGCCATGTGTGTTTTGAGCCACCAGTGGGTAGCATTGAGTAACAATTGATCGGGTATATTCGTTCGCTGATCAGGCCAAACAAGTGCTCTCTTAGGATCAACGAGAAAATGTGACTCAATGCGTACGTAGCCGGCATATAAGCTTTTATCAGATTCTGGTGAGGAACCAGTAAATGAATCATCGAACCAGTTTGGTGTGATTGTTGAAACGTTAGTTAGCCGGTGAGCATAGAATGTGGGTAACTCCCATAAGGTCATATTCAAATTTAGGCCTAGCAGAGCGGACACATTCTTGGCATAAGGTCCTGGCAAAAAAACAATATTGGAGGCGTTTAAAGAGCCGCGATTAGTGATCACATTGATGGTGGACCCATTCGACGAGTCATGCTTAAGATAAGCTTCGTTCTCACGAATGACTACATTTGGTGTCTGATTCAGCACTTGCTTGAGAACGTTGAGCAACAGTGTAACATTAATTTGCCCAGACGAAGACATAAACACGGCTTGCTGATCCGAAGATGCGTTAATAAACGAGTAGTTATACTTAAGCTCGGTTGGATTTAGCAATACACAAGGCAAAGAAAGATTACGACAATTATTGTTGACCGAACCAGTCTCCGTCGTTGAATCAATATACAAGAAACCATTGTTTGTATTTAGGAGACTGCCGGTGGCAAGCTTGCACGTCGCTCCAAATCTTGTCACATTGGAACTGCTAATCTGCCTAGGTCGCTCATATACCACTCGACATAGGCTTGCTGAAATTGTCGAATATCTGAAGAGCCCGAGCTACCTTGAGTGTTTCCTAGTTGAAATCGTTCGATGATGGCGATGCGCCAAGTTGGCTGTTTTTGTGACATTGCTAGAGCTGTTGCCAGGCCAAGCGGTCCTCCACCAATAATTGCCAAATCGAAAACTTCCTCCTGATAACGAAAAAATGAGGGGTGTCCAAAGGCTGTGGAATAGGAATTCCTCCTCAGTTATCCGAATACTGAAATCAAAAAGATGCAATATTCACGATAGTTTTTGCTCTTATGTTTATTTTCACTGGGAAATTTGTATACATGAATGTTATGGTACAAAAAAATATTTCAGAGAAAGGATTATTTTAACTTTTATAAATTGGGCAACTACGAAGGGACTAATGCACAGTTCTCGCTTCCCTGAGGAGTTATCATGGCGTTGCTGAAAATTCCTCTTCAGTTTAGGAATTCTCATTTCTCAATTCTTTGGCACTGCTGATAAAAGCTGTAACAATAGGTAAAAGAAACATACTTGCAAATGCATTAGGAGACGCATCGAAGATAGTACAGCACCTTCGACCCAGGCGTGTGCCAAACTCGTATGCTCACCAATGAAATGAACTGTGTCACCAACCGACGCACCCAGATCATTATGAATATTAACTTCTTGATAAGGCGTGAAAAGAGCATAGGCACCCAAAGAATATGGATCGTTGCACCAATGATAGGTCTGACAGCCTGCCTCATAACTGTATACGTCGGATGTCGCATGAATCAAGTTAAGATTATCCAAAGCAAGTCTGCACGATTGATTATCACGCATTCCCGACCAAAGAAGCGCGTCCTGTGCCCACGTGTATGAACTCAACATGATAGCACCATCCTCCGTGCGATTAGAGGTCGTGCTAAAGTTATAGTAGTAGACAAAGCGTACCGGTAAGTCAGTAATTGAATGACCACCAGTAATAACTTGCTTCTCCCACCACCGAACACTGAACGAGTGAGCAATCTTACTCGCACAGTCATAATTCAACTGACGCAGCGCCTGATATTTGGTAATAAATTCAATTCTCGGACGAAAATCGATGGCATTGGCTGCACGAGCTGTTGTTGCCACCACAATGTCCGTAAAGTTGCCAGGTACTGTCAGACCTTTCGATTCAAGTGTACCTGTATGTGAAGAGCTGCTGTAGAGCACGCTGGATATTGGTCGGTTAAGATAGAGAGAACATCTTCCATTTAGTACTGTCTGACAAGCTTTGGCAAGTGCATTAATCAAAAGATCATTCCCACCATCGATATGCGAGAAGTTTGCATTCACCGGAAGCAGTTTGAAGTCACGTGCAATTTCCACAATGCTTGCATACATATCTGCTTCGAGGTTGAGCATCAATCCGATAAAATCAACGGCTCCGCGTGATAGATTAGCAACTTCCATGAGATAAAATTGGACGCTATAGGCACCATACATCCTGAGTTGAGTCGCATCGTCCATATCCAACAGAGGTTTGATGGCAGTGCCCCACAACGCCCAGGGTGTCTATACGATACCGCACGATGATAATACTGAGTGTAAGTTTTAAGACTAGGTTTTACTTTTTTTTTTAAAACTTCATTACAGATATTACCAACTAAACAGTAGCCTTTACTCAAATATGAAACTTATGAATTCGGCTACGAATGTTTTCGTTTTCCTTCCTATTAAAAATTTCAGTATACTGACGTTAAATAATTTATTTAAGTTTCGTATTTTAGTCCCAAGGAAACTAAACCAAAAAGATTGCTTCAGGGTCCTATTTAAAAGGCTAGTCACTTCTGCTTGCAGGATTCCTGATAGTTTCATAGGTTTCTGGTCATAATTCATCTAAACTTCTACGCATTATGTAGTTATGAACATGAGTATGATGAAGAGAAAATTCCTAAACGCAGTCAATCTCTAGTTTCATATGACTTACCTGGCCTTTTCCTTGTCAGAAACATTAAAGTTGAATGTCTCCGGAAACGAGTGAGGAGATGATCTTTGAGCGGTTATACCATTTAAATAGACAACTGTGTTAGGATTATAATGTTGGAACTGTTTTATAGGTAATCCAAATCGACTTTTGATGTAAGTAGCAAGAAGTAGATGTTGGTCGAGTGGCAAACGCATTGCTCCCAATTCAGTGATGTAACCTTTCGGCGCTCTATAGGTGTAAATACGACCACCCAGTCGATTACTTGCTTCAAATAGTTGAACCATATGTCCAGACAAGGAGAGTTCAAGAGCTGTTATTAGCCCAGCAACACCTACAAGAATTCATCGTATAGATCATCGCTATTATCCCTCTCTAAAGATTTGTCAATCTCTTTAGGAAATCCATCTCAACTTGCATTAACTTGGGTTGCCGAAAAATAAGATAAAAATCCTTTAGAATTTCAGAAAAATTGAAAGAAATACGTTACTTACGATCTCAAAGCTGTGATCTATGTCGTAAATATTATTTATGAGATACAAAAAAAAACAAAAAAAAAGATATGGCGACTAAAAAGCTTTAGGTTATGGAAAATGAGGCTAAATAAAATATGAAATGGAGGTATACGAAAATATATGATGCCAATCACTGATTCTTCGGCTGAGTAAATTGGGATCAATGACTATCATATATCAGAACTGACAAAAAAACTCCACAAGTTCTTTCCAGATTGTCAAGTTAAATCTTATTGATCTGGTATCCTGGTATCCGTATCCAAGATGACCAAATAGGCGATTAGATAGAATTAATAGCTATGCTTATTTTCTTCGCTATTACCTCCGCCAATGACTGCAACATTTCTGGGAGTTAAACATTTTGGTAGACCTTGTTGTGCAGTATTAAGCATCTGTTCGTTGTACATATTGTTTGGATCTAGGTCTAGAGGTGGTGGACCGTTGTTGTCGCCGTGGAAACGCAATCGGGCACTGTGACTTGGTCGACTCGCGATTTGGAAGACGAACAGCGTCAGCAGCCATATAAACATATTGCTCAGTATCATTTAGAATAAATATCTCCTTAATACTAGATGAGTAGGAGAAAATAATTAGTATTTAAGTTACTCTACAGACTTTTGCATTGAAGAAAATCTAGCTGGAATACAAACATTAGAAAAGAATAAGTCCAACTCTCAACTTTGGATCGAAACTAATATCACTGCAGTACATCCGTAATATTTCTACTGGTTTAACTTTTCAGAAAGAGCATTGGACTAATTAGATGGTTCCTGATGTAGAACTTTCAAGATGGTCCAGTCAGTTTTCCAGATTAATCTTAAATCGTTGGTGAGAGTAATTTTTAAAAAATCTTTCAGCGAAAATATTCAATATAATTCATTCCTTTTTGATTTTTCACAAAATTGAATCTCTACAGCTTCTTTTATACCAAAAAACAGTCAGTCTACTAGACAAATAATTGCTAACATGCTCATCGTAACCCAACTAAAAATTCGATTAATTGTTTGCAAATGATGATCATGATTAAAATCTACTCCCCGCGCAAACAGCACCAAAATAAATTGACAAAGTGCAACAAAAAACTCCTAACACTATACCAACCCTTGAATAAGAGTTTTAGTGGTAAAAAATTTACACTCTAACGAAAACGAGCCCACATGTCTACGATCTCTAATATTGAATGTCTCCAGCATTTCTCAATAGTTGTTTGTATAGCGAAAAATATCACTATGAAATACTCAATGAAATACGTATATTTGTTGTGTATGAACAACTTGGAAAAATTTGCAAGAACCACAGATGTCCACAGGGCAGGGTAGACCAGGGCATATTGCAGGGCAGTGCAGGGTAGGAGCCGTACCCTGCAGGGTAAAAAGTTAGTTATTTGAATTTCAGTTTTGAAGAAATACTTTTAGTTTTGAAGTATCAAAAATAAAAAATAGACTCCAGAGAGCGACAGCAACTGTTAAGTAGAACTTCCGATTTATATTGACCACCATATGAACACGGTAGAATCAAGATAATTATAAATAGTGACATAAAAGACGTAGGATAGCTTAAGTGAGAATGAAAAATTCGAATATTTTCCGAATGGATTACTCCAAAGGACTACCAAACAAGGACAAAATACGTTCCACGTAGAACCCGCTGAGCTCTATTCAGCCCAGATACCAATCGTACTCAAATCTTCCTAAAAAAACTGAAAGCCACAAAAACCATAAAAAAAGTCATATAAAACTCAACCGTTGTTGCTAAATTCCGTCGCGATTGGCCAGGAAGAATTTTTTAACACAGTCGCAGCGGCTTCCGGTCGATACAGCGGGTGAAAATCTGGTTAGAAACCACCGTGGCTACCTCAGGAAGTTGTTGTTGTGCAATCACGAAAGGATTTACAAAAAGTCTAGGAATTTAGACCTGATTTGTATGGGTCGGGAATGTAAAATCTCGCTCAAAAGGTGTCTAATCGATTGTATGGCAAGATCTACATGGAAAATAGTATGAGTCATTATAATGTTCTTCTGCGCGAATCACTGTGGATTTTACCAAAATCGGTTCAGTTTCGTATGATTTTTCGGGATTTTAGCTTTCTGCCAGGTAGTTTTTCAGTAGAATTCATATACGGGCTGGATAGATCCTGTCATGTTCTGCTTCAGAAGTATTTTGTCTTTTTTGGAAAGCTATTTGGAACGCATCCATTCAGGAAATGCTAGGATCCGGCTCAAAGATATTCTCCGTATGCCAGCTCAGCAGAGTACCCTGCCATGTCCTAGTCAGGGTATAGGGCAGAACAGGACAGGAGCAGGGCACAAAAAATCACCCTGTAGATATCTCTTGTAAGAAGCGATAACGTCCATAATTTTGTTTGTCTAATACTTTACCTACAGTGAAAAGGAACATAATGAAGACATCTATTCTTCTGTATTTCCTAGATAAATAAAACGAGCGATAAAATTTTATCCATTTTCGTGGAAAAACAGATGTGTCTCATGCACTATTAATAGAAGAAGTATTTGAAAACCACCCATGTAATAAAAACCGCATGAAAATCGGCGGTTAACCGCGGTTTTACCGATCCGGTTACGGGCTCCCATTACTGCAGAACGGATAAATACCGCAGTTTACCGCAAAAAATGATCCGGTATTCGCAGCATGGGCACTAATAATTGTGCTTTAATGACTTGTGTGTCAGGAGAACACGCACTAATCTTCTATAAACATTAATGAAAACAGTGATTAACATCTAATAATACGATTAGTATACAATTCTTCGAGTTTTTCAAGTGCAAAGCATCAGTGTCGGATTTACTTTCGAGAGAGTATCATCGACACTTGAGATGTCTAGTCATTATTATTATTCATTTTTCCTTTTTTATCAGTTTATATTATCTGCTGCAAAGGAAACACAATGTTGCTTGTAGTAAAAACAGAAAATATACGCTTATGAGTAGACGTGAGCAAAACAAATCGACCATTGTTAACCCATGTAATAAAAACCGCATGAAAATCGACGGTTAACCGCGGTTTTACCGGTCCGCTTACCGGCTCCCATTATCGCAGGAAGGGTAAACACCGCGGTTTACCGTAAGAAATGATCCGGCATTCGCAACATGGAAAATACTTCTTTATCATCCGTCGACACTGAGTGGTTCGCTAGATCATTGATATCGATCGACAGGACTATAATCATAAAAGCAACTCCGATTCATGACATCGCTTCATTTTTCTTAGAAACCTATCAGAGAAAATTCCTCATTCCTCATGTTTTGAAGTTTTTACAAAGATAAATCTCTAATACAAAACGCAGTCAATCTACTCGATAAATTATTGTTAAAAACCATAGCTTGAAGTTGTTCACTGAAATTATAGTTAAAAATTCTATTATTTCTTTTCAAAAGATGCTCCAAATTAAAAACTACTCTCCAGGAAGATATCAGCAAAATACATTGACGAAATCATGTCAACGAACACAGCTTTGATCGTGCTTTCGAAAGAGAATGTATGGACGATTCATTACTGATCCACCATTTATGCGTTTGTTATCAAGATTTTTAAATGCTATCATTTATGTTGAATTGCCGACATTATTTTTTTTTATTACAAAAATATTTTATAATAACTAGACGCGTACAACAGTGACAATGATCAGCACCATTCATAAATCAGTGCGCCAAAATATAAATAATTTTGAAGAGAATATTTTTTTAATGGTTTCGCCGGAGACTGTCGACTCGTTCTTTTTCGATAATAAAATCCATGTTTTCCTTTTATTTTATTGGATTTGTCTGAGTGTTAGTTCTTCTACATCATTCATAAAGAACGAAAGACAAAAAGAAAGTAACTGCACGTGGCAAAAATGAGTTTTATCTATCACCTTGCACCTGCAACAAGATGGTATACATGGTCAGAAGATAAGCCGTATTTACCGGCTGAATACGACAAAGATGGTTTTATTCATTGCACCTCTGGGGATGAACTTATGATTAAGGTAGCTAATCGATTCTATAAAGGTGTTCCTGGCGATTATGTTTTACTTGTACTCGACATAACGAAATTAAAAGACCCAGCATCACCCGTTAAATGGGAAGAAGCATCAGAATTCGATTCACTTTTTCCACATATATATGGTGCTATTGATCGTAATGCTGTTGTTGAAGTGCGATCTTTACAACGAACCGATGATGGAACATTTGTTGGATGGTCAACATCAACTTAACTTCACAAAATTTAACTAACCAAAGAACTTTTTTGAAGTCTATATCGATTTTTCTCAGAAGAAAAACAAATACAAAATAAAATAAAGACGCTATTCATGTGAGAATGTGACTCAACATTTGAAAATTTCTTTAAAAAATAAATTATATTGAAACAACTATTTAATAGTAACTGTAACTGGTAATGCACGAATAAATCTTCTAATTAAACATTTCATGTAATAACATTGCATTTGAGAAATCTTTTTTCCTAATATTACAATATGAATTTTATTCATATAAAGATCTAGAAAAGGTAGTAGAAACCAAACCACGACTACTATTGGATCATTGGTCGTTTAGTATATATAACAAAGTACATCACTATTGAATTGTGCATCCACAAGCTCCATCTGTCGATAATTCGGTATCTTTTTGCTTAAATTATTATCTTAAAATATGTAATTGAATACAATCAATTTCATTTAATTCACAGTGAGAAATATTTCCAATAAAATGAAAAATATTTCAAAAACTCTTTTTCAACACATTAGCACTGGTTTCTCAATCATCGATTGTTTGTGTGGCGCCACAAGCTTTGTCACGTTATGCATTTCTCGTTGTCTTATTCATGCTGTAATTCAACATTCGCATTTTGTTTCAAAAATTGACATGTTCATTTTCACAATTTCACTCACTTATTGCCCAATAATAATTTTCTTTTCTTTTTTCTTTTAAGTGTGCCTGTTTAAGATCACAGGATCAAGAACATCGACGAAATATGGCTGAACAGTCACAAGAATCATCTGACAAAAATGTCGAAATCTGGAAAATTAAAAAACTAATTAAGAGTTTAGAAGCAGCGAGAGGCAATGGTACAAGTATGATTTCATTAATCATTCCACCTCGTGATCAAATACCACGGATTGCTAAAATGCTCGCTGATGAATATGGCACAGCATCCAATATTAAATCACGTGTGAATCGATTATCTGTCCTTTCTGCTATTACTTCGGTACAAGCTCGATTGAAACTTTACAATAAAGGTTTGATTAAAACACGAAAAAAAAATAAGCTCACCAGAAATTCTATACTTTTTTTCTTTGTTTTACAGTTCCAAATAATGGACTTGTTATCTATTGTGGAACAATAGTAACAGAGGATGGTAAAGAAAAAAAAGTCAACATCGACTTTGAACCTTTCAAACCAATCAATACTTCACTTTATCTATGCGATAATAAGTTTCATACAGAAGTATGTTGTTTTTTAGATAGATTATCGTCTTTGTTTTTATCTTAAAATTACATTATTAATAATAGCTGAGAAAAGATAGTAAACATAAGAGACAAATACGTTTGTCGCGCCAAAAGACAAGCGGCTATTACTCTTAGACTTCACCATGGATTATTGTAACTGCGTAGTCACTTAATAATACAAAAATTTTTCACTCGAGATTTGAAAATTTTCGTACGAATTCGTTTCTCTGATGGCGGTTGTATGAGTTGCCTTTTTCTCTCTTGGTTCTAAAATTATTCTATTTGACTTAAGACTTCGGATGAACTCGATTAGAAAATAATAGAGAAATTTTTGAACTGTGAATTATTTATCATACCCAACTGTCAGCTATATACTTTGTGTAGTTTGAATTTTTTCACTACTACGTTGCTCTTAGGAAAAGTTCCATTTCAACAATCATTGAGTCATACTCATCGTATAGAATCCTACAGGTGGAGATATACTTTACATACCAACGGTCAAATACATATGAAAGCTTTTTTTCTGCAACACATCTGTCACACTAAACCTGAAATTCTCAAAAAAATGGAATTTAAAAATTTTCTTAAATCTCTTATGATTTTGTTTCAGAATGATTTATATTTGTGATGAAATACATATTTTCTTTTCCAAAAGGCATTACAAGCATTACTCGCTGATGATTCTCGTTTTGGTTTCATTATCATGGATGGTAATGGTGCATTGTTTGGTACTTTACAAGGCAACTCTCGAGAAGTTCTAACAAAATTTTCCGTTGACTTACCTAAAAAACATGGTCGTGGTGGTCAAAGTGCTCTTCGATTTGCTCGACTTCGCATGGAAAAACGTCACAATTATGTTCGAAAGGTTGCTGAAACAGCTGTGCAGTGTTTTATAACAGACGATAAAGTCAATGTTTCTGGATTAATTCTCGCTGGTTTAGCTGACTTTAAAACTGAACTTCATCAATCGGATATGTTTGACCCGGTAAGATAAAACTCTCTTGTGTTCTATTTAAGTAAATTATTGTTGTTTAGCGTTTACAAGTTAAAGTACTTAAACGCGTCGATATTTCCTATGGTGGAGAGAATGGATTTAATCAAGCTATTGAATTAGCTGCTGAAACACTTGGTGATGTGAAATTTATTCAAGAAAAAAAATTAATTTGTGAATAGACAAAAACAAATATTTTTTGTTTCAAAAAGAACGAAACGAGAATTTTATTTTATTTTCAGCTCGATATTTTGATGAAGTATCAAAAGATTCTGGCCAGTACTGTTTTGGCATTGAAGAAACATTGAAAGCACTGGAAATGGGAGCTGTTGAAACATTAATTGTTTGGGAAAATTTTGATGTTATGCGTTATGTTTTACGTAATCCACAATCACAAGAAACAAAAGTTTTACACTTAAGATCGGACCAAGAAAAAGAAAAATCACATTTTCAAGATAAAGAATCAGGAGTCGAGTTAGAACATGTTGAAGAACTACCTTTACTCGAATGGTTCGCAAATAACTACAAAAATTTCGGTAAAAACTAGAAATCAAACGAGAGGAATACCGTTGTCGCGAAAAGATTTCGGCTTCACGTTGAAAAAATCAATTTAGAAATAAATCCCGATAGTATTCCGAAGAATCTTTGGTGAAGTCTGTCGTGCGAGCATGTTTTTCGTCAAAGATACTCTTCGAGTATTATCAGGCATTGCGACTAATCTGATTTCGACACAAAAAAAGGCAAATATTTTCGACGGTAGAGAAACGGTCTTCTATCCGCCATTTTCCTTAATCGGTTGGAAATAAAACAATTTTTTTTTATCTAGGTGCCACACTTGAAATTGTAACCGACAAAAGTCAAGAAGGCTCTCAATTTGTTCGTGGCTTCGGTGGTGTCGGCGGTATTCTTCGGTATAAAGTTGATCTTCAAAATTTAAATGTTGATGAAGATGCTGAACCGATCGATTACAGTAAGAACAAAATAGTTAAAAAGAAATAAAACTAATTTTTCTATGATACTTTAGGTGATTATGATTGAACACTCGTTTGAATAATGCAACACTCTTCTCTTGTTAATGTTGGTTTTTTCTTATTATTATTATTTATTATAACCACGAGCACATTTTACGCCTATGTCGTTTTCTTTTTTTTTATAATCGAAAAGGTGTAAAATGTGATGGAAACCAAAAAATGATAAGCTAAGACGAAGAGCAAGAGTCAAAAAAAATAAAAATAAAATGACGTTATGTTTCAACATAGTCAAATTTTTTTATCGAAACAAAAATTAATGAATATTACTACACGAATTGACTTAAGAATAATTGCGAAGTTCGTATTTGGTTGAAAATCTCGAGAAAGATGCTGCCAGAATCAACAACAGAGGCTCTTCGGATGTATTCAAAAACGGATGCCTGAAAGTCGATATAAAGATAACATGAAGTTTATCGTTCGAAAAAAGATTGAAGGTGCTACTGATTACTTCTAGTCATACGACAGCGATTAAAAATAAAATGATTTCGTGATGCTAGTTCATCATTACATTGAATGGTAGTTGTAGAAGAAACATTCGACATTGGAAAAGCTTTATCCGAGATTATCAATATGCATGCTGTACAAAATGTTAGTTGAGAATCTTCAATGTTATTATCCCTTTTTAAGAAGTGAAAGCTCATTCATTTTTGAGAAGATCGCCTGCGGAATTGAACTCTTCAACAATTGTTTAAACAAAACTATGAAGCCGATAGCACAAAACAACACCGTTATGCACAACTATTTATATGGCTGTGAGATTTGAATTATCTAATATCCAACTGTAATACAAATTAGATATTATTTGCAATACTATTAATTGTAGACTACACATTCATTCGGTTGATTTAGACTTTACTCTTGAAATTATTCGCTACCTTTTTTTTTCATACAATCAAATGAAATTGATGATTTTTGTAGCTCGCAATCTCTAGTAGAATATTTTGAGTGACTTTTGTTTTGCTTCAAATCATGTAATACTCGATACGCTAAAATAATAACAATGAAAACTTCGATTGCATGGTATTGATGATTTCGCAAAGTAGATTATATGTTGGGTCTGCATTCTTTGTTTTACGGAATTGTGCACGATTTACGGGCAAAAATAAAAGTACAAGCCAAACCTATAATTTATTCAACAAACGTCACATGCAGTTATCTTATGAAATATTTCTCCTTTTTCAGCTTTGAATAATGCATGAGATGATTTTCTATGAATCTATCCGTTTCTCTCAGAGAATATTCAGGTCCTTGATCAAACCTCCATTGAATCCTCATGCTGCAATTTTAGTCTTATGAAAACAATTCGGTAGAATTTCTCGTTGTTATTTTTTTGATAAAGAATTTCATGAGGTATCTAGTTAAAAAAGACAAATTCATCGACACTCCAAAATTTGTGGGACGTGCTGGAGTAATTGTGAAATATTTTATGTCGAAATTATTGTGACTAACCCAGTGTAGATTAATTTTTTCTCAAAATAATTTTCTATTGTGAATCAGACAAAAGAAAAAAGAGCTTCACTAATGAAAATGAGTCTTTTATTGATTTATTCATTGAAACCGATCATCTAATGAAAGAAAAAAAAGCATCCCCATAAGAATCCGTCGTCGTTTTTTGTGTAAGATACGGACGAAAACGAATGTAAATGTTCTAATATTGATTGTTTATGTACAATTTATGAGATTTGACCTATATTGAATGGCTGATGAAATATCCCGCCGTTTGAGAATCTCTTGAATTGATACATATTGTTTTTCAGACACGGTAAAATCATCTGATATAATTAATTTTAATGTTTTTTCAAATGATTCATTGGGATCTTTTGTAACAGGAAAAATTTTCAATGTCCATAAAGATCGATTATTTTCATCATCGAATAAATCATCTATAGTTCGATGAATTTTTTTTGCCAATATCGATACCGGTTGACCGAAATACAATATTTTATCTAGATTATTATGCGTGGCTTTCATATTATCATGAAAGCCAAAAGCAAATGTTGCAAATAATTCATTATTTAATGGAACTGTTTGCATTATCAAATTTGATGGAAGATGAAGAATAGTTTGATTGAAATCAGAATATGTTACCAGTGTTATATTACTTAATATTGTATTGTCACCTATTTGCATCGGCACACCAATACAACAATATTCAAATAATGAACGTTTTGATGATCGACATTTCGGATGAATAAAACTATGAATAACACAACCATGAACATCGGGAGCAGAAGGTTGATGATGTAATGTATCACCATGCGGTAATGCAGGTAGAATACTAAATAAAAAACGTTTAATTGCATCATTCTAGATATGAGTAGGATCAGATGATTTTACTCGAGTGTGAACTGTGTAGTACTAAGATAATTAACTTTAATTGGCGAGAATACTGATGCCAAAAGAAATGAAAAAGGTTATTAGGATTCTATTTGAAGCTTTAATTTATAAGATTGATTGACAAAAAAAAAATTAAATATGGTTTTTGAAGCACACTCGAGTCGTAGCGAAATTGAATAGATGCATAATTAATTACTGAAACTTCGCCGTGAACAGTGGTGGATTATAAAGAAAAAGAATTTTAGCAAAAGGTGGTTACCTCAAGTGTCATCTCTAAACTTCGGCGAACTCAATACATTTCTGGACGAGAATTAATTTAACGAAGAAAATCTTTAATAAACATACCCATGCCAAAAGTCTATTGTATCGTGTCGACCTTCATCGAATACTTTACAGCCTACATGTTTTTCTAATTTCAATTCTTCGAATATTTCCTGACCAGTTTTTCCGATTCCACAACAAATATCAAGATATTCATCATTTGTACCTGTATGATTGAATGATGATTTATGTAAAATAACAACTTGTAAATGACAATCAAGAAGAGTATCATAAATTTTTTGCTTTATTCTTGTACGCTGTTGATTATCATCATTCTCTTTTGTTACCGGTCTTGGCAGTGGACAAATACCTAACGCACTCATAAAATCACCATAACAATCAATTTCACATTGAATATTATGTTCCTGTCGGTAAACTTCAGCTAAACGTTGAGCGACATTCATATTAAAATAAAATAAACTATCCGTATAGACAAATTCTTCCTCGCCATGACACCATACGGCTTTGTGAATTTTCATTTGTTCAATGGTTGGCTTTTGTAAAACGCAAATGCATTTTCTTTTATCGGTTGGATCAAGTACAAAAACACCGTGCTGTGTACCGACGGTAAGCGAAGATGGATGTGCAAATGCAACGAAATCATCGGTTAATAACCAACTTGTATTTGCATGAGATTCATCGAATAATTCTATTGTATCGGACGAACAGAGAAATACACCACCATGAGGCATACGACCGGGAAATAGTGAATAGAGAGCTAATTTTATATCTAGTAAATCATATGTTGGCCAGCCTAAACGATAAAAGTAATTATAATTGATAACGCAATCTTATGTAACAACAGAAGATAAAACACTTTTTTCTTCTTGTTTAGTAAGCGGCACACTTGCTAATCGAACATCATTTTTTTTTATAGTATAAAAACTGGCTCCACTGAGTTAATGAATAACAACGTTTTGCTTCCCTAATTAAAATAAAAATTTTAGCTGACACCTTCGGATTATATTTTCTGTTCTCCTCATACATAACTTTTTTTGTTTCTTTAGAAATTTCGTCAGAATATATTTGAAATTTATTCAATCAAAACAGTATTGCATAAGACCTTGCTCTATTTATTCAGGTAGATTTCGTGACTTTGTGTTTATTGCTTTTAGCCTCATCATCATTGTCGTAGTTCAGCTGTTTACATTGTGCCTGACATACGCTATAAACAGGTAATCATGCATAAAACAACTTTCTCTTCTGGTTCAATTCTTATAAATCGCTTTTGAAGGGTATCTACGTCATAGTCTTAGTTTAAAATTGATTAAGAAAATTTTCTATCACACCTTTTGGAATACTCGTTGCAATTTTCCCAAGGCAACTTGTTGTCGGTGTTCTTTGCGAGTAGCCGCCAGCGTGTATTAATAAAATACGTTTTTGTCGTAAGATTTCCCAACCATACTTCTGTTCAAGTACATGCATTGCATGCATCGTACTTCCGCCATTACCTAAAGAATAAAAGAAATATCATCACGAATTGGCGACCTTGTCCTTGATGATGTCGCTTTTCTTTTTTTTTCCTCATTTTTTTTTTACATAACTCTAGTTACGCAAACTACGTCGCACATCCATTTAGCAGCATCAGCAGCAAGTGTTTGACTCTTTTTTTTCACATTCATTCTATTTCGTAACATGATTATCGTTCCTTATAAATTGCGTAATCAACAGCGATGGATCGCTCGTATAAGTTACTTTCAAATCTGATGTCGATTGTAAAGATGTTAGTTGAGAATAGTTACATAAAATATGTTATGCCTTATTCAAGCTATCACTAGTCAAATGCTAATAATCGCCATACTATAGTCACTCTGTGTTGTTACAACATTTCCCTTCTCGCGATTATGTAAAACAAAAAAGAAACGAGATGACGCACAGGAACAAGATGAATTTGTTTCTTTCAAATCCATTGAAAATGATCGAAGCGCATGTGTGTATGTGTCTCTATTATATCATCGTTGTGCTATGCCGGAGTTACTCAACATACTCATGCGTGAGTGTCTTCTTCTTTGAAGAAATACAGTCACAATCTATATGACATAATATCTCTTACCAATCTTGCCAGGATCAGTAATGACAAGATAGTCGACACCAAGTGGTATTCGATTAATTGTTGATCGTTGTTGTATTAATGCATCATAAGCATCTTTCTGGACATTGTCTAACGTCGTAACGACGACAATATCCCAATAGATGACGTCATGCTCTAAATGGCGTACATCCCAACCTAGAAAAAGAAAAAGAAAATAGAAAAACATGTGGATGATGAAATTACTGTTTATTGTTATTCTGTTGTTAAAATGTACGGCAAGAGAACATGCAATACAAAAAGATGAAATCAGTCGCCGCCTACGATGAATCACATGATATTTCAGCTGATTTTTTACGAAATTTTAGTTCATTCTGTGCGTATAGCTATGTACAAATTTTGTCTGTTACAATTATTGTTATTATTTTTCGCACTTAGTAAAAGAGATAACACACGATGATGTTTTACATTGTCATCATTGTTGCAATGATTAACTCGAAGGAGCGCGATAGAGAGAGAAAAGAGAATGCGGAGAAGAAAAGAAAGTAGGGACATAGAGAAAGGATGATGAAAGTATTGCGTGTCAAGTTAGTGTTGGCCATGGTGGTTTTTTCTCCTCTTTTCTTTTCTTTCTTCATCGAACGACGCCATTTATTCTATATAAATACTTTGTATTGTCGACACACGCATAGGTTATACGTTGCGAAATCAAGAAAAATCCCGACGACATTGAGATAAACATTACATAGATATTTGTCATCATCGAACTTTCGCAAGATTCCATAATTATATTGCATTATAATACATATGGTTGAAAGTTACAAGAATGACCTTCAATAAGAAATCGAAACTCTGTATCGGTACAAGAAAATCTTCTGAACATTCGAATCAATCGGTTTCATCTTTCGGTTTATTGGCTACTGGATTTTCTGATATTGCCCACTTTGTAAATACATATATCATTATTAATGGGTAGGATGATCAACTTATATTCTATGTATGCCTGTCTATGCCCTCTTGCCCTCGTCCTTCTTTCTTCGTTTCTCATTAACATGAGTGTGTCTAGTCTCGATAGAGTATGATATATACAAACGAGTAAGTTCTCTTTACTTCAATCGCCAATACACACATTGAATACAAATGTTTGATTGGCATCAAGCATAGGGAAAGAAAAAGAGAAACGAAGGCGAGGGAGAGAAGAGAAGGAAAAAAAATGTCGTTCACATCGTCATTCGCTGCGTACGGAGTGGGAAGGTCACGAGCCCATACACACATATATACATGTGTATGGATTGAAAAACAAACGAGGTAAATCGCACTCGCAATGTCAGATGATTGTGAGTGTTTCTTTCAAGTAACTATTATAGTTTAACCGTATGATAGGCAAGAGAAAAAGAAAGTTATGAACTCTCTCTCTGTGTGTAATGATTTTGAACATCCTTGAAAAAAAAAGAAGAAACCTCCAAGATTGACAATAGAAAGAATTTATTTTTTTTTCTGTTCATCATAGTAGTTGAAGAAAAAAAAATTGCGTAAGCCGTCTTCTCTAATTCTAGCAAACGATTGAGCAACCATGCGCCGGGCTTGGGTATGACTTGCGCAACGATAGTTTGATTTCGCAACAACACCTTCTCTTCTCTTCGCGTTCTTTTCTCTTCTATTATATATATATATATGTGTGTGTGTGTGTGTGTATACATATCTATTATAAACTTAGATAGACTGTTCATTATTCTAATCAGGTTATTTATTTCTTTATTCTAGTAACGCTGCTACCGAAATTAAATCAACGCTAACGTCAGATATTATTGAACAACTTTAAAAACTTTTTTTGTTTCCATAGAATCTAAGTCGTTTGTGAATTAAATATTTCTCTCTAACAAAGAATGTCTTCCCTTCATCGATCATCAGTTAAACGTCATGATCTACGATTATTGACACAACTATCTACATCTTCGTCGGCTTCCAATCCTTCAACTCCAAATCCACAAACAGCTGATCCATCAGGCCCTCTTACGCCCGATTCTGTTGTATTTGTTAATCCGTTTACGGCAATTTCTACAGCAAACAACAATGATCAAACAACATTAAATAATCAGCCATTATTACCTTCTATTCGTATAATTGGTGACTATGAATTAACCGAAGTAAAATTCGATGATTTCAAATGTGCTCGTCATATTCCGAGTGGTGACAATCTTCTGTATAAAGAATTTCCTATTGAAATACTTCGACAACGTTTAGAACCGTATCGACGTCTAACATCAATTTTGCTTGCGTCAAACACAAACAAACAATTAATAAAATCCATATCAATACAACAATTAGCTGCTAAACATAATTTGCATTTTTTTCGAGATGTCCTATCGCTTGATAGAACAGCTGTTGTTCTATATCCAAATTATTCAAGCAATTTACATACATATATTACCGAGAAACATCGTTTAAATGAGCATGAATCTAGGAATTTATTTACGCAAATTGTACGTGCCGTACAAATGTGTCATCGTGCTGGATTGATTATACGAGATTTAAAATTACGAAAAATCATATTTAACAATAATGTACATTCACATTTACTTCTAACGGGACTCGATGAAGCAATTATGTTAACTAGCCCAACGTCAACTAATGATCTTGTTTCTTCACGATTTTCATGTCCGGTGTATGCATGTCCTGAGATAGTTCTCAATAGGCAGATGTATTCCGGGAAATTCGCTGATTCATGGAGTCTAGGTATATAGTAGTTTTTCTTTTTCTTTTTTTGGCTTATTTATAATAGACTCCGATTATTATGGTATAGAAGATTGTTTCCATTAGACTAACTCGGAAAATAAATTTAACGTGACAGTTAATAGACACTCTATTATCATCTTTTGATCGCAAGTTTATGTTTCAAAATACGTAGAAATAACTTTCTAGAATCTAATCGATCATTTTATAGGACTAGAATATTTTCGATTCGAAACGAATCCGATAGACTCGAGGGTGTAGTATGATTCTCATAAGCAAGAGTGTATATCAACATGAAAATTATTTTATTTTGCAAAAGGAATCTTTATCTTTCGACAGATGTTTCTGACCAAGGAAGTTCACAGACATATTTTTGTTTTTAACTTACCTATGAAGTCATTTTTTGAATTCTTGGAAGGAGTCTAGTGTAACTTGAAACTATGGAGAACTGTTTATTTTACTAGAGTAAGCTGATTTCTAAATAATACCATCTGAGTTATTTTCAATAGGTCAATATTGACTGAACGAAATAAAAGAATAAATCTTTGATCTAGGTCAAGATTAACAAATGAATCTGTTTAATTTAGTTAAGCAAAAGAAGAAAACCGAAGGACGAATTGACGTTAGATTTCAACTTCTCAGACATTTACCTACAGATCGATCAGTTTAAACTTTTTTCTTCTTCTTCATATTCATGTTAAATAAATGACTAATTAAAAATTTCTATATAAAGGTATAATATTGTATACGATGCTTTTTGGTCGTTATCCATTTTGTGATCGAACTCTTGTCGGTTTATTTATTAAAATTGGTCGATGTCGTCCAGACATACCTCGAGCTATATCAATAAAAGCACGTTCATTACTCCGTTCTTTGATTCGAGTAAAACCCGACGAACGTCTTCTACCGCAAGACATTCTTGGACATGTTTGGTTCAATGGTGATCGCGATACATCAACAATATCAATCAATACTACATCATCAATGAACGATGAGTCATTATTATACAATAGCAGCAATAATTATACCAATAACAGTAATGAAATGACAACCAACGAAGATGCTGTCGTACCAAATTTTGAATGTGAATAGAAATATGTATAGAATTATTCTGTTTCCTCCTCAATCTGTCTTTTTTTTGTGCTCGTTCTCTATATTTTTTGTTTGTTGTTTCGGCCAAAGAAATAAATAAAAGCAAATGTTATTCATTTACATACCTTTTAGTGTTTCGTAGAATGCAAGTGCTTGGTGTGATGAAAAATTCATAGTTTTGTTCTATCTGAAACAAACAAAAAAGTTAGATTGATTGATATGAACGATGTGAATGATAACTATGGAATGTATGCAAGAATACAATGAAAACTATGAGAAGAACATAACCGGATATGAGAATTAGTGATAGAGTACGAGTTTGTTTTATTAAATTAGATTGTGTTTTCGAACACAATGGACATGATGGCTGTACAGACGCTGTGGATGTTGTGTCGTGAAAGCACTAGAATTAATCGAGTTAATAATAGATATAAGAACGAATAGAAATATTTTACTTTATCAAGAAGTGACGTTGCAACGTCACTTATATCCTTCTTAGTCAATTGACGAACTTTACGAGCAATATCGTAATTCTCTATTTGTTGGATGAGTATGTAACGACAGATATCATACCAAGATTCCTTTGAATAAAAACAAATAATCTTGAGCTTCGCCCGATACTAATAAGACAAGTGCGAGCTTTAACAAAAAAGAAATGGCCTTGTTTCTCAACGGATTTTCACTTGTCGAACTGACATTTTGTCTGTTTTCTATCGCTACGGTTTTTTTTATTGTGTCTTTTTTTCTTTCTACGTGCTCATTATCTTCCATCGTCTTTCTTAATTGAACATTATAATTATTCTAGCCAATGTTTAACTAGCGCATAAGTATATTCTATATATCTACAGCAAACATTAAGACATTATTACATACTTTGACTAGTTTACCAAGACTTGAATATGTTATTTCAAAAATAGTAGCTTGATGACCCGTTCATCCTCTTCGCTTCACTAATATGAAATCAGTGTCAAAGCAATGTATCATTACCTATCATCTTTGACATTTAGAAAAGAATTTTTCCATAAACGGAAATGTCTAAAACCGCATCGTTTCTAACCATGGTACATAAGGACATTTAAACAGCGAGAAGATTCTGAAATCGTACTTATGCACAGTATATATTTTACTTTTTCAAAAGAAAAAAACAGTCGTTTTCGATCAACCAAAGTGTAGTTTAATATTTAACTAACTTTATCATCGGTAGTTTGACGCAACTGCAATAGTGCTTGGCAATAATCAATCATAGCTGTTGACAAACCATAAGTAAATCCATCTGTAGTTGTTTGCCAACAATTCAGCGAACCATGTTCCACATTACATTCACGTCTGTTAACGAGAAAAAATATTTTATTATCTATATATACGCAACAGTGTCTACTGGAAAAATTTTCTATGAGAAAATAATCAAAGTTAGACAGCCAATGCTATGCTAATACACATTAAGCCCCTGTCTGTTAAACCGAAAGAAAAAAACCTATAGAACGGAAATGACAGGAAAATTAGTAGATATATCTATGCATAGAATTTTTCTTTCCTAATTTCAAAGATTTTAACCGGGTAGCTCAATACTCGTCGATAAAAAAATATCTTCGATCATTTATTGATGAATTTTATCGCTCTGAAATAATTACCGATTCAATCTGTCTTATGCCGGAAAACATTCACCGGCATCAGTAATAGATTGAATTCTTTCCTTATTAATTTAGCAGAATATCCTGTCATCACATTTCGGTAATCTAATATTAGAATGCTATATTTGAGACGCGAATAAGTAATTAATTTTAGAAAATAAGTTCGATCATGGAGATTTTCTATAGACATAAATGATATTGAATTTCAAACGTATAAATTACTTTCTTAGATATTATACTCACGCAACATGATTTCCTATGGAAAATAGTCAGAAATAAAATCAACCTCCAGGACCCTATCTATGTTGAGTAGCGAAGAGATTTTAGCATTAAATATAAACGATACTAATGTAATTATCTTGAGAGGTGACTCGTTTTATGCATCATTGACATTTGTTTTGTTTTTTTAATTCCATTTGGATCAAATAATGGATAGAGCGAGCATCGGAAATCATGGGAATTCTACGGTGTAACATGGCAAAATAAAAACACTGCGCTTCATGGTGGTATATCGAAGAAGGAAATATGAGCTTAGTCAGAGAACTTTTTTTTCCAGTTAGATTAATAAATAGCCTTTTAGTAAAAAGGGATGTACGGTGAATGTATTTGGGGTTTTAGTTGGTAAATAAAACGTAGCGACTAATCGTAGAATGCGACTCAGGATATTGCTCTTTTTTTTTGGTAAGAGATAGAGAAGAAGAACGATGTCGTATAAATGCGCTATTACTAACAATGATAAGGAAATAGTGTTTCTTTCTCTGTCCTTCCTAGTGAGCAAGTCAAACCTAAAGAGCCATTGAGAAATTTTTGTTAAGAATCGAACTCTATAATTTACGAGTCATGACATAAATTCAGAACTTTTTGTCTATAAGTAGTATGAATAATAATCAAAAGAAAAAAGGCTCTCGATAGAATAATTGAGAAATGTTGCTCTCGGCATTAGTAGGGAAACTCTTAAAATTCTCAACAACAACAACATCGATTCGAATGTCCTCGTCGTTCAGGAAAGAATATTAAAACAGAATTCTCGTATCGTCTTCTTAGATTTCTTAGCAAACATTACCATGGTCTCACTCATGTTTAGCAGTAATGTATATGCATGCGCCATGAGACAGAGTGAAATCCCACGGAGGAAAGCAAAACTAGATAGATAGAACTAGTACGTGAGTACAGTGATAGCAAAGATTGTAAAATACGAGTAACAAGATCATTGCAACGGATCGTTACTAAGTGACATAGTCAAAACTTTGAATACCTTTATTTAATATTTCTCCATTTTTGTTGATCCTTTATATAAATTAATAGAAATATCGGTTTTCGATCATTTCTAATTTGCTTTCACTTACTTGCATTTCTTTTCAAATGATTCTCGTTCTGCCGACACTGTTATTGTAAAATAAATAGACATAAGAAAAATGCCACTATTATAATGCATTATTAATCTATAACAAGGAAAAAAACAAAAATTGAGGTTACTTTCAATTAAAATATATATGTTTGATAGAAAAGTAAATCAAGTTGAGCTTTATAATCAAAGTAAAAATATGTCTATTTTGTCATGTATTAAGTATCAGTAGTAGTTACAGCAGTTGCAGGTGAATTAGGAACTGCATTGTTAGCTATCACAATCGATCGTGGATTTCTTCTACGACGTATTTTAATAGATTGTACAATGCAAATGATTAGTGTCACACTGCATATAGCAATACTAATTATAAAAAGTACCACATAATTACGTATATCTCCAGAACATGAATGCGCTGAGCATACCAATGATGGAATTTGACGAACATCCGTAACTGGCTGTGATGTTAAATTTCGACACTAGAAAGAAAAATTGTTTATCTAAACAATCGATACTAAACGTTTCATACAAAATTAATAAGAATTTGTTTTGTTTCTGTAAATAAATTCATGTTAAGTTTTGCATCCTTCGATTCGTTTAATAGATGATTGTTTAACGCAGTGTCAATAAATTTAATACTATCATTTAACTTAAAACAACAGAAGAAAATAAAAATTTTATCTTTTTTGACTTTTCATTCGGCGTACTTGACTGGAATGTTTTCGTTGGAAAGTGTCAACATGTACAGAAAGACTACTAAATGAAAATAACCGTTCAACTAACTCTGCTGATTGATAAGTTAATGCTTGTCGCCAACATTCGTCGTCAAATGTTCCATTAGTTGAACAATTCGTCCTACGAAATAATCATGAAAAGTGATCAACGAAATTTTAAGAACACAATTGAACCTGCAAGATGCATATTCACATTGATATTTTGAAATGGACAAAAATAGAGTTAGAAATATAACTAGATATTTCATTGATAACTAATCAAGCACAGAATAATTGAAAAATAATATTTATTTCAATTCACCAAGGTGAATATATTGCAGCGAGACAGGAATAGGTAAAATATGGACCCCAATGGACGAGAATAATGATGTCGTCGTTCTACAATTACATTAGTAATAGAGAATTTCTTATTTGACAACTGATCTCTTCGTAATTTGCTTATCTCTAGCACAGATTAATGAGTACATTTGACATGTAGTCGAACTAATGAACAAAGAAGTAACTTAGCTTATCAAGTTTGTGCACTTCACCATAATCAATTCTATTTATTTTTCAACTTAAAATATCCTCCGTTTATTTGCTCTAATAACAGACGCTTGTCTCCTGTAGACAATATTCGAGTTAATGCTATCGTATGAGAGAACCTTGAAAGTGTGGCATTTAAAACAAACCTTTGCTGTGTGTGAAAATCTTCAATATTTGAATGATTAGAAGAGAAAATTGGTACGAGCGCATTATCGACGACAGTTTTGTTGAATTAGAAATTTTTCTCGTAATTGATTTGATTTGTAATATGAAAAAGTCTTTTCTTCGTCTGAAATGAGCACGTCTTATTGATTTGAGATTGCTAATTTTTTTGAAAATATTTTACAATCAATTGATTTTAGTAAATCTAGAAGATACAGTTGTCATCAGAAGTCTCGGTATCAAGCAGAACCTATCTAAATACAACATTAATCAGAGCTAAATTGGCCGTCGTGTGAATAGACTCGAAGGCCAACATATGCTTTTCTTCTCATGAGAATATTTCAGCCCTCAAGAAAAAGAAACTCTCACACTATTTTGACCCTCATTCAAGAGCTTAGAATTGCTGTTGCAGTCAAGTCAATAGTATATTCTAATCAAATGAGAATCTCATGATTATATCGGTTCATTCCAGACAACCGAAAATCTGACTATCCTTTCAGAAACAGCGAAGGAAAAGTTTAACAAACTCGAAAAATATCGACAAAACTTAAATTCCAGCTTCTCACGATTAAGGTTTACTGCTGAACAATTGTAATCAGATAGTTCGATTATTGGCGGTTACTATTAAAACGTGATTTTATAATTAACGTAGAAATATTTTGAATTATACAAATCAATCGATCATTCATATTCAAGTTAAAGAACATCAACAATCATGGTAAACGAACGATTGCTGTTCTTTTATTTCACATGGCACACTAGCATTCAATCGCTACTAGCACGATGAGAAAAAGGATAGTTTAATTTTGACCTGCACGAGCTTAATCTTCTTGTGAAGATTTGATTTTGTCAGATTATTAATGAATCAATAAGATTTAATTAATATGTTATAATACACATTTTTTTTCTCTCAATGTGATAGCAATTGTAACACCGACAGTATCTGTTTCGATAAGATAAATTAATTATAGTTATTCTATCAAGAATGAATGATTATATTGATGATAATAATATTATTTATATATTGTCTAGCAGAGCTACTCGTATTTTTTAAGAACAACATGTCATTAGAAAAATAAGCGAACGACGGTCATTTTTTATATTGTATTTATTATCGTTCGATCGATAATACAAGATAAACGATTGCTTTTACAAGTTGATATCATTTAATTTCGAAAGTTTTTCCGACTGATACCGAAGTCCAACGTAAGAAAAGTGGCTCCGTGCACAGGACGAATCAGACTGGGAATTTTATCAGGGATAGTTTGTTTTAGATTAGCGAAATTCGATACTTTTGAATACGTCTAAGACTCGCTGTTTCTTTCAGATAAATACACTACCGATTATTCGGAAAAATCGAATCCTTGCATTGTTGACAAATAAAAACCCATTTCTCACCTGTTTTCTGTTGTCAAATAAAACATTGGCTTTATCAAAACACCACAGACGAGTAGTTCATTTTTGATCTTGAATTAAGTCGATTATGATGGCCTGTCTCTGTTTTATACAGGCAATTCCAATAGTCCATTTAAATCTCTGCTACTCATCAACACAAACATTATTTGAGCGTTCGCCTTTTATCTTCTTCTTCTAATCAACAATCCTATTTAATGACGTCAAAAACAGATAATTCTATCTAGTAGAAAAACCAGATGTCATAATTTTTGTTCATTTTTTAAATTTCTCTTCCGAACGAGCAACAATTTATGTTCATTCATCATCCACGCTTCACTGCGATCACTCTCTTTCATATCATGTATGCACCATCACAAGCACGTGGCACGGATTGAACTATAGACTATATATAAAATCGATAGATTAACTCGTATGTTACGATGACTAATAGCCAGTTTATTTGAGGGACATATATTAGCATATATACGAAATTAGCAGTTGATACTGATAAAATAAATGACTAGATTCATCTCCAGGGTTGATTTCAAATAAAAACAACACCGGCGATTACTATTCGTATTGTAGGAATAATGACACAACGAATCAATGCTGTATTGATGATTGATTTAACTGTTGATAAAACAATCGATTGATGATGCGTGTAGGATAATTTAGTCACCAGCGAATACCTGATTACTTTTACAGAAACAATGATAGTAAGAAAAGTTTTGTTGTAGTTATGAATTATCTCTCAAGGTAAAATTTTCTATTTGAAAATAAATTTTATTTTCCTCAAACAAGTGTGTATATTATGTCTAACTGATTAATAATAGAATGGAATAGTTGTTATACGAGTATAAAAAGCGAACTGATCGACAACAGCGATGATGTAATATAAATGTCAGCATAATAATAAACGTCACGAGTTGCTCGTTGCCAATAAGACATAACGCGTATTTGTTGGAAGTTATTATTACAACATTGATATTATTGACTATGTATAGAATATCGGTTAATAGTAAACGAAATCGTTTTGTAAAAACATAAAATAGTTTTTATGATTTTAATAAATATACGAATAAAAGTGCTCTGACATAATTATCAGTGGATAAAACCTACACATGAATGGCTCGAGGTTATTTTTACAATCTAGAGAAAAAAAAATAAAGGTTTCTTCATAGGGTGGACAAAGACTAAAGTTTAGATAGTCGTAGAAGTAGGTAATCAGTTTCTAGTATATTTATTTATCTTTACAAAAACGAAACTTCTCAACATAGACGTTTCTCCTTGGGGAGGGTAAGATATAGAATTCCCATGTGTTCTTTAGCTTCATTATATTGACGTAAAATAGGTTAAATGTAAAAATTTCCAATGATAAACTCGGACCAGGGAATAGATCTGTCCTTTACATTTCAAACAGAAATCGTTTTCTTTTTGTTTTTTTTCGTACTTCTTGCGGTTTAATTGGATTAGCATATTCTACGTGCAAATTTATTATATATACTAAGATAAGCTCGAAAACAAAGATTTGCATGTACAGTCTAAACTAATTCATCAATCATTTATATATTTCTTTATTTTAAAGAAATATATAAATGATTGATGAATTAGTTTATCTCGCACTTAGTTTATTCAAGTACATCTCAACAAACAACGTTAATGTACAGTCTATGATGATGTAGAAATTAAATTTAAAACATGATTATATAACAGCGTTTTCAGATTGCAAGAAAGCTCTAAAATTGAAGGTTGCATTCTTGTTGAGATGAGGAACCACAGAATCACCACTTCAATAGATTACATTTTTCTATGAAATTTAATACAAAAAAGAAGTATTGAATAAAACTTCGTTTTTCTTCTTCTTCATTGAATGAAAATGGTCACTTTTATAAATGTCCTTGTGTGCTGAATAGGATACTAGTGAACATAAGTTGTGACTATATAAATCTCAGTCGCTGCTTTTGTTTCAATTTAAACTCTTAAAAATCGATCGTTTACATAACTAAATGATTTCAACTAAAAGTTTCCTTTTTATATTTTATGAATATTAAATTTTACTAATTTAAAAACGATAAAGTCAATAAGATTGTATGAAAATTTTATAAAACAAATTGAATAAAATCTTCGACGAAGAAGCCTTCCTCGGGTTATTGAATTCAAGTTTATTGTTTTTCGCTTTCTGATAAATCACTGAAAGTGTCTGAACAAAGACGCATTGCGAACTGTAGAACAGACAGATTGAGATTGAACTCAATTTGATTGTCATCTCGGATGCATATATTAGTGCGAACAAACATCATCTCTTAATTCATCAAGCATGATTTGTGTCATATTGTGTCGTGCTAAAGCTTGCCTATACAAACGAAAGAAGAATAGAAAAGAGACGCGGCCAGCTCAAACTTTGATCCTCTTTCTCAATATGTAATATATGAGACACTTGAACAATCAAAAAAAAAAGAGGAAGAAATAAATGCCAAAAAAAACAACAGAACATGGTGACGAAACACAGACAAAGAATGAAGAACGAAGAGAGAAAAAGATTTAAGTCAATCTAAACCCAATGAATGAAGGTGGCAGCATTTGCTCAGTCGAACCATTTGTTTTGCTTGTCTTTCTTTGAAGAAAGAAGAGAAAGAGAGAGAGAGAGAGAGAGAGAGAGAGCTGGTGCACGTGTTTACCAGACAGACTAGCGTTCAAAAAAAGCTGCGGTCATTATTTGCATTCAGCATACAGGGCGCAGGTAAATTAAAAATTAACGATTGCTTTTCTTTTCTTTTTGAAATATGTATCGAAATTTTTTATCAACTAGAGAGATAAAATTATCAGTTAGATTTAAATAAAATAAAGTGAAAAGAATAGCAGGTGTTAGTGACGAAATTAAGTAATAGTTTTGTTTCTGTTTCTTTTTTGGTTATATTTCTGGATGTTTTTACTTATCGTTAGTTTCAAGGTAAATCAACAACATTGATCATATAGTTGAGAGTTTTTAAAGTACATATACATACAGATGGCTTTTTTTTCCCTCTGATGGTAATCAAATACAAGGTTACTCTTTTATTTCGTTTAACAATTTTAAATTCTCGTCAATGTGACTTTGATAATAAGTCAGAAGAAAAAATGCTTTATTTTTTCTTGATTTTTTTAAAGCTCATATTTCATTTTATACACAATCTCATCTAAATTACTTTCTGCTTTTATTCCATTCATATAGGGTATTTCGGCTTTTTTTTCCTTTCTTTCTTATTCATTAAACGGTCGTCGTGCGCTCAGTTTTAGTTCTTTTAGTATTATCTCATTTAACAAACTCTTAAATAACAGCACTTGTATATCGCCTGAAAAAATATAAAACATAGAGAAAGAAGAATTGCTTTGAACATTAATTCAATCCTTTTCGAAAAATGAATGACGGTACTATAATTTTTGACTTGTGTGTACACTATATTCTTGCGTCACACATATACTCTTTCATCGCGTATTGTAGAGATGATTTTTAGTCATGTTGTTATTTGCAGTTGAAGAACTTGCATGTATATTTTGGATCGAAAGATTACGCAAAGATCGCCTATTACTTATGTCGTCGAGAGTGTGAGCACGTATGAAGAACAAAAAGAAACGAGAGAGAAAGCTTAACGCTTCATCGCAAATACCAATAGCACTACAACGAATAAATTTGTATGCGATACATGAATAGAAAAAAGAATCGTGATACATGCATACATCTGTAGTGTTCAAATATTGAAACTGTCTTAAACTTGTTACATTAACATTTCATGCATATATATCTAGTTGCATATTTCGAAATTGCAAAGAATTCAAAGATGATTTGTACGCGAATTATATGAAAACAAAATTCAAACATAAACTATTTAAAGTTTGTCTATCTTAATTTCAACTTCTCAAGATGAACTTTTCTGTCTAGAATGTTCTCGCGAAGAAAGACGCGAAACCTTTTTTGATTAAAGATATAATGCTGTTTTCTGATCTTTTGATTTAAATAAAATTGTCGAGATGAAGGCGAAGAAACCTATGAAATTGTCTCTTTGCGTATTCATTTAACAAAAAAATAAAATAACGAGAATTATTTCATAGATTTTATATTGCCTAGGAAAAAAATTCATTTTATTTTTTGCACTGTGCTACAGGTGTTCACTTACCAAATAGAAAAAAAGAACACAAACGATTGGAATTCAATGAAAATACGTCTTAATGCCGAAGCTACCATATCAAAGATACAATCCATCTGATGCTATCATCTTCCCACTATCAAATACTAACGATGACGACACACAACAATTTCAACAGATTATAAGAGAACGGCGGGGTATGCATTTTCTTTTCATTTATTTGTCTATTATGCCAATTAAATTAATACGTCTTTTGTTTAATACCTACTTTTCTCGGCTATATTCATCTATTAATTGTTCTCTTGCGACCTTGGATTGCAGAAGGTCAATTGTTTTGTCAGCCCATCGTCTTACAGTATTCCTGTTCATTACTTTACTGCGCATTTATTCTGTGTCCTTGCTGTGCTTTCTTTAAGTGTCGCATATAAGATGATGCTATACTAATACCATCGAGTCGATAGGCATAGAGAAAAAAGATGTACCCTTAAAAAGCCTAGTTCAGGAAGGCAAAAAAGAAGAGAATAAAGCGGTGAAAGGAATAAGGTTCGATGCTGTTGGGATACATGGCGAGACGTACAGAAGCATAAATATTGTATAGAACGCACAAAACTATACAGCCATATTTCTAACTTTTCCTCGAACATGTATATAGAAAGAAAACAGAAGAAGAGAGAGAGAGAGAGAGAGATACCGGAAGGAGGCGAAGAAAAAAGAATCAACGTCTTCTTAAAGCAATAGAGATAGGCAACAGTCGGAATCGTGCCACCATCCTATCTTCATCACTGCTGCTACTGTTATTATTATTATTATTATTATTATCACCATCATCATCATCATCGTTGTCGTCGACCTCTTTTTCCTATGTTTGAGACAGAAAGACAGTGGGCGGGAAATCAACATCTTATTGATTAGAACTCATCGATCACTTGACCATTGTTACCAATCTTCACTCAATACTAAACATCTAGTCAACAATGCTGTCAACAAACATAGATGAACAATCTAATCCTCTTGATGAGGATCCGATATGTAAGTTTCATACAAACATTCGTAATTGATTCTCATAGGGAATCATATGTTTATCATGCACGTAAATCAGCATTGCCTTGTATGTTTGCCTTCCTTGAGCACTACATGCGCTGTAATTATTGGGTTCAGTATATGTAAATGTTTACCAATATTGCTTTACTAATGGAAAAAATTACAAATAAAAAATAGTGATGTATGAGTAATTAAATTCTAATCAACGAATCTATGATAAGAAAAAACAAAAATTTTATCTTATGCAATCAGATGCATTTTTTCGTTATTTTTCTGTTTTTTCTTCTCATCAATGGATATTATCAAAAATTAGTCATCATCATTGAAACACTTGATAAATGAGTTCGGCAGACAATTTACTACCTTTCTTCTTCTTACTGTCATCATTATGGGAGAGAAGAGAGAGAGAGAGAGAGAAAAAACTGAATCGTGTCAATTCATCCAGTCTTATTTATCACATTTTCTTTTCACATGTATTTGATTCAAAAAAAGAAGAAGAAACGAAATTAACACTCATCAAGATATTTTTACCAAATCAAAACACTGACAGCGACAAGATTGATCGTATTGCTAATGTCCATCACTAAAATGTATCGCACTAATCGTCGTGACGTGCAAAAAGGAGAGAGAATGAGTATCATTAATAGTTATTGACCTGGCTTTTCGCCAAATACGAAGAAGAAATTTATTGAGATTTTTTTCCTATTTCAAAATCATTTTCTTTTCTTGTCGACGTTGAGCTTCATCTTCTCTCGTTGTCATTATCATCAAACGACGAATTGAGGTTAGTAATCTTGACATGATGTCTATTGATGTGGTTGCACACTCATATATTTCTACGTAGACAATCTTTACGTAAAATTTTCTTCGCTCATCCAATCTATTATATGCATATATTAAATCATGGCCGCATCTATTCTACCTTTATGTGAACATAAGAACTGTTGAGCTGTGTCAAATTAAACCAAATCACTCGTTCGTTTCTTTCTTTTTCTATCACATCAAACTCACATCAAACATTATACACACACACACACACACACAGATATAAATATATATACACATTCGCTTTACCAAGTAACTTAGTTGCACAAAAATAAAAGATTCTATATTTATTTTGGTCGAATCAAAATCTTGGTGTTTATCTCAACAGTTGACTTTTTCTAATTTAAAATAAAATATATATGTAACAATGGTGTCAACACGTGGTTCTTTTGTAGACGAACGCGAAGATATTCAAAAGAAAGCCTTCACTAAATGGATTAATAATCAATTAAATAATGTAAGCCGATAAAACGATTATTTACATGATATTTTTACTACAGATTATTTCTAGTCAAATTCAATACCGACTATAACTAATCTATTTCAAGATTTACGCGATGGGGCTGTTCTACTTCGACTACTCGAAACGCTTACTGGAAATGAATATGTACGTAATGAAAATAACATGAGATTGCGATATTGATTTATTTCCTATAGAAACGAGAAATTGGGAAGATGCGCGTACATCATATTGGTAATGTGAATAAAGTCATTGCTGTACTTGGAGAGTATGGTGTAAGTAAATCAAAAAATTGCCATTGAATTTTAGAAACGAGAAAAGGCAATGTTAATTTTTTGTTTATTATAGATAAAACTTCTAAGTATTTCATCAAATGACATTGTTGATGGAAATCCAAAGCTGACACTTGCACTTATATGGTCCATAATTCAATATTGGCAAGGCAAAGATGTATTGAAATCTGTCGTACCAAATCCAGAACAGACAAATATTGAGAAATTCCTTCTTTCTTGGTGTCAACAACAAACAAAAGGGTTGGATGAAAAAACATTTCACAGCAAAAAATTAATTTGCATTATTTTTTATTTAGATATAAAGGTGTTGCCATTAAAGATTTTACTCATAGCTGGCAAGATGGTCTTGCTTTTAATGCTCTTATTCATAAATTTCGGCCTGATCTATTTAATTATGACGGTATTTTACAAGAGACATCTGCTAAAAATCTTGAACATGCATTTAGTATTGCTAAAAATGTCTACAAAATTGATCGATATCTCGATGTTGAAGGTTCGTATAAATTCAATCTTTCTTTTTTTGGTTATAGATAATTTTCTATTTCTCTATAAAGACAATTACAAGTAATCATAGTTACTAAATAAAAAAAACAACAACAAAAAAGTACGAGCTATAAGGATAAATAAAGATGTAGGCATCGAGAAAACTCTGAAAAGAAATACTTCAATGATGTAACTAATGACAAACATATGACGGGACGAAAACATTCAATCAGCAAATTCCGCAGATCGTAAGAAAATAGAAAAACACATGGATATATACAAACAGTAGGAAGCAATTAGGAGTTAGAAAAACAAAATTTCAATTAAATCAAGTACAGAATCTCCATGGGTAAATGCATTTAGATAAGAGGAAGATGTTTGATGACAAATATTTCTTTTCATCACATTGTTCGTGTACTAGAGTTTATCAAAGGAGCAAGAAATAAATTCACATCAATCATTATTTATGTGTTGAATCTTACGAATAAGTCTACTTAACAGAATATCATTGAATTTCCCTTATGTCACAGCATTGTCTAGACTCTGTCAAAGAGAAAAAAGACATATGTGATGTTATGGTTTAGAGGACATCGGAGTCTGCGCGTTGGTTTATACTCGATCTAATCAAGAGAAAAGGTTAAAAGAAAGAAAGCTTTTGTCCTCAATGATAAAGTACTCTGATAGCCTTCCATTGGATGAATGACACTCCGATGCGAATAAGATGTTAACAGATAATGATTTGCTAGGATAGTTTTGTATCTAACCGTAACAATATGGCCATGAATTAAAACAAAAAAAAAAGGCCTACAGCATGACAACGCATAGACACATTGAATCATAGAAGTCGAAGAACGACAGACAGAGAAAAATTCATAATTTTCATTGTATTGAAATATCCTTGAGAAGAATCTTATGTTTATTGAAGTGCCGACATAGTGAAATACATACAGATTTTTTGTTATGAACACGCGAGACTGTACGAGTCACTTTCAGGGTTCGCCATACTTAAATATTCAGAAAATATTTTTCTTACTGAAAATCAAGGTAAAAAAATAGAAATATTTCTACAAACACTTAGCTTCAATCGAGGCAATGTTTACATGAATCGTTGTTTGATTTCGCTTGTGATATTCAGTTATTCATCGCACAAGTTGACTACGTGTTTATTTTATTTTCAAAACAGAAAACGATTTTTATCTGTAGAATGATAAAATCTGTAGAACAAAAACTGCAATCATCAAGAGAATAAAACGTCTTCTAGATTACTATGACGTTTATTTTTCATCGACATTCATTAATCTTATGCAAAATATAATAACGATTTTTCTATAGGAAATAGCCAAGACAACGATTTCTGCGTCTTTCATAAGATTAATGTGTGTCTATCAGAATACACTGCAGATCTATGATTTTCTAGTCTGAAGATAAAAAAGAAGAAGTCAAACAGTCGTTCTTATCTCGAAAATTGTTGTGCACGCCACTTGAAGAGTACGATTTAATTAATGAGAAAACTCAATTTTGTTTTTCTAAGAAGTTTTACCTTGAAAAGTTTTGATTGAAAGAAATCCGGGTTGAAGTAAACGAAAGTTCAATTTCATTTAATATGGAAATCTGCATGGATTCTATTTTGCTAATTATGTTAAGATAATATTTTCTTTGAAAGCGAGCGATGAGTAACGCAAAAAATGAATTCGAGTAAACACCGAAACTCTACAATTTTTTGTTAGCCTTAGTGATCTCCTTCAAATCTAATATTTATTAGCAAAGAAACAGTTTTAGATGTAGCTTGCAAGGCCTTATACAATGATATTCAATTTGCTGTTAGTCGACGCAAATGCGTTCATTTATATTTCAAATGAATAAAAACAAAATATGTTTTTTTTTAATATTATAGATGTTCTCTCTGAATATCCGGACAAAAAGTCCATATTGATGTATATTATGTGCATGTTTCAACAAATGCCGACGACTCAAATTGTTATTATAGATAATGAAGAAAAAGGACAACCGATGATGAAAAATGGAAATATGACTGTGTCGATGGAGTCAAAGGTATAAGATAAATAAAATGAGTGAATTATTATTTTCTTTGATTCCTAATTTCATTAGTTTCCATTCGGAAGAGGTTCACTGCAATCTGATACTTCACTAATAACAACTCCTTTTACACCATCGACAAACGAGTTTCCTCCTGTATTCCAATCAGCTGAGATGACAACATATCAAACAAACATGGAAAATACTCTTCGTTGGATTCTTAAACTTGAAGATGAACTTGATAGACAAGATAATATTGCCACAAACGATCTTAAACTTGTTAAAGATCAATTTCAAAAACATGAAGTAAAATAAAATTTAGAAATATTTCAATGGAATTTTGAATTTTTTATCTCCATAGAATTTTATGATAAATCTAACCAAAGATCAAAACCAAATTGGTCAAGTACTTTCAGAAGGAAATCAATTGTTAACGTCATCAAATACGGACTTACAACCACGAGAAGAAAATGAAATAAAAGAACAAATGAAAATTCTTAATCGTCAATGGGAATCATTACGCGCTAAATCACTTGAGCGTCAATCTAAGTAAGAAGACATAGCATCAACAACGAAACAATAAGAGACTTGTTCGAAAATGTCGCACTGTCGATTAATAGTAATCCACCTTTTTTTCTAAATAAGAAACTCGAACATACGGCATTCAAACTGTCCGTGTACTACTCAACCAGTTATTATCGATGTGTCTCACAAGGTCACCGTATGGTACCCGTGTAGTTTTTATGAGAAGCTTTTGAGTGGACCAAATATTTTCTAGACAATCCATAAAGCATCTGAAGGTTCATGAGCCCATAGAATCGGTAAAATGATATTAAATTCATGCTGAAGAAACTTTCTTACTTGATTTCTTGATTGAACGGTACGAATGTTAGATTTCGATGGTGTTAATCGATTTTCAATGTGGCACTTATTTCCTTTTTGATTCGATGACATAACACTTTTTTTTTCGTATCAGCAAATGAACCTAGAAAAGAAAATGGAAGAAAAAACGAACAATTCTCTTGAGTGTATTGATTTCAGCATGTTCTACTACCCTAATGTCAGATGAATCTTTGGGTGCTTCTAATTCGCTGATAGAGCTCTATAGAAACCGAGCGAATCAAGATTCTATGACATACTGACCTCAATCAAAGAGCAATACAGTAGAAAGAAACTTCTGATTCACGAGCAAGTTCTAATGCCTGAAGAGAAAAAAAGATCGATATTCTTGCTGAATATTGTCATAGCAGTATTTTGCTTTCGGCTTTGCACCTTGAAATATTACCCGGCCTTCTATTATCTATTGGAGATTCTAGATATTTCTATCAACTCTTAGAAAAAAAGAAAATCAATCTCTAATCACTGACTAAACTAAAAGTTCACATAGGTTTATCACTAGGCTATTGTTTGAATTTCGTGCTGACAATTCTTTTATTCGCCTATCGTATTCTAGTGGAGTTTATGATTGAATAGAACACCGATTGATGTTTGTTAACAATTTGCTATTAATTGAAAATACGACTGGAGATAACTGAGCATGAACTATTTTCAATCGATCTCGTTTATCGATATGATTTCGAATGTTTTTCTAAACTTTTATTTTATTTCAGTCTTCATAAAATGTTAATGAAACTTCAAATTGATCAAATTGAATCTTTCGACACATGGCTTTCTCTAGCGGAAAAACGCATAACATCACAATTAAATTCCATGGAACCAGATTTACCCGGTGTTGAACGTCAATATCGTTTATTAGCTCAATTACAAGACGAACTTGTTGCTCAACAACAAATGACTGAATCATTACAAAATATGGTTATTGTTATTGATGATTCATCAGCTAACGGTACCAATAATCTAACATCAAAATATACATCTACAGAGATCGAAAGTAAACTATCAAATCTAAGCGAACGTTGGGCAAATATGTGTACGTTTGTTCAAAATCGGTGGATACAATTACAAGAAGTTAAAATTGAACTCGAACAAGTTCAATTCAGTCTAGAAAAATTTATCCGATGGATAACACGTAAAGAAGATGAAGTTGCTAAAATGATAACCGAACCAAATCTTAGTGACACAGATATACTCATGCAGCAAGCTCATGCCATTAAGGTAACACAAAGAATTTGTTTTACGATAAGAACTTAGCCAAGCAATGGAAAGTCGAGATTATGGTATTGCAGTAGGCGTACTCCGATTTCAGAAAAAATGAATCGGGATGATTGATGTAAATAGTATAACATTTGTATCTGGAAGTTTGAGGCCAAAAACTCTCTCAAAATATATCCTTTTGTTTTTCGATATACATATTCGATTGGCTCCTGATGGTCTGGCGGCTTACTGTCTCAAGTAAAATAAACGAGAGTTAAACTAGTCCGAATTTTGTTCTCTTTGATATATAATAGGAAGTATTTTAAACACAGCTGGTTCGTAGACATAGAAAAGTGTTTTTATGCCAAAAAATAAAATTATCTGTCAGCAGCTATCCGACGCGATTTATTGTTAATTCAGTTGTGTCCATATATTCGTACTGAAATTGATCTTGAAGTGTCGTGTCTTGTTGAATGCATTGATCGCATTGTATTTAATTTATCATTTTCGTACGGATTCGATGTTCTTGAAGATTGAAACTCATTGTTTTGCAGGACGATTAATTACATGGTTGGATACTAAACTTTTTGATCTTTTTCAGAAAACAGAACTAGAAATGGATGATATTCGTCAATGTATTCTTGCATTAGATCGCAGTCTAAAAGTGTTAAGTGGTTATTATGATAATGAAAACTCGAATCATTTGAAAAATTTAAACAGCCAAATAAATACATTTGAACAACGTTGGGCAAAACTAATTGATAATCTTGAACTATGTTCAGCACGTGTAAATATATTTCTTTTTTTCTTTCTGTTAGATAATTTTATCGTTATATTATTGATTTTCTTAGTTAAGAAAATCTACGATAAATATTGAAACAAAAGTTAAAACGAATAGTAAACCAGAAAACGACACCATACAACAAACAATAATAACAACCGTCGAAGAAACAACAGTTGAACAACGAAAAATTCCACACGATAATTCACTGAGACAAGAATTTGATTTATCAGCTAGAAAATTCATTGATTGGATGGATAGTATTGAAAAGATACTAGACGATAAACAATTGAATAATCTAAATCGAAACGATGTACAAGATATTGTTCAAGTAGATTTCAAAAAAAACAAAATTTCAACAATTCTTCAGAAAAACAATTCTTTCTTACGATATTTTCTAGGAAGTTAAAACGAAATATTTATCATATGATGATCAATTTAAAGCGTTAATTCAAACCGGCCTTACAATAACAAAACAATTAAAAGAGAGTAAATAATTTTCTATTTCTGATACGAAAACGATTACCAATTTTTTTTTCAAGCAAACGAAAAAGTATCTGATCATGAATCATTTTTACATACACTTGAACGACGTTGGCAAGAACTTTTCAAACAAATAATTAATTGCGAACGAAATACTGAACAATTAGTTCTTTCATCGAAATTCGATGAAGAATGTCAAGCACTTACGAAAGCTTTGACTGAATATCAAACATGGATTAATTCAGCAGCATCGACAAGTTCATCGGTTGAAATGCAGGTATGATTAATGATTGAGAAGAAGAAAAGAAAACGAGTGACAATATGATATTGAACCCGATCGAGTGATAATTGACAGGCATTGCTTCTTTTGTCTTCCTACTTGATTGGTGAAGATAAAATGGTGTAAAACTAGTTGTTCTAATGACTATTTTTCGGATCAATGAATAGCGAATTGAGATAAGGAATAGAGCATGAATGATTGAGTGATTATATCGAGAAGAGAAGTATTTTAACACCGTTTGAGATAAGAAGTGTATTAATAATTAATGCATCTATCGATTTAAAATAAATGACCGGTCAAGTATCGGTTGTAAATACATAAAATAAATTCTTAGTAGCTCTTCTCTATTGTTTACTGGTTCCTGTCACATTCGATAGGGCTTTTTTTCTCTTCTCCTTTCCACTCAACATACTTGCAGTACAATTTATCATTTTTTATACGATCAGTAAACATCATTGATAGTAATGTATTTGTATTACTACTACTTATCCGGATATTTATAGGCAATATTGATCATTATTTTTGTTCTTATAGTGAATACTAATATTAAAAGAGATTTGAAAAAAAAGAAGAACAAATGAGATCATTTTTCATAGGTCAAATCGAAAAGTTTTCAATCATATAATGAACGTCTTGCCAGTTTACGACGTATGGCTAGTCATATTGATACAAAAACGGTTCAACGAACAGACGAATTGTTACGTTCATGGGAAGAAACACATAAACGACTACGTAAGTAGAAATGTATTCATTTTGTTGGTCTGTTTGTTGCTTGTACTTTTAATGCATTCTGTTTGATTTCATCCTTAACCGCCATTAACCCTCTTCCTCTGTGCTTCCTACTTATTATGCTTCACGCTAGCATTTTGCTTCATTCGCAAATCTGACGTTGATTAGGGGGCCGGCATTGTGGTTATATGCGTGTACGTATCCGAGTCAATATCAACACGCTTGATCGAAATGAAGAAAAGAAGAACATGGCCGAGGTTATCTATTCAAGCCAGCAGTCTATCGTTCTCAAATATTAATACTATGCGATCTTCCTTCTTCTTTTCTTTGCTCTTCTTCGTCGTCTAGTATTCTTTTCTCTTTTTTTCTGCCATTATCGGATAAAAGCATTCATGTAAATATACAATTCAGTTTGGGTTGAACGTGCAAAACTGATCAAACTATATGAATAGTATACATATTATATATATATATATCGTCCATGTCATGGTTGGAATTATCGACGTTGTATATGATCATATACCGTAGTGCGCGACGACAGCAGAAAAGATGGAGGAAAAAAAGAACAAGTACAACGCGACGAGCGAGCGATGAGTTTATCGTTAGAGTATATTTGTTGTTATTCTCGTTGTGGGTCTGTACATGTGCAATCGATGCTGCTTGAATTTTTACCCTTATATTAGCACGCGTATGAGTAAGAAAAAGAGAAAGAAAAAGTAAGATGGAGAGTGTTCTCTCTATGCCTCTCTTCATCTCATCTGTGTCATTCTTCTATGTAAATGTACATACTTGTTCGTCTGTATGTCATATTGATGGCGACCACGTCGCAAAGTGTCGTCAAATTTACTAATGAAAAATAGGAAGACGGCCGATCGAGAGAGAAAGAAAAGAATAGTGCGATACTTTCCGCCTATCCCACTTTTATCAGATTGTCTATTTTCGGTCACTATTATTCTTGAGAGTAATATGAGATAGTTCTAGTTTTTGGATATAATTCTTATTTGTTCTTTTGCTTTTTTTTATCTTTTTTTCTATCTCTTGTATATAATAAGGTGAGCATTGTAATCGGATTGAATCTATACAGCAGCCATCCGGAACTACCGGTTTTGGTGCTACTTCATCCCATCGTACAGTCGTGTCGCCAGTACTGAAAAGCGCAACTATAACGGAAATGAGTGAAGCAACATCGTCATCAGCAACAGCAACAGCAACTAGAAATACTTCAAATGTTGGCACAACAGGAAATGAAAATGGGAATGTTTTTACTTTAACAAATATTTATACATTTGGTGATCAAGGAAATGCGAAAGCGAATACAACATCGGATAAATATCGTGTAAAATCGTTTGTTGAAGTATTTGATGCACCAACATCGGAACAGCGAATTGGATTCGAACGAAATTATAATGAAACATTTTCTTCATCATCCGTAAAACGACAAATTCTCACGAGTTCTAATGATACGCATGATTATTATGAACCATCGAATTTTTCTCGTCAATATAAAACAACCGATGCTTCTTTAACAACTTATGCAACAGGTAGTTTATTTTCAATAGGATATATAAATGAGCAAAAAATAGCTGTTGTAAATGCTTTTGCATCTAATGCTTCCTCCTGCTAACCTGCTTGTTTATTGATTTACACGTTTGAGATTTTTTGCATTTATTTAACATTCGTCTATTACTTCAGGATAAATTATATATATATATATATATATATATTGTTATTTGCTTTTTGGGTCGTCTCTCTGAGTGGATTAATCGAATTGAAAAGTATCGTCAGGTTTCAAAATACACACATGTCTAGAATTTTAATTGCATCGACGAAAAGATAACAATAATTTCAATGTAGTTTATTTTTAAAATAGAATTAACACTTCATCATGGCTAAAGAAAACAAATGTCTTCATACCAATAATTGATATGAAAGCCCTTGGACGTCGAGCATGAGAAAGACACTGACGTAGACTAATTCAATTAAAAAATGTAGCTCGAGAAGAACAAGACAAAGGTGTTTTCATTTTGATAGATCTTCAATTCCAGTCTGTTAGACAGATACATAAAAATCTATGGTTGGATTTTCGTTTGATATGGATAACCCCCAATGACAGAAATAGATATGTTCTTATTCGTCCGATGTTCTAAATATAGAATAGTTTAGACGCGGAATAATGTTATAGCGCTATTAGGACAGATCAAAAGGCATGTATACAATATGTTTTGCCCTTCTTGTTTTAATTGTACTATTTATAAAGATGACAGCTAGCATTGTCCTGTCAAAAGTTAATTTATCAAACAGAACTCGAGCTATTTGGCTCTGATACAGAACGCATGTTCGACATTTGCGTAAAAAATTAGACAAAAGAGTTTTTTCATAGATATAAGTGGTAACATCGATTGAGTTCACTTTTGATTTCTTTCAAAATCAAAGGATTGAAGACGCTCTTGGAGCATAGCCCAAAAAGAATTTTATTTTTGTCTCGCTTAGGACTTTTCGAAAACTCGAATGCTTATTTATAACTGAAAAATCTCAAAAGACATTATTTTCGAATTTCTCACGTATAATTACCTTTTTAAAGGGCTAAGAAATTTTTCCCATCAGAAACTTCCGTTAAAAATCTAAAACTAGACTAATTCTACTGAGAGAAAAAAAATCGATTGCAACAATAGTTATCTATTCATCAGAACACGCCAGTTATATTGTTTTTCTTCGCATATAGATGAGCTTGGCAGTGTGACAACGCTTAGTAATGCCTCATCATTACCACCTAATTTCTTGGAGACACAACGTAAATTACGTCAATGGCTTGAAGAAATTGAACAAAAATTACTAAATGATAAAGTCCGCATTTGTGATTTACAAGTAATCGACGCAAAGAAAAAAATGTACAAAGATTTACTTGATCAAACACTCGAACGAGAACGTACTATGGAAGAACTAAATCTCAATGCGCGAGAACAGTATACAAAAGTACCCGCCGATGCAGCCCGACGTTTACAAGAAGAGCTAAATAATTATCAAGATCGATTATATGACGTTAAAATGTTTTTAACTGAACGTCTAACAAAATACAGTCGAGTCGATAAAACATTAACTGATTTTGAAGTAAGATACCATTAGGAAATCTTGTCTTTTTACCGATATTTTTCATTGGTGATCATAGAGAGGCATTGACGAAGTTAAAGTTTGGATACGTAATGTTCAGCCACGTTTAAATACCAATGATACTACTTATGGAGATTCGCATGCACTTGAAAATCAACTGGGCCGAAGTCAAGTAAAGTCTTGATATATCATTCGAACAGAAACAACCAAATTTTTGTCTTGTAGATTCTTCAACAGGAGATTCGCGAAATGCAAACCACAATCAATCGTCTAAATAAAGATGTTGTTGATTTAACACAAGATGCAGATGAAAATTTAGCTCGACATTTACGTGATCAAATGAAAGAATTAAATGAAAGTTGGAGTCATATTATCAGTTCAACGAAAACATTTTCGCTGAATATTCAGGTAGGAATTACGCGATTGATTGACTATGTTAGATTTACAATTAGATGGAACAAATCCGACGTGTAAGCTGAGCAAAATCGAGCAGTATTAGACAAGCAATGCGTCTCTTTAAATCTATTACGAACTTACGCAAACTTTAGATTATTCATAGGATTTTTCACAAAAATCAACAAATACTTGTAAAATCATATAAAAATCCGGCAGCATTAAAACTATTTGAATCACTCTTGAGACAGAACCGGCATTTAGAGGCTGTTAAGTGAGAATTTTTTCGAGTTGATATCATAATCATGAGAACATCAATACAAGTAGATTCAAAAGAAAATGAATTTTCTAGGGATCAAACATTGCATCGCGTAGTTCTACTTCCTATATATTGATTCGAGTCGCTAGCGAAGTCTTCTATATGAATTATGATAGTAGATGTTTCACATACTAAACGACGCGTTCGAATTTTTATTTATAAAAATACTATCGTACGAGCTCTACGACAATTTTTTTTTCGGTCTTCACTTTCTAGGAGGCACTAAAACGTAATAAAGCAATACATGAGGAAATTCAAGAATTAGAAGAATGGATTATGGATAAAGAACATGAAGCACCCGCTGACGATGGACCTATATTTTATCAAGATCAAATTCGCGAACGACTTGAACAATATCAAGTAAGAGAAATTGAAAAGATTTATTTTGGATTTATACATTTTATCTTTTCAATATTTCTAGAAAGTTCAAAGTGAACTTAGTCTCAAAGAAAATATTGTACGAAATTTAGTTCTTCACGGTCGTCAAGATTTAAATCTTCCGTCATCGTCAGCACCTGAATTAGCCCAAAGTTTAGAAACACTCGTTTCAAATTGGACGAATCTACAAAAGAAAGTTGATACCAAAGTTGTTTTCTATACCGATATTTATACATTACATGAAGAATTAAAAAGTAATTAATCATCGATCGACATTCTCTATTCGCAAGTAAAAATTTTCTTCATAGATTTACTTCATCAAGAAAATGTTTGGCTTGATACATTACAAAATAAAATCTTCTCATCAACAAATAACGGAGCTGATGCCGAAGAGATCTCCGAAGAACTTGATGTAAGATTTGGAATTTCTATAATAGCAAAAGAAATAATATTTCTATTTTTCTACTAGACCATCGAACGTTATGTTAAAACTCATTCGAAAACTAGTTACGAAAAAATCTTTGAAATGTCCGATCGTCTTCAAGCAACAAAGGTTTCCTTACCAGCCACCAATACTCTCACAAATCAATTTCGTATGCGATGGGAACAATTGCATGACGATGTAAATCTTTTTCTAAGCAGTTTCTTAAAAACGACCAAATTTTCTTTGCAGGCCTACAAAAAGATTCATACACTCAATTCACAAATATCCGATTATCAGCATATGGGTCATCAAATAACAGCTATGTTTGAATGGATGAAACATACAGATAGTACACTTAACGCTCGATTAAAAGATGATGTCTACGCCGATGATGTACCCGGAGAAGCAGAAGTACTATTTTATAGATATAAAATCGGCGAAAAAAATTTTCGTTTTATTTATTTGTAGAAATTAATTATTGAATCTAATCAATATGAAGCATTCTTACGTAGTATAGATGATAAAGTTCATGTATTACGCAATACCGGAAAAACTGAAGCAGCAAAACGACTTGAACAACAATTGATTCTTTTAAGAGTAAGTTTAGACTTTTCTTTTTCCTTTTTAATGATTGTTATGAATATTTAGAATCAATTTTTACAATTACAAACGAAATTTCGACAATTTCAAAAACCCTCCGATTTTGAACCGAAACATGCTAAAATGCGTCAAATTTTAAACGATATCGAACAAAATATTAATGTATTGGAAATTCATTCTGATGATCCTGATGTTATTCATAATCAATTAGAACATTGTCTTGTAAGTTTAATTAAGAAAAGAAGGTTTTTCTTTCTAGTACTTATTGTTTTTCTTTTTCTGAAGAAACTATATAAAACTTTATCAGACATTAAATCGGAAGTTGAATATGTCATTCGAACAGGACGTGGTATTGTTGAAAAACGGCAAATTGATGAGCCCAATGATTTAACAAAACAAATTGATAAATTAAAAGCACAATACAATACGCTTGGAGCTAAAGTAAGTCTTAACGAATTTGTTCAAGACAATTTTTAGGTTGAAATCATGATTGTTAAGATTAATCGAAGGGATGATAGATTGAGACCAGATCTTTCCTAAACATGATGTTTTCTTTCATCGTGCCGTTTTATCTTTGTTTATGTTTTTCTGACCGTATATATCCGGGAATTGTCATCGATCATCTTTTTTTGTATCAAACGAAATGCGAACCTCCGATGCCCGTTTTGCTTTAATGAAGTTTGTGTATAAATAGATGATCATTGTTCGATGAGCTAATGAGCTTGTCAATCTATCTTCGGTATAACATCATTCAATTGAATAAAGGCTGTGAACAGACGTTGCAGTCGCTAATGATGAGCGAGACCAATCATTTTCGGTCTAGTGCTCGGTAATAGACACATTAACGGAAAATGTGTTATGATTATCTCGTACGATATTGCACTATTCTCCTATGATTTTAGGTATCAGCATCGAAAGTTCAATTAGATAATGTTGAACGTCATTTACGTAAATTTCGTAAAGAATACTCACATATTCATGAATGGTTTGTTAAAGCTGATAATGAAATACGTAAAATTGAAAATAAACAAATATCAAAAAATACAAAAGAAGAAACCGATTGGATTCGAGTAAAACATTTTTTTCTCACTTCTTAGCATTCATTGATTTTTGTTCTCTCTTCAATAGACTACACGCAATGATATTAAAAAACTTGAAAACAATTTTGAAACATTAAAAAACTTAGATCGTACAATACAAAAAGAAGTCGACCGAACAATGCCAACTCTTCAGGATAGAATCGTGGACTTAAAACGGCAAATCGATCAATTAGATCGACGACTTAAAGACCGATCGGAAATAATAGAGGTAAACAAAAACTTTTCTTTTGATTTCTATTATTAGATAATAGAAAAGAAAAACCTCGATCTCATCTAGATGATATCCATCCGATATACTAGTTGTTAACATTCGATAAAATGATTGGATTATATATATATATATTGAGTGAGCGAGATAATGAGGAAGAAGAAAATCTATTATATAATCTACAGTTGTCATCAATTCGGATAACACATTTTCTATATACGTGCATTGACATAATCGATACAAGTGATGGCCATATGTGATATTACTAACATCTCATCGATTTTTGTTTTCTCGTAAAAAATAAAATCTATTGTTAATCAAATAATTATTCAGCTGACTGATTCTTTATAGAACAATGATTGCATTGTTCTAGATAGCTTTTATTAGATAATATGAAATCAAGAAATGAGTAAAACAGTCGTTTCCTATAACAATCTCACGAGTTTCGCATATGGACGTACGTATAACCAAAGAGAGAGAGAGAGAGAAAGCAGCAGACACGATGTATCCAATCACTCCGATTAGATAACTTATTTCTAGGCAAAATATTAAGAAAAACAGAGACGAGACGATAAGTGTGCGCCCGTGCTTCGACTGAAATGCACCCTCTGATATAATCCAACGCGGCATAGAGCACATAGGAAATTGGTTTTTATAAATATACGTGCGTTTATGCCAATCACTGACGGACAAAAAACACAACGGGCGTAAGCTCGCATATTAGTGTTATCTTAAAGAAGTCGTTGCGTTTTCTTTGTACCATTTTTTACATCGTTGTTCTCGGTATTCTCTATTCTTCATTGCTTGATAATATACTCGTTTGTCCGTTCTTTTTTCTCCTGGTATCTTTTCGTCAGTGACTTCTATCCATTAGTGTCAATATAGAAAACAACAAAAAAAAGACACACGTATCATCTTAGCTTGTCTACCAAAAAATAATACTGCCTTCGTTTCTCTCTGATAAACATCCAATGTGCAGCTTCTCTCTGTAGATCAGTTGATGCATTATTATTGTTATCATTATTAGCGAACAGGATAATCATTCGTATGAATAATAGTATACGAAGTCCTGGCGATCTGACCTTGTGCCTCACCATGTTAATCATATTGACCTTTTCCCCGATGTCCTCTTCATTCATTGCATTTCTTAACAAAACTTAGAAGCTGTTTTTTTGCTACGAGACAGTTATGATATAAATTTCTATTAATATTCAGTGTTCTAACTTGCGGAGACTTCATCATTATCATTGCTATCAATCAGTTCCTCGTTGTCGTACAGATACGCATATGTATATGAACGAGTCCAATAGATCTATCTTCTCTATCTATCGTTATTATCATCAATGAATCGCGAAGAAAGATGACGACAATCGATAGACATATCTAGGTGCTTTCTTTGCAGCGCAGTTATTTTTTTGAGAAATTTCTTTTTTTCTTCCTCATTCTCCTATTATTTATTAATCCCTAGTTTCTATATTCATTGTCATCTTCAGAATAAGAAAAGAAAAGATTAAATCAAGATGAGGACTGACGTCAAATTTTCGACGGCATCTCAGTCTGAAAAGCCACATCGTTATCATAATTTACTTTATATTCCATTTGGATCGGGGCATAATGCATCGTCAGGTGCATCGACATCGCCAACAGATCTTATCCCTATTGAATATGTTATATATCCTATTGGCATACGTCAGGTACTATTTTTTAAATTTAAAAAGAAAATAATAATAATAATAATCAATTGTATGTTAAAATGAACTTTTATTTTCTTCTCCTAGGGTCAAGTACGTAAATTAGAAGATGAATATCAAAGATTCATTCATATCTACCAAGAAATAATAATGCGTTTGGAAAAATTGGAAACATTATTATCTGATGCTGAACGTATTGTTGATTTGAATAGAATTTCGGTTAGGAGAAAAAAAAATATATAAATTCATAATATAACTATTTTATTCGTTTCTACTTTTCTTTAGCAAGTGCAAGACGAATTACGAAGTGTACGAACACAACTCGATGAACTACTCAATCTTGGTCAAGACCTTGTATCAAAAAGTGAAAAATACAGCAAACTTGTTGCTCCCGATATCGAAAATATTACAAGAAAATTCGAAGAATTACAACGTCGTATTAGAATTATTCAGGCAAGTCTTTTTGATTGTACAATAAATGATTTGAGTGTTGACTTCTCGTTGAGCTCAAGGCATCTCAATTTGTTCAGAAATATTTCCTCTATTAGATAAGGTTATTTGCAGAATCCGATTAGTATGAATTGGATCAGTAATATTGTCTCCTAATAGGCTGCGTTTCAGCAACTCTAATCTTTTCGCCCGTTGATTCTGACTGCCATCAATAAATGCAGGAGGTTAGAAATATTTTACGCTTTATGCCTCAAGTAGTTCGCTTCATCTGATTATTAATAGGCCCGTGTTTACCATGTTTGTTACTGACACTAATATATTTCTCATAGGAGACACAAGAAAAGCGTTTGAGAGAACAACAAATTCAACACGCGTCGACTGCTACAACGACAACAGCAGCCACAACAACGACAACAACGAATAATATTCAAGAGGATCATCATGATGATTTACAACGAGAGCATTATTCAGAAAAAAGATATAATCGTTTTCATCGCGAATCCCGTCGATCACCATCCGAATCATCGGATATCAGTACCGCACATGGTGTTATCGATGAAGAATTTAAAAAGAAATATTTACGCTGTTTGGCTTACATGAAATTAATTGAACGTTTGTATGAAAATCAACCAGAAACTGATGAAGAATCCGAAACAGTACATCGACGATTATCTAGACGAGTATGTTCTGTTCTAGTTTTAGTTTTAGCAGTAAAAATTGATTTTCTTTTCATAGGAACGAACACTTCGTGAACGTCCAGAATATGAAGAAATTGAAAAAATTATACGCGAAACCGAAGAACGTGCTTATGTTATTGAAAAAACCGATGTTGATCAAGCTAATCGTATACGAGAAAAAATTCATCGATTAAGAGTAAAATTCTATTGTTTTTTATTTAATAAAAGAAAAACAATATTTATTTCTATTGATATAGGATTGCCTGGAGAATCTTAAATATCGTTCAAATCACTATCAAAATACCGATGAAGTTACTCGATATGAAGAACGTGTTCAAGCAGCAGACAGAACAGTACCAAAAGAACGGGTATGATAAATATTTCAAAGTCAATCTATACCGAAATAATCGAGGAAAAAGTCTTAATCTAGATAGTCAGAGATAGTTTTTTGACGAGAGATGTTACTTTCGTCTTCGATTACCAAGAGCAGAGGAGTTCCTATTTTCCACCATCTTTCAATCTACAACATTCTCAAATAAAAACGTATCAACACTATATTCAATACCAAGAAAGAAAAAAAGAAATCGTCTGGGATGCAGTCTAGTTTCATAAGGCGAAACAAGAATACTCATGCCTCTGGGAAATCTTGTCTTATCATTTACTGTCTCGTTGTAAATTCAATAGCTCGATGTCTCTTTACAGCAAATAAATACAGTACCTCTGCACCGAAGGTTATCCGGATGCAGCGGATTCTGGTGTGTAATTGCTTTAGCCCGTATAGATGTTAACTAACAACAAGAGCAGATGCATATCATAATTCAGTCAGCAGGTTATCAGAATCAGTCATCTAAGGCTAACAACCATTAGTGACTTACACGACTAATCCGATCGCTTCCAGATTTTCTCTATGCTGTCACAAATAATCTAGAGCACTCTGCTAATTAGACTAAACATTAAAATAAATTTGTTTCCTACTATCTATGCAGTCTGTTGGGAGGATATCGAATTTTGAAGAGAAGTTTTTTACGCGAACTAAAAATAGAACATTTTCATCTTTTATCTGATAAACAGTCAAAAAGAAAACCGATAAACATCATCTTTAATGTGTTGATATTACGATAAGTTAATCTATTTCTTCTTATCGGACAAGGATATTGTTAGAGTCTAGAGTGTAAACCATTTTTCACCGATATATGTGTATATATACACTCCATCACAGACAATTTATTGTGGGTGTCCTTCATTATGAGTTCATTGATCATCTCATCAAAATCGTCTAGACAAAACTTTTTGCATATCTTTTTCTCCTGTCCAATCTATGATGTAGATCTTCTCGATTGAATAACTTTTTTTAATTAAAACAATATCTTTGTTCTTTTAAATGTGTCAAAGTTTAATCTCCATATAAATGTTTATTTTATTGACATATAAACCGAAAATTCATTTAATTTATTTTCAAAATTCAGGAATTCGACTCCGACTTTATCTATGATATTGACGATGCACGTTCAGTTTTCAGCGAACCAGCACCACAATTTAATGCAAAATACCGTAAAGCTGTTCATTCGCTCGATCGCTACAAAATCGATGATCAAACTCGTTATGTTCCAACGAGTGAAGAATATCATCTACAACCATTATTACGTGTACGTAGTTTGAAAGCAATCGATCATCACACAATAAGTGCACCATCATCGCCTGTATTACAAGCACGCTATCGTTCGCACGAACGTCCAAATGCTTACTATAGAAAGCAATACGTAGCAAATCAACAAGGATATCAAGATAATTATCAACATAATTCAATATCAAAATCGGCCAGTATGCCAAATGGTGGTTTTCCTGTACAAGGCGGTTGTGTTCCTCAACAGCCCGTACTCTATCGTGAACGTGTAATTGATCGACATGTTGCTGAACGAAATGCATCAAGTGGCGAATCTCATCGACAAAAACAACGAGAATCAAGCGGTTCAACGCAAGCTAATTCAGCTGCTCTATCCGGACAAACACAAGCAATTCATCGAACATTACCTGTTCGTTATGAAGCAGCAAATAGTGCTTCATCCAGTTATCGACATACAAATGGTTATAGACATGAACCGTATCCAACATATTTTTATAATGAACAGCAACAACAACAACAAGCTGGTGGCCGATCGAGCAGTTATCGTCAACCGCCTTATGCACCTCATACTGTTGGACCGCATCCAACACGAATTGTTTATTAAAAACAAAAAAGAGTTCACTCTATATTATATATTCTATTAGTAGAAAGAAAAAATATGTTTGCTGTGCGTATAAATGCGTTCTTTTTTTTTCTCGACACATTTTTAAATGTCGGTGTTAATGCGCAGTGGTTCTTTTATTAAATATTAACAAACAAACAAACAAACAGAGAAAAAGTCTATTTCGAAGTTATGTTTTACTAGTAAGATTCATTTTCTTCCTGGTTCTTTTTACTTAATATATACATACATACAAGTATTTACTATAAGAAAAATAAAACATTATGGTTACACCTGGCATTCGTATGTAAACCAAGGATAAAACCAATTTACACATTCTCGTGATAACATAACTTGCATATGTCGTTTATTTATCATAGAAGAAGAAAAGAAATTATATGCTCTTAGGAATGCTAAAACATCGAATAGACCATAAGCATTAACAATATAGAAAAAAAAAAAGGAAAATGATTGATGAAATCAGTATATGGATTATCAAGACAATCAACCACTCTTTTCTTTTCGCATGCAGATATAGCAACGTCTATGTTATGTTGGCTGCCTCTTTTTCTTACGGTTGGCACAGAGGCGACAATTAGACCCAGGGCAGTTGCTCTTCTCTCACATCTTTTATTATTGTTACTATCGAGCGAAGCTCTCAAAATCTTTCATTTGCAATTTTCTTTTTCTCCTACAACGCGTTGTTCTTGTGCATATCCGAAATCTAGGAAATGAATCAAACAGAAGATATCTCTCCGGATTTTATCTTATGTGTTCAAAAGCTACTATCATCTATATCAACTTTACGTAAGCACCTATCGAGTATTGCAAGTGTACAATCTGAAGAATCAATTCGAAAACTTAAAGTAAGTTTCGATTATAGAAAAAAATAGAATATAAATTTCTTCTAGGAGTTTATTTTAGAAGCTTGCTTAAAGAACTAGCTAACTATGTCTATGCGAAAAGAACACAGATTTGTTTTCAATTTTATTAAAAACGTTGATGGCCGATTTAAAGATTGAACAGATTATTTTTCATAAAAAGAAAAAAACGTCTCTCTAATTTTCTCCGTATACACATTTATATAATCTATCATTTGTGTATTCCGTGATAGACTGTAAATTGTTTTTTTCATCCTCCACAGATGATTGCTCCCTAAGCGCTCACTCGTATCTATCTCTCGCTATATATATATATTAAAACATAGTAGCTATTGTGTGCTCGATTTCTATTAGAAACAAAGAACTTCACTCTTTTCTTCAATCCTTAGGGTAAGAACAAAAAACAATGACGAAAAAAAGCATAATAAACGACGAAGAAAATCGTTTATTAAGTATCACATCGTTTTCTCTCGTCTTTTTTTTGTTCCTAATAGATCTCATATTAATATATATATATACATATACATATATATATATATGTTTTTGTATTTTTTTAGGCTATAAAAGAAGCCATTATCAGTCTTGCACCAGCCATTGAAACAGCAAATCAATTGGACTCGACATCAACGCTTGTCGACCATCTGTCTAGCGAATATTCAAGCCTATACAATGATTACAAACAACGTTATAGTCTTATAATGACTAATACAGTTATTTTTAACGAATACAAACAAGCGATAGAAGATTTATCTATTTGGTTGACATTAACAAATGCTAATATCCAACAAGCCTTAGAATTCGACGATAAACAACAAACATCAATTAATATTAAAGTATGAATTATTCGAAAAATATATGCGACAAGATTAATTTACAGAAAAGTCTATCAGTTTATCGTCAATAGAGTTTTTATGGGTCTGTTCTTTTTATTTTTTATTATCACAATGAGTTAGATGCATTCTATATGTTAGACTGTTTATAACGGCTAATGTGAAGATGTTTATCGGAATCAACTTTTAGGGCAAAGGTTTTAAAATAAAGATCATCTAATAATATCATATTAGTGCGTTGCTTTTCGAGACATAAGAGCATCTACGAGAAAATCGCGTTTATCAGAATAATGCATTTTGTTGTCGGATTGATTTCCTTGTCTCAAATCTTAGAATCTGATATTCACGATATTACTCATAAATTATTTACTTTTCTATACAATAGAATCTTGACGAGTTAAACAAATATGAATCATTAGTAGAACATGCAATAGAACTCAATCAAACGATGGCTACCGATTTGCCGGACGAACAAGCAAAAGAAATGATCAAGGAAATCGATGATATCAAAGAGCAATGGAAAATATTTATTGGAAAATTAAATATATACAAAGAAAGGTTATTTTAATTTTTCTCGAGTCCGAAATGTTTCAGGAAAGAAATAATAATAATAAAAGATGAACTCTTCTTTCCCTATTGAAATAATGTTATTATATCAACTGAAGTGTGTCTATAGTCTTTGCAAACGAGAAGGAAACAAAAGAAAAATCTCAATCATTGTTTCGATAAATACTAGTTGTGTTAACTTAATCATTTTCTCGTTCGTATAGAAATTTATCTTCTGAATCGGCTAACTTAACCGACTCGTCATCGGCAAATCCTGTAACAGAACAAAATGAAATTTTAGTGAATTTTATCCAAAGTTTATTGACCTTAGGCAAAGAATTAATAGACCAACACGAAAACAATCATGTTAATACTTTAATCGAAAAGGAACAACTTCTGTCGAAAATTAAAGTTAGTTTCGGCAGACATAAAATTTTCAATGATACTATTTTATTTTAAACAGGAATGTCAACACGAAATGGATCGTTTAAAAAATTTACATGCTAATACGAGCCAACCTTTAATTGCAGAATTGACAACTGTAAGTTTCTTTCCCTACTAACATGATTTGAATATTTTTATATAGCTTGCTACATCTATGGCAACAGCTCGTATTCAATTAGAAAATTGCATCGAACAACAACGTGAATTTGCTACGGAATTAGATATATTCATAGGCTGGTTGAAAGCCTTGACGTGTGAATCTGAAATAATTGATAATCAAGTAAAACCAAAAAGAAAGCTGTTAGCATAGTCTCTTTGGGACCAAAAAATGTGAAACACGATGTAGTTGTTGGTCACAAATTGTTTTTTTTTTCTATCTATTCTGCGGTACATTACTTCTTCGCCAGTGTTTGCCTTTATCTTTCACAAATATAATAGGAAAAGAGAAGTCAATCATAGATCTTATATAAACAATGTTAGTTATGATACGTGAGACGGTGGAAAATTTTTTTTTTGAAAAAAAAAATCTATATGTATGCATACAAATATTTGTTTGATAATAGGAGATTCAATTAACGTTGAATGAACGGCAGGGCGATTTCAATAAATTAATTAAATCCAATCAACAGAACGATTTTTTAATTGAAGAAAAAATTGAATATTTAATAGAAATGTGGTCTAATTTAACATTAAAGGGTAAGTTTGACGATGATGTAAGAGGAGAAGCTTCTTTTCTTCGTCTCCTCCTCCTCCTCCTCCTCCTCCGTCTTATTTTAGTCAAACAATCATCAACCAAAATTATTTCATAGCCATCTGTATTTAGTTAATTCACTTAATTATATCATCATTTCATTAATAGAACATATAGATCGAATAGGAAAATCTCAAGATGATTTTGTTTCTCATCATCGATATACATCGTTAACTTATGTCTTATGCATGAAATTTAATTGTTCTTGCAATATTCTATTCTATTGAACCTGACGATTGTTCCTAAGAATAAGCATAGAGGAAAATGTATGACTAACATATATCGAGTGAGACTAGGCACACTACACTTGGGAAAAGCGCGCGCGAGCGCGAGATAGGGAGACAAGCAAACATATAATTGAATTCTTTTCTTCTTCAGTCATCCCATCATACTCTTCGATGGTTGCTTGTCTTGCGCAGGAAGTTAAACACTAGTACTCAAGCACGTCCTTATTTCCATGTTTTTACTTTCACCGGATCTTTGTAGTCAGTGCAGAAATTCTCACAAAGAACTCAGTCAGCCTTTCGCGATAGAGCAAGAAATACGCATGTTGTTGTCAATGATGTAATAGAATATAATTAGTGAATGAAGAAATCGTTCAACTTTAGATGAGTTTTTTTTCTATGATTAATAGCAACTGATATTATTATAAATGCATATATCATAAATGTAATGAGCTATCGGTCATGCGAATATGTGCAATACGCACGTACATATTCACATAGCCGGAGGTGTATTCATAATGATGATCTCATTTTCTCTTATTCTTTCATCTGTTGAATGAATACATAACTTAAGTTCCTATTCATAGTTTTTTTTCTTCTTCTTCTTCTTTTTTTTTACATCGTTACAGAGTAATAGTTCACCTTCTTACGCACACTTCCTTCTCATAAATTGTAGACATTGTAAAGTAGTCGTATTTTCTCTGTCGTTTCTTTTTTCTTTTTGTTTTACATCCAATTCTTTTTCTTTTGTTATAGTCGCTGGTTCTCCGCCCGTAGTGACTAAGCATTTGTCCTCGGCAGTACCATTGGCATCATCATCACCACCAGACATTATTGAACAAGCACAAAATTTATTAGACACGATTGTACAATTAGGAAATCGTCACGAAATAGAACAGCATAAAAATAAAATTCAAGTAAAATAAAATACAAAAACGCCTCTTCTGTATTCTATTGTGCTATGCCTTTATCGTTCGAATAGGCATTTTTAACTCGTTTGAAAAGTTCACAAGCGTCGGATTCGAACACAAAATTACCTCATACAAGTATGCACTATCAATATTGACTATCGTTATCTCTATTCTGTTTGCTTAGTACATGATGAACTTGCCAATCGGCACTTGATATTACAACAAATGTTAATCGATACATCTCATATCGATCATCTTCGTGTAAATTTAGTCTCACATTTCAATACAGAAAATAATACTGTAACAGCTACGAATGAAATTAAAACATTAATCGATAATTATCCAAAAGAAATGACAAATCAAATTCGTCAATGGTTAACTGAACAACAACGACCTCGTGTTGCGTCACCATTGGTCATTGTTGATAATTCGAAGACTATTGGTGATTTTGAAAAGTATTTCAAAGATTTAGAAGAAAATTTTGTTCAATATCAACAAAACGAACATAATCAAGCGAAATTAAAGGTTTTAGCAATTTTCTTTGCATAAAAACAAAAAGAATAAAAGAAATGTCTCTTTTTTTAGAAACTGATTCAACTCATAGAAAATCGACCAAATTTATCAGAAAATTTAAATGATCACGATAAACAACATGCTGCCAATTTACTGCAACAGTTTGATAAAATAAAAAAGCTAATTGCAGATATTCGAAAGAATAGTTTAATTAAAAAGACAAACATTGATAATACCGTCGGTCATATTGATGCGTTAATAAAGCGTACACGAGATGTAGAAGAACAAATTGAACATAATCTTAAACAACCTATACATGATTATGAAAAACTTATTCGCGATTGTCAGGTCAGTTTTTCATCTAGTTGAATCTATTATGCATATAGAAAACAATAAGATCTCATGGGAATAACTCGATTGCAAGGTCACTATAAATTTCCAAATGAGATTCACTCGAAGATAATTGAACTATACAAACAGAAATATAATATCCGCATTTCCCAGTTATTGAGCGTTGAAATCAATTATCTGTCATTTATCATACGAAGGAAATTGTTCCTAAGTGTAAAGCATCGACTGACACAATCAGATTTCGGCTCAAGCGTTTTTAATAGAATTTTTTCTATTGTTATAAAGAAAACAGAACATCAGCTACATTAGGGTCGATTGGATGATTTCTCACGAAAAATAAGAATATACGAAATAATGGAGTTTTCATCCGATTAAACGATATGTTTGAAATAGTTTATCGTTCATATTCGTGTGATTTATTTTTCCTATGAATAAAAATTCAGACCTTTGTTTGTTGAATTTAGTTAGTAATAATAGTCAATCGAATTGCTAAATTTAATCAGATTTCAAGACTATCTATGGAAAGAAAAGACAATTATATTCTCCTGATGGAGAATATATTTATTAATCGCAATGGATTGTCACATTCGAGATTTTTAGCTGTAACTGAAATAATGTCATTTTTTGTTTTGTGTCATGTTTAGCGTATCATATCTGAACTTAATCAAAATCTTCGCATGCCGGTTGAAGAAGCAATCAATAATGGAAAACGTTTATATTCATTAGATAGCAAAGACTATAGCAATGTTGAAAGTGCTGGTAAGTAAAAACAGTGAGCAGAAAAAAATGAAAGAAAAAAAGCAGAGGTCGTTCGTTGCTAATCCCCAATTATTATTTGCTATTGGAATCGACCATTGAAGGAGCGCATAGCTAAGCCTTGGTATCAAGCTACGACTGACTCTGACCTTCAGTTTTTTTCCTATTTTGTTATTGTGCTTTATCGCTCGATTTTTTGCTTTCTAAATATTGATTTTATTGTTTTTTTCCTAGACGATACTGGCGGTGGTTCATTATTATCACCACCTTCGTCGCCACTGAAAAAACATTCTGATTTAACATTACGGAAAGTTCGTCGACATGTTCTTCAATTAGCACAACATTGGAAAAATGCTAATAGTAATATTCAATATCGTTTAAATTTATTGCAAGGTGCTCAAACGGTAGATTTATTTATTTTTTTGTTGATCAAAGAAAAAAAATGTTGTTTTTTAAATAGGCTGTCGAAGAGTTACGCCACAAGTGTGACCGGTTGCATGCGCACTTGTTGGAAACTGAACTTGCCTATGCACATAAACCACAAATTAAAGCATTGAATGTCGAACAGGTGCCAGCCGAAATCGAACAAGCTAAGGTAATGAAATTAAAATTCGACAGTTTAGTTTTACTGTTGATGATATTTTTCTTTCGTAACTATTTTATTTCTTAGCAACTATTGTCTAAATTAATCTCGTGTAAACCATCCATTCATGATATACTACAATTGGCACAAACTGTCGAACGTGAATATGATATCCATGTGACTAATCGAGCTCAGGAACTCAATGAAAGGTTTGAAATAACAATATTTTATTTTTTATCTCTTATCTTTTTTCTAATCAATAGATGGGAACATTCCGTAACATTAACATCACAACGAATTCAATCACTACAAGATTCGATTAAAAATACAGCCAGTGATATTTATTCAAGTTCAGTAGAATATCCGTGGCAACGTGCAGCAGCCATCAATAAAATACCGTATTATATAAAGTAATAATTAGATTTTGTATTTTCTTCATTCCTCACGAACTGTTTTTGTTTTCATTTTTAAAAGTCACTCGGATCAAACGACTTCTTGGGATCATCCAAAAATGTAAGTTTAATAAATTGTATTCTCAATGGGATTCGAAACTGAAACGAGGGTTATCGCGTCCTTATCCTATGATGACTCATCAGTCGTGATAATAGAACATTTTTTTTCTAGGCATGAATTAATGACTTCATTTGGAAATTTTAATGATATTCGATTTTCTGCGTATCGTACAGCGATGAAACTTCGTACATTGCAAAAATGTCTTTGTCGTATGTAGTATTTCGTTTTATAGTAATGTTGTCTAATCTTTATGTTCTAGTTGATTTGACGTCATTGAGTAATATAATTAGCGTATTTGCTGAACACGAAGTAGCTGATCCAATAAATAAAACTATCGATGTAGTAGAGATACTCGATTATTTACAAAAAATATTTGAAAAAACATCAAATGAATATCCACATTTCACTAATGTTATATGTACTGTCGATTTAACATTGAATTGGTTATTAAATATCTATGACATGTAAGTTAGACGATCGGTCATAGATTTAAGTTTTTTTGTAAATTTTATTTTAAAGTAATCGAACTGGCACTATTCGTTTATTATCAATGAAAATGGCATTAGCGTTACTTAGTCGAGGATATATTGAAGAAAAATATCGATGTAAGTGAATCCGACAAACGATATTTAGAACTCATGGTCTATTCTAGATCTATTTTCTTTGGGAGCATGTACCAATAATAATCGCGAAGTCCTTGATCGACAACGTTTATCGGTTTTATTCCAGCAAGCCATCGTTGTATGTATTCTTTATTACATAGCTGTGATTCGTGAATGATCAACCATTTAGAGAGTTGTGAAAATTATTATTTATTTTTCTGTTTAGATTCCAAAGCAACTTGGCGAAGTTGCAGCATTTGGCGGATCAAGTGTTGAGCCAAGTGTTCAAAGTTGCTTTGAATATGTAAATAATCGAATAGTTTGAAAATGAATAATGCGGTGAAAATCTTTCTAGGCACATAATCCGGATGTCATAACAGCGGATGATTTTCTCGAATGGGTCAAACTAGAACCGCAATCACTTGTTTGGCTACCTGTCATGCATCGCTTAGCAGCAAGTGAAGTAGCGAAACATGAAGCACGCTGTAATATATGTAAAATGTATCCCATACTTGGCTTTCGTTATCGTTCATTGAGACATTTCAATTGTGACATATGTCAAAATTGTTTTTTTTCTGGTAAACAAACCAAAATCTTTAAAATGGCTGATCCATTACAAGAATATTATACTGAGGTGAGTTAATTTGTGTTTAATAAACATGAAAAACTTACTGTTTTTATTTTAGACCACATCTTCGGAAGATATTCGAGACTTTTTTCGTATATTTAAAAATAAAGTATGGGCTAAAACGAGGAAAACTCCTAAACTTGGTTATTTACCATTGCCACATGTTTTCGATAATACTGTATCAACAAGCGAACAGCAAATTTTATCATCGCCAGCATTAGCTTCTCCAAGCACGACACCTTCCAAGTAGAGAAAAAAAAAAGAAATGTCTGTAGTGAGATTTGTCGATTTGTTTTTAGGCCACATATTGAAGTCACACCCCTAATTTCTTCATTGACTGAATCGTACGTAGATAAAAAAATATTTTTTGAATAAAAAAACCAACTTTTCAATTTTCACTATCGTAGGGATGATGAACATATGATTATTGCACAACATTGTAGAAATTTGAATAATGCTGTGAGCAAAGCGGTACGTAGTGATAAATAGCAAAGAAGGCTCTGGTTAATCATAACTCAGCCAGTTCGAAAAATCTTAAATAGAAGATTATTTGTTTTTTTAGCCCCATTTTTTTCCTAATGAACTATTAGTTCATTCATCTTCACTGGACCATGAAGAACGCGTTGAACTGGAAGCAATAATTTGTGATCTCGAAGACGAAAATCGTCTTTTACAAAATGAATATGAACGTCTTTGTCAAGAACATAGAGAACAATCTCTAATTTTAAATGAACAACAAGAACAGTTATTATTTAATGATAATCAATTAGAAGTTTATAATGATCGTAAAATGCTGCGTGAAGCAAAACAATTAAGACAACATAAAATTAAGCTTGAACAAAGGATGAAGATTCTTGAAGAACATAATAAACAGTTAGGAAAACAAATGGAACGTTCAAAACAGTTATTATCCAAAGAAGTAATGATAATCAGTTTCTCTAGTATACAATACTCGATTCCCCAAATGTCTTAGATAGATTCCCTTCGATCTTTTTTTTTGGCAATTCTCAGACCTCCTTATTATTCACTCGAGCGCATTGAGACGGTTACGAAAGAATAGTTGAGATTCTTTTTTATCTACATTTTATTTTGTATTAACTTTTAGTCTCCGGTACACACTCTACGTCGATCAGTTGATCGAAATCTTGAACGCCAACCAAGTAATTGAGAATTGTTTTTCGAAAAACAAAACAACCGAAATTTTTTTTTATCAACTAGATTTATTGACTATCGACAATCTTTTTCATATGGCCGATGATCTCAACCGTGCAATAGGCGATCTCGTTTCAGTCATAACTGAACCACAATCAACTGCATCTTCAAATTTTTGCCATCAAATTGTAACTTCGTAAACTAATTATTTTAGGGAAATAATTTTCTTTCTTTCTTTCGTTTCTGTGTCATGTAACTAGACAAATTCATTTTGAATCTCTATTCTCAGGCAGTGATGGTCAGATAATAATCATGACTATTGACTAATTTGTTTTTTCAAAATTATTCTAGACCCTATCTAAGTCATTATTTCAATGTGTTGTTTTGTCTGTTTCATATAATTATATACACCTATGCATACATTTTAATTTAGTGAATAAAAACCAAATAATCTAAAAATATTCTAGATGTCGAGTATTTTAGCACGAACATTAATCAAACGAAGCTTGATCTTACAATGTCGAGGAATAGCATTATCGTCGTTGAAAGGTAGTGCTAAACCCGAAGGAGCTGCCCAACCGAGTAAACAAACGGCTTTATATAATTTTCATGTGAATAATTCTGGACGCATGTGAGTTTCTAGTATCTAAGTTATAAGAGTACTTGAAATTTGCTGTTGTCTATTTATCAGGGTTAGCTTTTGTGGTTGGACATTGCCTGTTCAATATTCCGCATCTGTTATTCAATCTCACTTATATACACGCTCACATGCTTCAATATTTGATGTCTCTCATATGTTACAAGTAAAAATAAAAGGTGCTGATCGGGTTCGGTTTTTTGAGAAATTAGTTGTTTGTGATCTTGAAAATTTACCTGAAAATTGCGCAAGTTTAACTTTGTATACAAGTGAAAAGGGTGGCATTCTTGATGATTTGATTGTTACGAAAACCAATGACGGTTATTTATTTGTCGTATCAAATGCTGGCCGAGCAACAGAAGATCTTGCTCATTTACATACTCAACTTGCAAAAGCCAAACGACAAGGTTTGGATGTTGACATTGAAGTACTTAGTGATCAAGCATTACTTGCCTTACAAGTAAATTCTAAAGAATCTATTAAATAAAAATCCTACCGTTTCTTTTCTTTTAAAGGGCCCACGTTCAGCTGAAATACTTCAACCCTATCTTGGATCATCAGTAGATCTCTCAAAAGTTTATTTCATGCAAAGTCGATTAACCAAGTTTAATAATGATCCGTCGATTCCATGTCGAATTAATCGTTCTGGTTATACGGGTGAAGATGGTTTTGAAATTAGTATTTCCAATAGTAATGTTGAACGTGTTCTCAATGCTTTATTATCCTCGGGTGTTGCTCAAATGGCAGGTCTCGGTCCACGAGATTCTCTTCGTCTTGAAGCCGGTCTTTGTCTGTATGGTAATGATATTGATGAGCAAACAACACCTGTCGAAGCTGATTTAACATGGACTATTGCAAAACGACGAAGACAACTCGCTGATTTTCCAGGTGCTAAAGTTATTTTGGATCAAATCGAAAAAGGCCCACCACGAAAACGTGTTGGTATAAAATCAACTGGCTCATGTCCAAGAAGTGGAGCGGAAATTCGAAGTGGTCGCGATGAAAAAAGTCGAATTATTGGCAAGGTAACAAGTGGTTGTCCAGCACCGTCACTTAAACTTCTCAATGTTGGTATGGCTTATGTTGAAACTCCATTATCAAAAATTGGCAATAAAGTCAATATTAATATTCGTAATCGAATTATTGAAGCTGAAATTGTTAAAATGCCATTTGTGCCAGCACAATATTATAAACCTCAAGCAAGCAAAAAGAAGCAATAGGCGCAAAATAATTTTTTCGCTCTCTAAAATTTGGTTCCGGTATTATATGTGATGAATGACTTTGTTCTTTTCTTGTTCTGTGTGATAAGTAATTCTTTATTCCAAAAAAAAAGATAATTTTTTGATTTTGATAGAATAAAATAGAATCATGGGATGAAGATTTTTCTTCTTCTAAAAATATCAATTCGGCTGATATTATCGCCTCTAGCTTTTACGTTCTCTCTTAAAAATATTGAATTCGTCTATCGATTATTTATTTAATTTGATTAGTATCAACTGTCATAAAGTATTACTGCATATTGCCCAATGTATCTAGCATAAATGCGATTGTTTGACTAACATCGGTTTCTATTATTTTACGACGACAAAGATCTATTGCATTATGGATCCGTGGAATTTCGAGTGAATCATCAGTAATATGCTGTAATGCATATTCATATTCTATTAATGCTCGACTAAAGTCATCCATTAGTTGGTATTCAAGCGCAGAGCTTGTGTAAATCAGAACCCACAAGGGATGTCGTTGTGGAAGTGGAGCCTTTTCACAATGAAAAATTGCTTCTTTATAGCAAGATAATGCTGATTGATGATCACGTATTTTGCGATACAAGTGGCCACGATATATGTGACAACGGATAATGTTTTGATGATGTGGTAGACCAATATGGTTATAAATCGAGTTGACATGTTCAAAGTACTCCGTAGCTAAGTTGTATTCATTTTCAGTTAATACTGACGCTACACTGAGATAACTGATGGCTGTTGCCTCATTATTTTCCGGCAGATACGATTGGCAAAATTTAAGTGCACGATTAAAATAACTGATAGCTGTTGAATGGTCACCTTTATTTCTATAGGCAAATCCGATGTTATTGAGACAAAGAGCTACACGAGGATGGCGTGGTTGTTCACATTCAATAGTTGCAAGCGATTGTAAAAATATCTTCAGAGCTCCATCAAGATTTTCTTGGGCCATCATAACAGAGCCAATATTGCTCTGTGCAACTGTTTCGCGGAGAGCACTTCGGATACGTTCGTTTTTATATATGCTTAGAGCTGTCGCGAAATTTAATAATGCCATTGGATATTGTCCTTGGGAATGATAGACGTCACCTAAAGAATTGTACATTGCACCTCGATGTGGATGATTCTCCGGTAATGATTGAATCTGGCGTGTCAGTGCTAGTTCGGCGCACTTTAAAGATTTCGATGGATCACCAATAAGACGGTAAACTATGCTTAAGTTATTGTATACTTGCGCAATCATGTAGTGATTAGGCGGCAAATAATTGTTTCGAATACGAAGTGTTTCTTCTAAATGGTACAGAGCTTGTTTGTAATTACACATTGCTTGGTAAACAATGCCGAGATTTTCGTGGCTGCATGAACGTTCAACTGCCAGATGCTTTTGCTCATTTTCAGGTAAAGTGGCATCATCATGACGCAAACTGAGACCCTTGTTTATGTACTCCTGAATTCGCCGAGATCACTATGTACAAGGCCTTTATTATTGTAAGCAGATGCCAGTTTACGATTAAAACGATTAATATGCTGATATGCGTTCGGCTTCAGATACAAATCAATCGATTTATTCAAGTGGTCCATTGCATCTGGAAATTTATTCATTTTTTGATATGTATAGCCCAAATTATTGTGAATCAATGCTAGATCAACGCTGTTAGACGGAAGTTCTTTCAGTAGGATTTGACTAGAAATATTATTCCAACACATACCATCGATATTGAAGAAGAACTGAACACTCACTGGTATTTTTCTGATTTATTGAAATCACCTCGCTGCAAGAGAAAATCTGAAAGTGTTATTAGAGACGTTTCTTCTTCTATATCTTCTTCGAGCCAGGTCCGTAGGCCACTCCTGATACGATCTTCATAGTTAACCATGTGTAATTTTATTTCCCAAATATGCTCATCCTTCAAAAACAAAATCCTATCTAATAATTGCACAAAAATATTATGTTTTATATACCAATCAGCCGATAGATACATCTCTTTTGTCGCTCTTTCAAATAAAAAGCAACTTTTCGAAAAATTCAGCCATTTATGAATACTACTTTACTTACGAATGAGCAGAGATTCAGCTCGGTTTACATATCGATTTTCATAGAAATTTAATAGAAAGTAGATTGGAATATAGACCGACAAATTGATTCAATCTCTATCTTTCTCTTGATATTTTATATCTGCTAATAACTGTATATTCTTATAGCCGCAGATAGTTTTTATAGGATGTAGTAAAGTTACTTCATGTAAAAAATAATATTAATTTAGCAGCAAAATTAAAAACAGTTAAAGAATTTTTCAATTTCTTCCAGCGTTAAAAGTACAAATCAAGAAGACAATTCAAAATCGATGTTAAAAACTAACCAGTGCGATTGGAAAGGTTTTTCATGACAACAGTACTGGGAATACACCGGAAAATACGCATGCATTATAATTTTAGAACCTAGTAAACTGGCCAGGGCTACTTTACTGTTTGATTAGTTTCAATACTATTGATAGAGTCAAGTATTGATCTTTTTCTTTTATCGAATTCCCTTCATAGACAATTTTGAGTCATGCATCGTTGTAGAAATATGTAAGTAAATTCAATTTAACAAGTCAAATTTTTAGAACAATATCATAAGAGTACAAATCAGTGTTAGTAGCAGAAGTGAATCTACATGAAAATTTCAAAAACTTTGAGTTTATCTATTCGGAATGACTATAAGACTTCAAATTAATTACTATTGTGTGGAAAAACAAAAATTTGTAAATCGTTTGAACTAATTAAAAGATCTTTATACTTATGTTCATAGTGAACTTTTAGGATGCGCTCTCTATTGGTTTTTGTTCATAAGATATTCTCGTTGAGCAATATCGAATTTCCGACTTACTGTTTCATTGATTGATTCTAATTCGAAAACACTTCCGATTGACAGCAGAACTTCATTTTCGCCTTCTTCATCTGACTCAGATAAAATAACGAATGGTACCGATGACATATCTGTCTTGTTATCAATATGTATTTCTTCCAGTACACTAACTTGATCATTAGTTAGTGATTTACATACAAACTTCTCAGCAGCTACTTTCTTCAAGCTAGTTGATACGAATGTAGTAAACCAGATAAGTTTCTTTTCGCTGGTGGGCGCCAGGAGCATCTGAATTTCATCTTTTGACATGATTGTACCTCGATAGACCATTATGGTTTGTTGTTGGTTACGTTTTAACTGTTGTTCACAATAGGTTTCCTTCAGTTTATGATGCAAATCGTGAATGAAAAATCGAAAACTGAATAAGAGATCAATGTCATCTGTACGGCAAGCTTGGTTGAAAAGACGAAAGAGAAATTTATCTTTAGTGTACCAATCTATAGCGTCCGTAGGCCAATATGTTCGATTGAATAAATGAATATCATTCTGTGCTGACACGTCCTTCTTGTAGGCAAGAAAACTTTGTTGAAGTAAATCATCTTTACTTCTCGCTGTTACCGGCATTCGAAGAAGTACTTGAACAAGCAATTGAAACCACATAAACTTAGCACTCTCATTATTTTATTTATCGAGTGCCATTTGTGGTGCATCCTCACTAAAAGCACAGCAACCAGACGACCAACGTTGAGTCAAGTAACTTTCCCGATCATTTTGCAACGTGTTGATAATGTGTCGTTCTTCGCTTGTATGAAAAATATCTCGAATGCGTGGATCTGGTTTCCAATGAAACGACCATTTATCAATAAGAACATAGATAAAAACAGTAATCTGAGAAGATAGAAATCTACGAGTTGTTTTCAAGAGCCGATTAATATAGCGATCGCGTGCGACAACAAGTAAAAGGCGAGTGTCGGAAGTACAGTATTTAATGAACGATGAACATGAACCAAAGTCAGTAAATGTATGAAGTGACAAACTCACGTAATGCTGAATATTAAGACCCAAATCTTCTCCATCTATATCTTTACCTTTATCATCCAACCAAATGATAGTGCAATCTGTAATTGCATTCATTTTAATAGTTGTGCTTCTTGCATGACGTTTGTTTGTTTGTAGTTGTATGTCATGGATGCCATTCGTCTTTCCTTTCAGTTTTCACGTTACTTTAAATGTTTATTTGCAGAACATCGTAGCATAGTGTTACAATTATGAGCACGATAGTACATTGAATATTTCTTGCTAGCAAAAACCTAGGATTATAAACTTAGGTGATTATGATGTATGCCGAGATCACCTTTCCAAGAGGGTCATGCTCCTTATCTGTTATGAAATTACCTATCGCAGATGTCGTAAGCGGCTCATTCTCAAAAGATACTTTTTTTTTTACTATAGTCTGCTGCATTTTCTTAAGCATAACTACTTAATGATTCTATAGCTACTTATTGGTTTTCTGTAATTACTTGCTGAGAAGACCACGGCTATGCTTAAGGATTTTGCGAAAGAAAAAGTCATACGCTGCAGAGATCTGGGCAAGAGAAAGCGAAACTCTTAATACTGCTAATATTTAATTGACGACGAAATAATCGAAATGGTTGAAATTCCTGAATTGTTTCAAATATTTATGATATCAGGGGTATTAATGATATAAAAGAGAAAGAGGTACGTTATAGGATTTTTTTGGGAAAATGTATGAAAACATTAATATGGCAGAGATGGTTTTTTTAATTGGTGTAGAAACTTTCGAGAAATACGTGATCTTTGAATAATTATAGTAAAGTTGGAAGCAGCTGTAAAATAATCAAGTAGCTAATAGCTTTTTTTAAGTATCTCTTTTGAGAAGCTACGTATCAATATTCTTGATATAAATATCTATCATAATAATTAGAAAACTTTTCAATTAGTTTATCAACTTAAAAAGTTGTTTGCTTTTTTAATTTTTGAAAAAAAAATGAGTGAATATGTAACAAGTTGGCTGTAGTGCTTATTTTGATACATCATTAATTTGTTTAATTCCTAATACAGTATCATCCGAAAAATAGCGATTATTATTTTTGTTAAAATATCATGGATCAAAAACATTCATGTGATAACTGTACGTAAAAAAAACCTCTCAAAATTATCCGATTCGGAAGAAATTGTTACTTTACTATTAATTTATTATTTCAATTGCATCGATTCATTCTTGAAGATACAGACAAGAAAATACTCTTGTAGCAATCCAATCGACTTTTTCATTGACTTGTGTTTCTAAGAAAAAAGACAAATAGTTCGAATGATCATAGATTTAATCGTAGGAAAAACAAAATTGTTTTCATGTTGCGAATGATGCTTTTTCTTCTATTTTTTCCATGTTTCGAGCATACTCTGCTTAATCCGTTATACACCTAAATTTATTAGATTATCTTGTTGACTTTCTTGTAATAATTTCTTTATTCTAATTGTAATTCAAGAATTCATCTATATCCATTTACGCATATGCAAAAAGACAATGAAAATACTATAAGGAAAAATCGAGAATCCTATTGATTTGCTTTTCAGAATATAAATCAGTATATATATCACAAAAAGTATTCAAGTAGAGGTGAATCAACATTTATTTCGTGGAAGATTATGCAGTAATATTCATGTTCGATTGAATATAGTTATTTCATTGTGGTCGTTCGAAAAGAATTGTGAAACAAAGTGACATAAAAGGAGCTAGATCTTTTGTTTTATATTTATTCAAAGGTTTCATCCATGAGTAAATAGAATACAACTAGTATAGATCTTTGCACGTAGTAGATGAATAATGTTATTGAAAAAATTCTTTTTCACTGCGAAGATGATAACATGTTGTTATCCCGCAATTTCACCTTGCCAAGTAACTTTGTTAATTCGCAAAAGAAGAATTTGTTCGTGATCTCATTTTCTTGCCATTTTTTATTCAATTGTATGATTTCCAACTTTATATCGTCTTGTTCCTGAAAAAAAGAATGAAAAACGTTAATTCAAAATTTAGACATTCATGGATCTTTCTCTGTCATTCTTCGTCTAAAATCAATTCGTTTAGAATGTGTGCGTCACACTAGAGGTCAGATATGAAACAATGTGTTTGTTTTAGACGGTGGGAGAGAAAGATAGATGCTTATATATTCTAATCATTGATATAGATGATTCATCATTTGTGCTTCAATTAGTCGAATAAGTCTAACAATGAATTCATCATAAACGAACTGTGCATAATTGGGGGCCGCCTCCAGGTAGGATGCAAAAGTCACAGGGATCACATCTAGATAGAGCCTAAGGGATCGAAGGGGTTACCCTTAATTACGACCCAAATAATACTAGTGATTGAATGGAGGTAATCTAGCGATTGTGGATAAATCAGTGAATAGAACTGTTTCAGCAATTCTTTCGTTCATTTGACCTGAACTACGATTTGAGAGCTGTTGTAATCCTAGTGGTGAGAAAGCAGAAATATATCGATAAATAGAAGTAATTCCACGATCAAATTCTTTATTGCTTTATTTCTTCCTTATTACTTTATTAATTTTCCTGGCTTCTAGTTAGTACTATTAATTCGAAATAACAGTTATTACTTATTACAGGTAATAGTAATATGCTACCCCTACTAGACATATATAATAAGATCCTAGCTTTGTTCCTTGGTAGTTTGCGGTAGCAAGATGAGCGAGTTGAAGAAACAAATATTCGGAAACTATGATTTTCCAAACTTTAATGAGCCTATTCTATCGCTTATTGCCAATTCATTGAATATCAAGTATTTAGATACATCGATTGAATATATTAGATAAGAAACTGTATGAAATACTATAATGTATTGTTATATGAATATAGCTAAAGTGGGTTCATTATGACTGATTTCTTGCATATTCTATTTGGAGAAGAAACGCTCACGCTTATCAGCACTCATGGTCGTGAGCTGCACACCCCTAATCTACCAGGATCCATGTTTTTTACATTGTTTGAAGATTGCTGTAAAGCGAATGAGTTTTTGGTGCATTGTGGTAGACTCCGATGTATTTAGTAGATTGAAGTAGCTTCTAACAGATTTCCGTACACTCCAGTCAATCTATTGTGCAATCTAATACCCTTTATTAGGAACAACAGGATCCAATAGGATCTAGGATCCACTTTCCCCCCATTGACATTTAAAATACATCAAAATAGTACCTATAACAGTATGGCGAATCTAGAATAGCTGTGGAATTTGGTGACCATTATCGAAAGCTATGATTTAAAATTTCCCTAAACTATTGAACTTCAATTAACATATATACTAGGATTTTCTCTCAGTCTTTCTCACAAATATGAAGATCAAAGGTAACACTAATTTGTAGTACATTGCATGTAGTTTTTAAATCAATAATTTGCAATGTCATTAATAATTACAATTGAAAAATAGACAAACTTATAAATTAATCAAGGTGATTTAATAATATTTTTATTTTTGTTACGAAATCTATAATTGAAATTTCACTTTTCAGCGATATCGGTTAACAGTTGTTTATTACAGTTTTAGTTTCTTTTTTCTGCTTTCTATTCAACCTTATCATCATTTTGGTATGCGAAGAAAAGATAAAGAATCTCTCTTATGCTACCTTTCGTCAATAAAAAACATCATCAACATGCAAAAGTTATCGTTCTTGAAGGAAAAATTCAAGCAACAATGTTTTTTCTTGTGTCTTGCTCTCTAGATAAAAAGATTTTTTGCAAACATTGGTCGTATCACTTGTTTAAAGTAAAGTAAAAGTATAAAGCTCGTTACTTCTAAACAATTTCGGCTATTCAAAATCGAACAACAACTTCCAAATCACTATTTTTGATGAAACGTAAGTATTCTGATGTGCCACAGAAAGTTACATCAATTTCCAATTTCTTCACTTGATTTTGTATCGATCCATAGTCTAGCAAACTTGAGTATCCACTAGAATATGAATGCAGGGTAATAAGTTAGTTGCTATATAATGTCAAACTATTCTATTATACAATGTGATTTATTTTCAAATATTTTTGAAGTATTTAAATTTACCAAATAGAAAGACGAGCCCAAGTTGGAATACGAAAGTTTTTTATTTTTCGAACTACTCTTGGAGCGGAAAATATTAGCGGTTCAAACAGGTCCATATTAAGTGCACACATACTCATGCAGAAGGTATTTACCAATACTAGATCAAAAAAGAAAACACTAACATTTACTATTTGATAGACTAGCAATTTGCCTATTTTGATCAGCTTCTCTTGTCACTAGGTTGGAAATTCAGAGCATGATTCTGTCTAGACTGAGTATCCATAATCGCCTGTTTAAGACTCGAGACAGTAAATTCAATAGCCTGCATACTCGTTTTGTTTAATCATCTCTACTTTGTTACAGCCACAATCATTCCTTAGGAGTTGAATGATATCGGTCACATAAATAAAAGCACTCAATGTTTTATCCTATAATGATATGATTTCATAACTTTTGATTGAAAAACAATTGTTTGCATTAATCTTAGAGTGATGGCTTCACCAAATAGTTGTTTCACATGCCGCAAGTCTGGCAGCACTTCTTTCTGTCGTGGATGCAATGCCTATTTTTGCGACGCTGATTTTGCATGTCATCGGAAAATGTTACTTAATGATCTGAATGTACTTACAGTAGATCGGAATGATCTTCAAGAAAGAGTAAATGAGGCCGCTTCAAATCTAGGATCTTGCCAACACATAACAGCAAAAATTGATGAATGGGAACGAACTACGGAAAAAGTTAAACAAGCTGCTGAATTGGCTAAAAAGCAGGTTCGAAAAATATTAAACTCTAAGCAAGAAGAAATTACTAGACGATTTGACAATCTATCACAAGAATTAAAGGAGCGAATGGTTCAAAAAAGTGTTGTTGAACAGGACATAGCCCGTTTAAAACAAGAAATAGATCAACTCAAGAACGATTTAACAAAAATAGCTCAGACACCAACAATCGAATTGAATATGAAACAAAGTGATGAAATTAAGTTGTATCATATGATATATGCCGAGGAAAAATCTATAAATGTTGATTATCAATTGCATCAGCTGGAACCAATGGGTAAGTATTTGAGTAGAATACGAAGTGAAAGTTTTAAACGTAATTTGATTCTTATTGAATACAAAAGAAGACTTTTATTTGATGTCGCTATCGCTATAAACTACCAAATGTGATATGAGAATAGTAAACGTGAGCTTCTCTATTTAATTTTAACGAAAAACATATATGCACACGTATAAAAGCATCGAATAACGGTCGATCTACTAACAAACGCTTTTGATTCATTGTAAATAATGAATGAAGTATATGTCGATCATTCTAGTTCTTCACATTTTTATCTACAACAATCCAAAATTATTTAAAATACTCGAATAAGAATCCTTCGGAGTATGAGAAGATATGAATCGATAATTTTCCATTCCATTATTACATGATTTATTAAAGATTATGGCAAAAGATTCAAATCATCGTCATGTACTTCACATAGTATCCGTATTGCTATAATTCTGTTGTACAGCTGAAAAATGAATCAAGACCAATATATGTTATTGTATTTCTCATTACTGTTTAAAGCATCCGATATTAATTAGTAATAGGGAACTGGTTTGTCCGATGTCGACTATTTTTCAACTGTCCGTACCAACTCAAACATGAACCAACTAGATGACACAGAAATAGATATATACTATAATATCATTGAGGTTTAAAATTTTTAATAATCTACAATCTAAATTTAAACTAGTTTCTGGCCAGCCTCACTGTCTCTTTAAATTTTCACTGAGTTCATATTTGCTTTTGAAGTATTTTGACAAATTTTAAAGATGAATTATTTAAGACTTCATGAAATTACAAAACATCAACCATGTGCATGTTTTATTACCTGTAGAAATTCTACAAATCATTTGTTAACCTACCAGTGAATGACATAATACAAATCTGAAAAGCTTAACTTTTTCACCAGCTTCAATCAAATATGCAACTTATCATAGCAAACTGATTAATTTTCTCGAACATAGGACATTTTTCACTGTTGTTCAGTCAGATACTCTACGTTATGAAGAACTTTCAAGAAGCACACCTACTATAGCATTCTCACAAAACAAAAATTATCTTCAGATATATAACTGCTTTAATAAGACAATATATCAACCTTGGATACATAAGATTTCGATATTGTTTCAACACTTTACCAAAATGGCTAGGCTTAGCGAAAAGTTACAGTGCTATCCTGTTTTTGCACTTCCTAATCAGAACAATTTAAATTCCATTAATTCCCTTTGGTATCCTTCATTAAAGGTCTCTGAAACAGTTTCTACATATGCGTTTATGCTCAACAAGTGCAGAATACAAATAGTTTTCTTATAATTAACATGAAACAATGCTCCTTTTTATTTAGAGGAACACCTACGCGCTACAAGCATTGTTACCACTAAGCTTCCCTGTGATGGACATGTTTGTCCAAATTGTTATAACTGTTCACATTCTATCTAAAATCTTCTGAGCTAGGTATATCACTGACTAGGCTTGGTTGTCAACCAAATAAGCCGCTGCAACTCTGGCAAATGTACTAAAGAGTTTTCATAAACCCTGAATTGGTAAAACATTTTAGTGTACTGAAAACTATACTGTCAACTGCATGCGATATTTCAATTGTTTAATGATCTTGATTATTCCATAATGACTGACTTACTAAACTAAACAGGGTTGTCCAATTTGTTGTGAACTACAGAATAATTATGAACAGAAGCATTGGTAAATATGTATACAGTGTCTATGTTCACTAAAACACCTATTTTTCTGACAATTTCAATCGAATCACACACGAGTGACTGAACAGAGCTATGATGAGAAATATTCATTTGTGATGTGATGTTGAATCGTCTGATGAATCTCGATTTATTTTCTTACAAATCAAAACAATAGGTGAACAGAACGATGGTGAGAAATAGTCATTAGTGATGTGATGTGGAAACATCTGATGAATCTCGATTTATTTTCTTACAAATCAAATCAATAAGTGAACAGAACTATTTTGAGAAATATTCATTTGTGATGTGATGTTGAATCAACTAATGAATCTAGATTTATTTTCTTACAAATCAAATCAATAGGTGAACAGAATTATTCTAAGAAGTATTCATTTGTGATGTGATGTTGAATCAACTGATGAATCTCGATTTATTTTCTTACAAATCAAATCAATAGGTGAACAGAACTATTCTAAGAAGTATTCATTTATGATGTGATGTTGAAACATCTGATGAATCTCGATTTATTTTCTTAGGAATCAAATCAATAGGCGTACGTATTCGTTGGAAAAAGACTATTCTTTTGATTCGAGATGACCGGAAAGCGGGTTATTTGATGGCTGTAGTGTGTTGAACATATGGAAGTTGGATTCAGCAAGCGTATAATGCTTTCATTGCTTTGAGTTTTTATATAGCGAATGAAATGAAAGTCTTGATGTTAAAATCAGCGTAATCTTTGAACGAAATATTCGTCGAAATTATTCATACACTAGATTATTTGGATTTTTTTTACCAGTGCAAAATATTATTTGGAGAGAAAGAAAGTTCTCGAATATAATGATACTGACACATATTCTTTGCCGTTGTAATCTTTTCTCTAATTTAAGCTTTCGATTAATCTATCAAAGTGATAATATTGTTGAAAAATAGAATGGTAGGACAAGTCCTGTAGCCGCGTAAACATTGAGCAATCGTTTAATTCGTAATTTTTATTCCCAAATAAGCAGAATATAAAGATAAAATCTGCTACTTGTACTTCGAGATATCGTTTTTCTACATACCCTGGCATAATGTGATGAATCTCGATTTGTTTTCTTACAAATCAAATCAATAGGTGAACAGAACGATGGTGAGAAATATTCATTAGTGATGTGATGTTGAAACATCTGATGAATCTCGATTTGTTTTCTTACAAATCAAATCAATAGGTGAACAGAACGATGCTGAGAAATATTCATTAGTGATGTGATGTTGAAACATCTGATGAATCTCGATTTATTTTCCTAGAAATGACAAAGCACCTGAGCTGATTGATTGGCGTATTTTTGTTCGGCTTTTTCATCTTAATTGTATTCTTGAGTTCTATTCGTACTGTGATGCTAAAAGAAATAAATCAATGAATAGCATGAAAATGAAAGATATTTTTTGATTACAGAATCTTTTATTCGTCTTCTATCTGTGTCGAGAAGTAAAATTTTTAGAAGAATAAAGGAATGAAATCATCATAAGAAAAGTTATATTACATGAGATCCTTGTAAAGCTAATAACTTGTGGGCGGTCATTGGTTGCGAGAAGATTATTTGAATATTTGGATTTATGTTCGTGCAAAGGATGAAGTTCTGCTTAAGCATGGAAACTGTTGCGTTAACATTTCTTTTTATTGAATTATGATATCTTTCGTATTGATTTTAACACAATTTGACAGAGGGAACAATTAATCTCTGTTGAGTGAGGATGTGGTTGTGTAAATTGGTAGTCTACGAGTTGTGCAGCACAGATAGCGGATAAGTGTGGAGTATGCGCGGCAATTCATTGTGTTTCGGTGATTTTCTGTAGACAAGATTAGCGATTGTAAAAATTTATAATTTTCAAAGCGAATTAAAAGCTTCCTTCATATTCTCTTAAATAAAATCGTTTCAGAGTGACCTTCTAGAAGAATACTCTTGAAAAGCATTGTTCTCTCTTCCCAATTTGAACGATGGATTGATTTGAAATTTTCATTGATAAAAATTGAGAAGATATGTAGTCATTGTAGGACTGTGGATTCCCAACAGGATTGTTAGTTGATAGAAATCTGTTGTGTTCCAACTTATGCCAAAAGTTATAAGGTAAACAAATTGAATAATCTATTCGATTGCTTCCTGTTGTTGAATTAGAGTAGAAATTAAGTGCATAATTTATTTCGTGAGCTGAAAATGGTAATTTATACATGTTACTTCCAGACAATCATGTTAGAGTTCTAAAATACACATTAATCATGCAATAAATCTTTGCCTGAAAAATTAAAAATCGCGTGAGAGTAAATGAATGCCAACTCAAAGTACACGAAATTTTAGCAGACTTAAAAATATAAACTAATGTGTAATGATACGATATGAATTATTATAACTATCCTAAGATACGACCGTCTCATAGAAATAGAGACTCTTATTTTGAGCAGTCATCCTACTCCGCAATGTTGACCATTTCGGAACCAGTTGCGCCCCCGGAATCAGTTCCGCCGATTCCAAAATTAGGTCAAACATGAACACTGCCCGATTCCCGGAATAAGGTGAAAGCGGAATCACTGGGAATTCCTAGGAATTACACGGAATTCCGTCCAATTCCGAAATCACAACTTCTATGACTATTATTGTAACGGTTTTCTCTACCTTTCGTGCCTTTGTTTATTATTTTTCACTGAACAGCCTCTTCCTTCTTAGGTAGAGGTATATATATACCACCGAACAGAGAGAACAGAGAGGATACAGATGATATCCTATTGGTGGCTAGCTGCTTGAGAGAGTGATGTTATGTGATTGGTCACACTGGGATTTATTAAAAAATCTCCATGAATTCGAATTAATTCGAATAAAATCGAATAAAATCATAAAATATCTCAATAAATCCCAATAAATTCCACTGGATCCGGAGAGGAATACCAATACCGGAATTTATTAAAATATCCCTATAAGCCTCGGAGCTGCTGACCCGAATTCGTCTTTTTTACGACAGAAGACTTTTTAATGGCACCAGCATTTGTTGCAGGAAGCTGTAAATCTGAAATAGTCTTATTTCAAATCGATATTCCTGATTCTTATTATCATAATGTTGTTGATACATTAAATTTTACTTGCCCATTTTTTAAATTAGAAAATGTCAGTCAGTTTGAAACTGAAAGCGAAGTTATTTTTTCGATGGGAGCATTATTTCGAATTGAATCTATTGAACAGTATATGAAAGGTGGTTTATTTGCCTAAAATTTGAGGCCGAAAATGATGAATTAAGTAAAAACTTTCATATATCAGAAGAATTAGAAAATGGAAAATACGATTGGCAGAATAGATGCAGTGTCGAAAACCGAATTCTATTACTAACAGAAAACTTTCCACAATCGTCCAGAAATATTTTAAATGTTTACATAAAATATGGTGTTTTTGCTGAAGCAAATAGCAGGACAACTACGGAAACTTTAACTACATATCAGAAAGATACTCAAATTACTGATGAAATGTTTGCCTAATTACAATTATTCAATTGCTGTTGCTATGTACTTGAGTATCGGCCTCCTATATTGTCATAGTGCTGAACCTATTTTAGCTATGCAGTTCGGAGAAGCAGCTCTTCATATAGCCGAAACTTATTTACATTTTGATCGTGATGATTCGCTTATTTGTTACAATTATCTTGCCGTAATTCATCGACTAGAAGATCAGTACACAGAAGCACTGTCAATTTATGAAATAATGCTACTAATTGCAAGTGAACAAAATAATACTTCGGCTTTACTCGGTATTTAGCAGATACTTATTACAATTTTGGCTCGTTCTATGAGAGAAAAGGAAATTTAGGTACTGCATTACATTGTTGTAAACAACAGTTTCGATGTCTCCTACAGAAAAACGCATGTGTGATCGATTTAATGAGAGTCTATTCTCAAATCGGGAATACCGGGTGTTGCAAAAATTTTGCGACATTTCGAAAAATGTATTTTATTTCTATAGAACAAGGAGTAACAATGTAATAACAAAGAGCTTGAAACACTACAAGAGGGTATTACTAAACCTACCAATTTTCAGCAATAATGAGTTCACCATTATGTTTTTCCACCGATCGCACTCGTCAAAGAAAAACATTGATCGTGTCCCGTACATAATTAACATCAATTTTTTTCGTTGCCCTTTTCTATTTCTCGACGCAAATCATTAATTGTTTTGACTTTATAATAATCCACGTTGTTGGATATACTGTTCCAAATCGAATAATCTAGCGGATTCAACTCGGGCGAATTTGGGGGCCACTGGCCTTTCGAAATAAAAAACTTGAAATTTTTTTGCACCACTTCTGTACACTTTTATCAGTGTGACAGTTTGCTCCATCCTGTTGGAAACCCCAATTTTGATGCCCGAATAGCCGATCACCTTCCATTTTATAAAATGGTAACAGTTCATCAAGATAGGTTTTGCCATTTAGCCGTTCACTCCTTTGGAAAAAGAAAGGAACTGTAATGTCATTCCAAGTTGCTCCCAAGGCGACCATGATAGAAACCGGATATTTTTCTCTTTCATGAATTCCACCATATTCATTCGCATCATTTCGATTGTTGGCCCACACCTCATCATTTTTTGGATTGAAATAACCGTTCCTAGTGAATATTTTTTCGTCGGTAAACATGATCTTTTTTGTTTTGTCGCAACCCATGTTTTTTCTTATCCATTGACAACACCTCTTTCTTTTCGACTTTTGATCTTCATTTAGTTTTTTAACCTTGATTTTTCTGTAGCATTTTTTGTGCAAATCTTCGTTCAGTACTCGTCTGACGGTCCACAAACTAGTGTTGAAGTCTTTGGCCATGGTTCTTAAACTTTTTCTGGGAATCTTGGAATTAAGTCTTTTGTTCACTAAATTGATTAAGCGTTTTGTACAAGCAGTTCTAGGTCTTCCAGATTTCTTTTGAACACCAATCGAACCCGACTGTTTATAACGTTGAATCCAACGATCAACCGTACTTCTATGAACTTTGCCGACCAGCAATTTTGCAATTTCTGGAGCCTTTTTCCCACTTTCAAAGTGGGATATTACCAAATCTCGTACATCATTCCCTTTTACCATTTTGAAATCAAGAGAAACAAAGTGAAAATATGTTTGGTATCAAGAACAGTAAAAGACACTGGAGGCTATTAATATAATGTAAGACAAACTAGATATCGCTACAAGACGACGATGAGGAGGACTTTTTCAAAATGTCGCAAAACTTTTGCAACACCCGGTATGTACGAAAAATACAAGAATTATATCGCAGCTATACAAATTTATATTCAAATACTTATAATAAAACTAGACCCACTACGACGGTATGGTCATTCACTACTCTGGAAATATAAAACTATGATTAAATCGATCCAATATCTAATTAAGCGTAAATGATCGAAAAAATTGAGATACAATTTTCGATTGCTCATGTCGAGATCATGCACGTCAATGATTTTCATGAAATTTATCTCAAAGATCAAATTTCTTTTCTACTTCGAGTTAGATCATCCGAACTCATTAAAAGCATCGTTAAACATGCTACTGGCACACATTTTGACGGAGTACAGCAATCTAAGATGTTATGTCATGTCTTTGAAAAAATTACAATGGCTAATTAAATTATTCCTGAAAGTAATACCACCGTGCTTTGCCAAGATCTATCACCATACACAAATATTACGAAAACTCCGATCAACATTAGATGATTATGGGCGATTTCTTCATTTGATTCAAAGATCTTATTTACCAGTCTCCTACTTTGATCGCTGTAAAGCTCGGCAAAGCTATTCATTGATTAAAGAATATTCAACTAATATAGGACGAGTCATTGATGCATTTGCTGGTTTTTCCCATGCAACTCTGTGCCAAGATAGAGTACAAATGAATTCTCGGCATCGTCACCGCTCGGCATGGATCTATCAATATCGGTTTTGTGGATGTTTCAAGGATGCATACACACTACGCAATCATTCTACTAGACGATGGGCCAAGTTTTGTACGATTTAAACTTCCAATAATAGTAATAACATCTTTGTAACTATCCATACATGTCGAACTTGAAACCTGAATTCAACTGAAACTTCAACTTTCACCAAATGCATTTTTGGATACGCAATATCACAAGAATGATTCATTCAATGTAGCTGAAATTTTCTGCAGGCTTACATACCACTGAGCTCTAAACCCTCAATCAATTTCAGCACCACCAATTGAACTCTTGGGATTCTTTGCATCCCATGCATGCAGGGAAATTTCAATGTTTTGCTGACGTTTGTCCGTTCATATCTACTCACTGGGTAACACCATACGTCTCAAATTTATTTCTGAAACACGTCTTGGCGAGACATTCATATGTTCATACTTTCGACGTATTTTATGAAAACTTTAAATACAGTCACTACGGCGAAAAGCTCCCATTTTTCTGTTAAAATTGCGATTTTGGTACTTGACAATCTAAATTCAAGGCACTTACATTACATCCACAGTTATCGTGCCTGAAACAACTAATCATGTCTGTCATAATTCAAACTTCAACTCAACTGAAACTTTCAAAAAGCACTTTTAGGTGATCGCCTCAAAGCAACAAGGCAAGCGCTTCGAGAGCGTTTTCAAAACCTCTAACACATAACAGAGATGCAACTGTGAGTCTCACGAAAGGCTGCAAAACCGCTACTACACACATGTCGGGACACAAACATGCATACATAATGTGGGTGCCGGGGAAGGGAAATATATTCGTCTTCACTCACACATATGTACCAAAGATTTGGCACTAGTGGCAGAGCGATAACTTGGAATTCGAAGTTTCAGTTTAATTCATTTTTGAAGTTCGACACTACTGAATATATGAGGAATGGTTGATGAGGTCGAGAATAGAACGATCCATATTGTGTAATAGCAATTATATTTCAAAGGTAGTCGTAGCAGAGTTGAATTTGAAAATAGATTAGATGAGTTTTTTTCTGCCGAGTTTCTTGTTCTTGGTGTATGAATTCTGGAGTGCAAAATATAGATGGTGTGAAACATATTGGATTGTTCTCGTGAGTTGATGGTTCGATATTATTTTGGTGAAAAATTATTTTATATAATATTGAATTCATCTAGAGGTAAAGCTTGATCCGTTATATAAGAAGTTCATCAATCTGAAGTATACTTTTTTTCGCTCAGTCCATACAACTGCTGTTTTTGTTTGATATAATTTGTTCTAGTTGGGTATTCCGTTCACGAACAGAAACTCATTTCAACGATAATGTGATACTGAGACATGCCCATGCCAACTATCATTTAATTGTTCCGCTGAATTTTTTTGCTGATCTGCTCTGATTTTACACTAACTATAAAGTGGAAAAAGGAAATTGCTATCGTTGAAAATGATCACCGTTATTTTAAAAGAAAGACATTTTCTGATGAGCTCAGTTCTAATGATAATTTCAGTCACGAAGAAAAATATTAGCAGGTGTATATGTGAAACAAAACATTTCGTGTTCTTTTCTTTTGAAAAGTTCTTCTGAAGCACTAACAGTAACAATTGGCATGAATTAAAACAAATAGCATGAATCATACAAGTTATGGTTGTTTACAATATAATGGTTGTATATTTGTCTTCCGATCGTGTTGAAAGACAAATTGATGTTTTTTGAGAAACATAGCTTGAGTTGAAATTCAAAAGAGATTTAATCTTCTTGGGTGCTGAATGAAATTTTACACATCTAATTCAAAAACAAAATTTCTTTTATAATGACACTATCATTTAATTTCATACAATGCGCATTTTTTAATTCCTGAGAATATGTTTCATAATAATATTTTTTAATATTGAACTGAACTACATCATCGTCAATATAATGAAATTCATTGTTGTGAATGAATTTAGAAAAAAATATATCTTTCCAATACTTTCCAAATGTTTTTTACAATCATTATTCAAGTTCGACACTACTGTAACTATCAGGGTGTGGGTGTGGGTGTGGGTGTTCTCTATGTGCTTCTAGCATACCCCCTCCCCCCCCCCCACACACACATCCAGGATCATAGAGACACCAACGTACTCACATATATAAGCCCACAAAAATCAGAAGACGACAAGTAGAGAATATATTTTTGAATTCTACGTTATAAACTAATGATCATGTAGAAAAGTAGGAATTAATTTTATTAGTGATCATAAACACAAAATAGAGTACCAAATGTTAAATCTTTTGCGTGTCCTTATTTTCGGCTTTCAGTTCGAAAGTAAAATATTTTCTGTCCAAGCTGATCAATCGTCGGTCTATTCGCGGATAGTGCCTATTTTCCAGTCATAGTATTTTTCATAATTCTTCAAGTTTAACTTGATGATTCGCTGGTTATTCGACTTTTCCGTTCGAACGTATTCATAGAGGTTGTAGCACGAGAACAGAATCTCTTCCTCATGCGAATATTTTGTGTGTTTCGGTTCAATCTCCATGCAGAATTTTGACCATTGTGGCGAGATTTCAATATGAAGCACAGTGTTTTTGCCTGAAAACGGCTTTGACTTCGATGTGGACGTAAAGCTTGGAATGAAAAACAGGCCCGCCTTTTCGTAGGCTGTAATCTCAGCTGCCGATAAATCAACGCCTAAAAATTGAAAAGCCATGAAAACAAATTATGTTTGATTGCTGAACTTTAAACAACATGAAAAACAAACCTCGAAATACGATACCACTAAAGTGCATGGGCGACATCCCAATTGAATATTTCAGCTGCTTGATGTATTTTCCATAATCCGCCAGCTTCGGCGAGTCAGTAGCCAGAGCCATGTTGATATCAGTGCAATACCATCCTGGTCCAGATGTATATTCCCGGACACAATCAACGATACTCGTCGGTTTCTCGTTCTCTGACAACCAACCCAAACAGTACTTGAGGTAGTTCGGTCCTTTTTTATTCACAGGGTAAAAATTAACGATCTCGGCATTACCTGCGGATCCATTTGAGTCTGTGGTAATCTCAGCGAAAGTTGGGTTTGGAGTCCCCAAAGACTTTGGATGAGCATTTAGGAAATTTTTGTTGCTGGCCCTTCGCAAAAGACAGAGTTTTTAGTTAAACATTCTTCTATTTAAATAAATCTTCATAGCTATTAAAAGACTTGTATAGTCATTTAAAAGCAGGAGAACATTTTAATAAAAGGTGCAGAAATTTGAAAAAATAGCAATAGTTATCAAGAAAAATTGATAAACTAAAAGTGAACGAAAGGAGGAAAAACACTTGATAGTCCTATTCAAACTACGTTTTTTTTACATTCGGACTTATTATAGACAAATAATAAATATTTCTAAATACGACACCATTTCTAATAGGCATTAAATTGGATTGCTAAATATTTGTTTTAGCGTCATGCTTGTCACCGTTTTCAAGAACATTTTTTTCAGCCCATCCTGCATGGCAGTTATTGAAAAACTAATAAGATCTGATAAAAGTCATCAAGGCTATATTAACTCATGTGTTCGTAGTAACTACGACAATCAGTTACTATTTTTCAAAATTAGAGGCAAATATTGAATCTGTACAGAAAAAGCGCGCATCATGGAAACAATAAAGTCGCAATTTGAATCGATACAAAGATTCTCAATGTAAAATAATACAGTTTAACTTAGAATAAACTTCAATAAATCCAATTTCTTAAATGTATCTGCGCCGAAATAGAACACTTTCGTCCATATTGATAAAACAGTATACATAAGAGCTTTTTCTAACCTGATCAAGCTGGTTAGGATGTGCTAAACAGCATAACTAAAACAGAAATCCGAATCTAATCAACATCTTAGTGTAGAAAAACTAGAGGGTGTGGGCGTTAGTTTTCTGTTAAGCCACACTCATACCCATACCCATCCTAGAGTCTAAAAATCGCTGACTTGTCCATCTCTGCCTTAAATACTAATTGTTTCTGTCAAGAATCTTTTTAGCGAGCTCTAATCAATGGACTTGGTCAACTCCATGTGTTCGTTCAAACACTTACTAAGGATTGCAAGCGTGTTTTAAAGGGGACGTACAATACTTGGAATCAGAACAGCAAACTGGTACTCGACCGATCGATATCGGTCCAGTTCGATTAAACTTTTAAAACCGGCCAGTTTTCTCTTGATGTTTAGAGTACTGAAGCTGGCATATATCGTTCGTTTTTAACGATTGTCGTGATTTTCATGATCAACAGATGTGAACCTGAAAGTGTCCCACTCACGAATTTCTATTTGTCGTCAAAACTCCAGCTCTAAATATTGAGCTCACACTTCTTCATCTTAGGATGATAGGATCAGATCATTTTGAACGATCTAACTATGCCCACCAAGAATTAGCCAGGTATTACAAGTTAATTTCTATATAAACTAAGACTTTTCACCTAGAAGTTACGGGTTCACTTTTCTAGACTACGTTCAACCAGCTCTCATAAAATTACAACAGCTACTATTTTTTAGTCCTTGCTTGTATTACAAAATAGCAGAAAAGACTCCGTTCTGTTATCGATATTTTGTGAATTACTAGTATCATGCAGTGGTGAAAATATTTAGGTATCACGAAGTTTCAAAATAGGAAATTTCGTAGAAAAACGATATGTTTTAGTTCACTTTATCTTCCTGTCGGCAATACTATCTCTTAAGGAATGAAGATGCCATGCAGCTGTGTCAAATAATGATTTTAACTAAGAATAGAGCAAAGCTATTTTGTAAAGAAATCATATTTTTATGGAAAAACTCATGCCAGCACATATGAAACATGACAGATTAAAACAGGAGTTGTTACAATTAGAAGCTTTAAGCTTTATATGAGTTTTACACTGTATGTCATTATAGAAGTGAAGTAATGCGATACGTTCCGAAAGACCTAATTGGTAAATTGATATAAAAATAGAGCCGGTTTTTCCTCAATCGAACCTGTAAATGAACTAGGCCAGGTTTTGCCTGTTGAGCCAACAGTTTTAAACAAGCCCCTTCAGTTCAATCAAGAAAATATCCGATACGTTCCAAGTATGAAGCTTCGCATACATT